GCTGAAACTTCATGTAACCAAGAGTGAATTAAAGGACATAATGTCATCTTCAACAATCTTGCTATGTGTGCAAGTATGGAAGATCAGAAGAATTGCACGACACCATGCAAGGATAGTGGCCACCACTGGAGCCCCTACACTGCAGAATCAGGTAGGAACACTTGCCTGATCTTTTCAATTGCAGCTAGTGAATGCTAGTGAAATGTGTGCATGCAAATTTCCAATAACTCAAAGAGTTTGTCATTCTCTACCTGATATAACTGAAATTCAGGCATGACACTTAATATTCTTTTACAATATTGTTTCCAGTTAAGCCAAGGTAAGTGAAACATGTTTTGAAACGGTAGTAACAAACTGTTACGCTTTCACAACCCCCCAAAACTATCAAGCAGTCAATTGTCAAATGTGTGGTGGATTGTGTTTTATTTGTTGTGTTGTATCGCTGGCAAAGGGCTTTCAGGAAACAAAACAGGGTGTTTGATTTTACCTTTTAATGGGACAGTGTAAATTTTGCTGTTTGGTCAAAGTCTCCATTTACTGCAATTTTCTCAAGTAGAAAACTCAGATTTGAAAGGATATACTATACAGAATTGCTATATCAACAGATTAGTATAATGCTATCTGCAAAAACATGTACTTTAAACTTAAATGTAGCTTCTTAAACTTAAACGTAGCTACACTTTACACTGATCAATTGCTTACGTCATGAATCAGTTAAGTGTCGTGTGAATAAGCTGTATCCTAACTCTTGCAAGATTACGTTTTGAAGTGATTGGTCATTAATTATCCTGATGAAGGCGACAGTGGTCGTCGAAAATTTGATCTCTGTGTAATCCTTGTTTTGGAATAAAGTTCTACGTTTTGCTATGATTACTACCAACACAGATGAACTTTCATAGAAGCTACACTTTGTACATTTCATTACAGAAAAAACTCTTTCAAGTGTATCAAATTTCCATTGTCAGAGACAGAACACAGTAGTGTCAGGGTTCAGTTCAAATCCTGACGTATAATCAGATAACCAAATTTATCAACCAAACTCATTTAGCATGTCTTAATGTAAACATTCCCCATAGCGGAGTAGTTATTTTGAATCATTGTTTCCGCAAGATGGCGTGCATGCATGATACCTATATGACGTCACAAAACTCACAGCCTTCCCATGAGCCTGTGTATACGGCAAAAATTAAGACCAGGGTAACTATTGAAATGTACTAGGTGAGAACAAACTTTTGCTCTACAAACTCAGTAAAACTCAGTTACACTCAGACTCATTAATTGCTAAAGAGTAACTCAGGTTCCGTTTGTTTACTTAAAATGATACTGCCAGGGGCTGTTTCTTTGAGAAAAACATTGCCGAGGGGAGTGACAAGGGAGGGAGGGGGGAAGTAGTGGGTGTTAATCTGTTTGATCTGTTTGCAGGCTGTGTTTTGGTTTAGATGCATGTAATTTAGGCCACACCAATTTAATTTGTTGGTTCTCGGATTCGCCTCTTCGTTTTTTTCTGATTTGCAAAAAAAAAAAAATTGATTCTGGTCCTGAATCAACTAAAAAATGCTCATGTTTTGCCCCCCAACAGTTGAGGAAAGTCCTTTTCTTCCTAGTTGTTACAGTTTTCCCATCTATCATTGCAGTGGTTTGATTAAAAGTTCAAAATTCAATGTTTAAATTTTAACCCAGCCTTTTGTGTTGACTTCATGGCTCATTTTGTAGCATTTAAGCCTATAATAGGATGCTTAGACCTGTTTTTATTTTTATTTTTTTTCGCCCTGTCGCTTCATATTTTTTCTGAAAAAATCCGAGAACCAACAAATTAAATTGGTGTGGCCTTAAGAGGCTTAGAGCATTGCTAATGTCATAGAAAGTATTTAACTTGTGAAGTACAATTTCAACATTTCACCATTTCATTATGAAATCATGACAATCACACCCCATCAGCTGCTATTGAGAGTTATTTCCACATTTTTATAATACTGGAACAATTGTAACTTTTTTGACTGCCAATGAACATTTTAGATTTTACTCCAACTGTACAAATTTTGTGTTTTGCAAAATCATTGTTGAACTTATTTTGCATATGGGAGACTTTAAACAACTATCTTGTTATTGCATAGCATTTTCTAGATTTGAGGGTGTGCAGCTTCGATAAGAGACGCCAAATAAACTGGGGTGTGCCCCCTTAAAAGTTGTTTCTGTATGTTTACTTGTCAGACCACGCCAGGTGTCCAGTTTCAACATCATGGCAGAAGAAGAACTACAACTTAACCAGCCAACCCAAGAGGTCGGTGCTCTGCAGCAGCGACAAGAATGGGCAACATCAAGGGCTCTGGAGTTACAGATAAACAAGATCATGCAAGACGCATCGGCCATCAGAGCAGAGCTACCAAGCACGGAGCAAGGACAGTTTGAGCCAAATCGCTTGCTTCACGGAGTCGTCAAACTGCATCAATCCACAGGGGATCTGCTACTGGATGTTGGGGCATGTGTGGAGCGTAATCAGTACCACCCCCAACAACATGCCCCCAACATCAGGAGAGGGGCACCGGTGGAGAGGGACCCATCAGCTGCTCACACCAACCAGACAGCAGCCACAGACAATGGTGGGGCACTTCCTCTGCAAGACCAAGTCTTGGGAGGGCAAGATGGGCTCAATGGAGACTTCATCGGAATCCACCAAGACAATCAGGTATTATTAAGTAAATTTTTTCTAGATGTTACCTGAGAGCAACACCATTAATTTACTTTGTATCTTTCATGAATGAAAAGCGCTTGTTTAAAACATAACTTTTCCTCAACACAGTCCATCAGTCCGGGTGGAGAAACAACCTACTTGCCAGCCACAACCGACTTGGCCCCCATTGCCAGTCCATCGGTGAGGAGTGCCACCCCAGCACCTGGAAACTTTCTAGTTTCTGGCAAGCCACCAACAGTGCGCCCCACCCCTGCACTAGAAGCCAACAAGACTTCGAAACCACAGCCTGCAGTCCACTCAGACCTTTGCCACAACTATGCACCAAGGGAGGGACAAGAGCTAGAGGCAGAAGCTTTGGATCATGACGAGCAACATGGCACCCAGCCACCCACCAACAGAGCTGCCACAGGTTCATCTGCAGCCCAGCTGCCCTTCATGACATCTGTTGCCAGTGGACCAAGGGCCATGATCCATTTGGAGGTATGACCTTTTCCTTAAGTTATTACTTGGACAAACTATAGTTACTACTCTCTTGACTTGCCACATTTTCAAACAGATGCATTCTTAGCTGCATCACTGTTGAGACTTTTTCTTAGTAAGAATTTCAAAGCTAAGCCAAAACACATTCAAAAACAGGACCAAACCATGTAATTGCTTGGAAATCACTGTCGGACCATAAGGAGCTGCTTGAAGATCACTGATGTTGTGTCTCTTGTTAATATATCATCACTAGAAACAAGCGGAATCAAATTACAACATGCTTGTCTTTGTCCCCCAGGGGGAACACTTCCCAAGGCTACAGGCTGAAGAACCAGACTAAGCATGAGGCCTGTTTGAGGTAAAATACATATTTACTGAATAGCAAATTATAACCATTGTTTAACAAGAGCCAAGGTTTCAACTGGTTCCTCAGAGACTACGCACCACAACTTGAATAAATTTGAGATGAATGGCAAACATTGAAATTTATTCAAGTCTAAGGGATGAATATTTTGTCTAGCCCGGGTACCATCCTGGATAGTTTATGTCCACTCTGATAGTGAATACCCAATAAGGATGGTACGTATACCCAGGCTATATTTTGTCTTAAATTTCCTCAAACATACATACTATGGTCTGAATAGTTGTTGTAATATCAACATTGGTTGTATTACAGGACTTCCAGAACTGGACTCTGATGGGCTGTTGGATTCCTTCATCATTCATCATGAACTTCAAAGTGTGCCATACAACAAACTGGCACACAAATTAGACTTTTGATTTTCAAGAAATAGCAAACTTTTCTGTCCAGTCTGCCTTCTTCCATTAGCTAGGAAATTGGGTTATTTGCATGCATGGCTTGCCATTCTTTGAAGCACTGTATTGCAAAGCAATGCCTTACAATATATGCAGACAGTGCAAAGCAATACCTTACAATACATGCTTTGTTGTGTATGTATATAATTATACTATCAGGCAGTTGGAAAAAAAGTAACCTAACAAGATCAGTAAGGTGAAAAAAAAGCAAAATTAGATGTTTTAGTAAGTGCAGATTTTTATCTATTTTGTCAAGGCTGACAACTAGGAATCTGTATAAACCACATTGTGTTGCATTTTGAGATTTCCCTAGTGACTTATGTTGGTAAACAATATGATAATTAAAATGTTTTGTTCATTGTACATGTAGCTTACTGAAGAGGTCCCCAGTTTTTTTTTCAATTTTTTCAAGTTTATTCATCTTAGATAAAAAAATTGATGACAGTGGCCTCTGGTACTGTATACTTATCAATCAATAATTTTTACCCATTAAACATAGCCCTAAAACAAAAGATTAATGTAGTGTCATATATTCAGGAGAACACTTTGGTCCATAATATACCTGTAACTAGGACAATATTGTCTTAATGAACTTTTGTTGGTACAAAAATAACACCACGTATCCCGAACACCAAACTATATGAAATTTTGATAAAAACAATAAAACAAGACTAGCTTTTCTCGGGCATTCTTTGCTATTTGTGATATTAAACTATACATTGAAAAGATGTGACTCCACACACTTACGAGTACCTGTCACAAGAAGGGGGGGAAGATGGGGAAGAACAGGGATTATGGAAAACCAGTTACACTGTACAGGTGGCTACAAACCAGCTTGCATAAGGTACAATACATGATTCTGAATATACACCTACTTTTCAAATAGCTTGGTTGCCATCCTTTGTAGTTACCCCTTGCTCCCAATTGTGGTAGCCAGCAACAATAGAGAGCCGATGGTAACTACAGAGAATGGCAACCAGACTACTTAACAAGTAGTAGATACTATCAGTACTTGAAACATTTCCAAATCTATCCCGTTGCTTCATTAACAGTTTTCGTGTTGTTTTATCACACTTTGGTCTGAAAATATCCCCTATTAGCTTTGGAGGATAAGTGTTCTACTATCTGATAGCAGCCCTAGCATGATGACTGGAGGCTTGAGATGTCTGAGTCTTCTGTGCTGCCAGAGCTTCTACAATCCTGGGCAGTTTCACAAGTCTTTCTCTGACATGTGCAGGAAGGGTCACACTCTCACCATACCTGTGAAGTGTAAGAAAAGATAACATGGTTGTAAAGCCACACCAATTTACTGTAATTCCTGATTTTTTTTTCGCAATACTTTTATGCTCATGGGCTTCGTGGTCACTTCTGCACCACAAATTTATCGTTTCAAATAATTTGCAGTTTTTATCAATGCAGTAAAAGTTCAATATTCACTGTTTGAATCATAAACCAGCCTGGTATGTTGACTTCTAATACTCACCTGTGAACTTTGCCTGAGGAGTCGACGTACTTGACTGTTGTGCTTGTTGCCATGACAACCAACTGCGTCCCATCCTGGTACTGCACCCAGATGTCACCCGAGGTCAACTGGAGGACGGAAAACAAAACTTCTAGGTCAAAACTCACTTCTGTTATTGGTATATCATATCATATAAGCTGCAAAGGGGACTGGCTGAAAATCTTAGGATCATCATTATCAGAACTTGTACATGTACAATGTACATATAGTTTGGAAGGAAGCTACCAAGGAGATTCAATACTTCTTCCTTTAGACAAAATCATCAACAAACCAAATGCTTGTACTTTGTAGAACCAAGTCAGTGCTAACTCCAGTGACATACATGTATGATATAATCATGTACAATCTAAACATAGCCGGTTTGTAATTACACATTTACAATATTTTATGACTCCAGGAAGACTAGTGTAGTATATGTACATACTCATTGACGGAGATCTGTCAAATAAACAAACAAAAGCTGGTTGCAAACAGACCTGAGAAGCCCGCCCGACATCCTGCACAAAGGTGCTCTTCACCACCTGGGTTGCTCTTGGCAGGCCGGCTGCTAGGTGGCGTTTCTCAGAGTTGGTGGTGGCCTGTGCAGGAGGCTCCCGGGTGTCAGCCCTGCTAACTGTGGAGGCTGCACAGCTCAGGACTGTACCATCATAGGACATTACCTGTGAAATATGGGAAACCACTCAGATTGGTAAAAGATAGGAGTAATGCACTTCCCTAAACCCTGGCCATGTGCTCAAATCACATTTCATTCCATAAATGATGTATAGTAATATCATTACTTTTTTCCCAGTTACAAAGTTTCAATGTGTCCCAAGTACTTTGGGATGACAATATTATCAGCGGTCAGACCACATGTTCATATTCCATCAGTTGGGCTATCTGTCTCTACTAGGGCTATCATCTTTAGATTCTGTATTCATTGTGATTTTCTGTGTTCTTCAGTCAAACCTATATATACAAGTGACCCTCTCTAGTCTCTACATAAGGACCACCTGGCCAATGTGACCACTTTTTGATGGTCCCGATAATTTTTCCCTGTCTATAGTGACCACCTGTCCACATTGACCAGATTTCATAGGTTCCCTGAGTAGTCTTCTTGAGAAGTTTTGACTGTAAATGCCAATAGGCCCTACCGATGCAGATACGGGTGCCTGGCTGGGTGAGGTGACTGTCCCCACGGTGATGTCTCTTCCCGTACGTCCGGCCTGTCGTGGTGAACCCTTCCCCTTCTTCTGCTCGCTCCCAGTGCCCGCCGGCCGCCGACTGATGATGGCTGGGAAGTACGAGTCCTCCCCGCTCTTTTCCGCCGTCGCTGAGATGGCAGACTCCAGGTCCAAACAGCGCCGCCGGGCCTGACGATAGGAGAGAGGGATGAAACAGATGGAAAACTTTATAATATAAAACAAGAAACAAGAGATTTTGAACCTCTGTGGAAATATCTAGAGTTTTGAAAGTATACTGGCAGAAGGTCTAACATACTTCAAGATGTACCTGGTCTAACATACCACAATATAGCCTGGTTACAAAACCCATTTTAGAGTCTCTCTTATTTTATTTTTGCTGAGACTGAGAGAACAAAAGAGATTTGGCAGCTAAAATGGGTTTGGTAACCAAGCTCAGCTACAACAGGCCTTTGCAGCGGGATATGAGGTTGAAAGTAAAAAAAAAACTTTTTGTGACAAAGCCTAAGTGGATGTGACTTTTAGTAACTATGTGGGTGGACCTTCTTGTCAATCTGTGGTTACAAAACATCCCCCTCCCTTCCTGCCACTCTACTGCATGCAAATACCTACAAACACAAGGAAACACACAAACACACCCAAGACAATACCTCTGTACTCGCATGTAAAAAGTATCTGTTATTTCCCATTACTGCCCATTGGATCTGCTGTGTTGAAATAAAAAATACATTGTACAAGTACAAGTCACCTCATGTAGGTGGTCCAGCATCCTCCTGGTATCCACGGCAACCCTCTCAGCCCCGCCCACATCCTCCAGACTGTAGCTCTTCCCACTGGACTCAATCACTCTTGTCTTGTAGGTGGACTGGTGGATTTTGGCACCTACAGAAACATGGAACAAGAAAATCAACAGTGAGCCACGAGCCACTGTACTAATGATTGTTTAAAAATAGGGCTGAAGACAGTATGGGATCAATGTCTAGTTAGAATCTAACTTAGTAGATGTGCAAGGGGTAGGTGTAACGGGTCATTTGGAGTAATATAGCCAGCTGCCGCTGTGCTGCGTGCCTGCAAAGTTGGTGTGTTACACCAAAGGGCAGTTAGTAGTTACAAAGATGCAGATACTTTTCTGCAGAGATTATTACTAACCACTGTAGAAACAAGCCTCAAAGTCTGGGTGTGGGAAGTTCTCCATCAGCATACACTTGGCCTGCCGTGTGTAGAGGGTGACTTTGGGAGTCTTGGAGCGCACCAGCTGGACAAACCGCTTGGCGTACAGGTACTTCTTCTTGTGCCTGGAGGGGAGCTCGTGGAGGAGGTAGGTGTGGTCATCCCCAGGGGGTGGGGAGGGGGGCCGCTCAGACAGGGGCTGGCCCCTACCCCGGTGGGGCTGGTAGATTATCACCTAAGGATAGAAAGGGAGAAATCTTTTATCCTGAAAGTTCATCTGTGTTGGCAGAGGTCATTATGAAGCAAGTTTAAAGTGTAATTTCCAACACAAGAAATTAGAAAGTATTTGTCAAGGAAGGACAAGTTAATAAACCGTTATTGTTTTACGTATTGCTACATGTACTTGTCAGAAAAACTAAGAAAATACCATTGAAAACTGGTTCTAAAGATAAGTTTCTGAATTTCTGATAATAAAGGCCATACCATGTTGACCCAGAACTGTATTTTTGGCAATATGGTAGTTTTACCGTTTGTCCACATGCAGATATCCTGTGCACCTCTGACACGTGGTCCACTCCGTCTCGAGGCTTGAGGAACTCCAGACACACCTGGCCGTCCTCCAGGATACTCACCTGAGGGGAGAATGAACATCCTAGATGTCATGTGAGGTTCATACATGTGTAAAAGATAGTGTTGCGGGAACCAAACAAATGAAGTGAAACTAGCATGTTGGCAGAACATACTACACGAAACATGGATTTTCACAGTTTTCATTGGATGTTTGGTCAAGATTGCATCAGAATTTTGCCCGTTGCAGGCGATATCTTTTCCAACACATGTACAACATCTGAAAACTGTTCACTGTATATCATCCTTAAATATGCAAGCATGACCTTCAACAAGATGTTCTGCCGAAAGTGCTATGCACAATACATGTACATCCCAGGTTTTGTGCAGGACGTTCTGCCAATGTGATGCACACTGTCATACTCACTACTGCATTTCTGGTTTTCTGTCGGATGGGCCGCAGACGCTTTGACGTCAGTGGAGACATCTGCTCCTTCTTCATCTCTTTCTGCTGGCTCATTTCTTCTCTCCTTCCATTTCTCTGTTCTTCGTTTTCTCCTCTCTTGTTGTTCCTTCTCTCCTGAAAAGGCTGGTGATCTTGTACACTCCTTTCTGAATCTCTCCTTCTTCTCTGTACATCTCCAGACTTTGTTTGGTTTTCCTTATCAGATTCGTAGTTGTCTTGAGTCTCCTCGTAAGGTCCATGATCTCTCCTCCTCTCAGCAATACTATATTTGTCTTCTTTTCTAGTCCTGGGGTCATCCCAGGCTTGTCTCCTCTCATCCCTTCTTGAGCTGTCTTCGTGATGATATCTCTGTCTCCTTTCGTCTGATGACTCACGACAGACATTCTCCCTGCTGCCTTTATGTGGAGAGAGAGGTTTCCTTTCCCTGTTGTTGTCAGTACAGTACTCAGCAGTGGATGGGTGTGTCTGTGTGATCTTCTGTCCGTGTTGTCTGGTCCCTACTGCCTGTCTTTCCTCAGACTTGTTAGCTCTCGCTGCATACCTGTAGAGTTACAGTTGCATTTTAACTGCACTGCTCAGAATTTAAAAACTATGGACCATACTAAAACTGAATAAAGAAATTATTTCTTTTGTACTTTGTAAACTTGTGGTAACAGTCAATGCAGCAAATCCATGGAAACCAGCCTACCTGTCTGCATCTGTATCCCTCTGAGGGATGGAGCCAGGCGAGGGATCTCTTCTACGGGAGCCTACAGAAAAATAAATAGTGCATCCATAAGCTACAAATGAATAAGCTACATGTACATTGCCTCACAAAACTTTATCTCCAAAAGTTCATGTGACTTTTAACACTTACGCGTATATCAGATTGTTGAATGTAAATTTATGAACAAATGAAATGGTTCCTTCTTTAACCTTTTTCCCACTGCCTAACCCCGTAACAAACAGAGTTAAAAGGCTACTTCGGTGTGCTAAAGATAAGGTTAAGCTCACCTCTAGCTGGTCTGCTGCTCAGGCCTGTTCCAATGTCTGCTACCCATGATTCCATGGGAGGGTGGGAAGCACTGCTCACACTCGGGCCCTCTGGTCCGCCATCAAAACTAAAACTGGGGCTGGTTAGGAAAGAAGGGCAGACATCACCATTGCATTGTGTAGTGAAGGTCTCAAAATGGGGACACAATTCTATTCCGTAGTTAACATCTTTCAATATCCTTTTTTTCCAAAAGTAACTGTATCCAAACTGGCCATGGGTTACTTTTGTGTTTTTTTCACTTACCAGATACCAGATGCAATTTGACATATTGGAGAGAAATATCTGCTAAAACAAATTACCTTGCCTTCAACCTGACAGGAGGAGAGGGTGGGTGTCTGTCCCTGGCTGTGCACACCTGCTCCCTGACACCTGGATCACAGGTGCACCTGGAACGGCTGCTACAAGAGCAGCTGCGCTTGGGTGCCCATCCACCTTGATCCTGCTGGCAGCTGCACTTCCTGTCATGGGAACACTCCCTGTGCTTGGACCCATCCTGGATGTGAGATGAGCAGTAGTGGTTACTGAGGTCATTGCACTCCGACCTTCCACCTTGGTAACCTTTGCCCTCTTGTGACCTTTGCACTTCACACTGCGACCTCTCCCTCCCAAGATATGACCTTTGGTTCTCGTGAAACGATCTAACTGGTTCACACGTACTTGCAGCTTGCAACGACCTTGGGTCATCATAGAGAGGTGGTTGCTCTCCATGACATGACCTTTGAACCTCATGGCATGACCTTTGAACCTCAAGACACGACCTTTGCCCTTCACACCCTGAAGTTTTCCTGTTGTTGAAGACAGGTCTGTCAGTGAGAGGGGAAAGTTTGGAGGGCAACAGGTGGATGGGTTTGTTCCGTAACGTCCCGTGGGTAGGGGCGTGCGTTCCCATGGAGACGGTTTCCATGGTTGCGTTGCCACTGTCGACAGATGCCTCCACAGGTCTCCTCCTCCTGCCACCAGTGATGACCGGCTTCCTGCCGGGGTCAGCCGGGGTCATGAAGGGGTGGGAGAGGATGTCGGCCAGTTTGGGGCGGTCGGCGGGGTTCTTCCTGAGGAGAGCCGTGATGAGGTCACGTGCAGGTGCAGACAGGTGCTGCGGCAGGTGGTAGTCTCCCAGAACCACCTTGTTCAACGTGCTGCGCACCTGGTCTGTCTGCAGTTAACATGAGATGAACATTAGATGGATTTAAGAAACTTTGGACTGCAGGCAATTTCTAACCTTACAGCTGTTGAAATTCTGATCTTAAAAATGTTTTCTTCTTCATTTAACAGCCCCCTTTATCTTATTGAAGATAGTGAAGATTCACATTAAAACACTAATGTCAAGTATGCTCAGAAATAAAATACTGTTGTCTGTGATAACTTTGCACCACACAAGAATGACATTACGTTTTACAAAGTCAAACATTTCAAAGAGAAAATTCTTTACAAAAACATTTATACAAGTGCAGCTGGACTTACATCAAATGGAGGACTGCCCGTTAGGAATGTGTACAGCATACACCCCAGGGACCACACATCTGTCTCCAGCCCGTGGGCCTTACGGGTCACAACCTCAGGCGAGATGAAGTTGGGCGTGCCGCACATCGTGAAGTGCTTCTCATTGGGAACCTTCAGCCGCGTGGCCAGGCCAAAGTCTGCAATTTTCTGGAAAACAAAATATCACATGAAATGAGTTTAAATGAATGAGTGCTTGTGCCTAATGCCACACCAATTTGTATGGTTGAATGAAAATTTGTTTGTTTGTAATAAGGTGGCAAGGTGTTCTTGTGGCTACAGTTGTTGAATCAGAGTCTACTAAAGGTTTTGGGTTCAAATCCTTGGCAGGCCCCACTGTTGTGTCCTTGGGAAGGGCACTTTCACCTACAAGTTATTGTATTTCCTCACTCGACTTAGGTGAAAATGAGTACAATGTACCTAGCTTTGGTTGGGGACATCTTCTTGGATGGGACATAAAGCCGGTGGTTCCATGTTTGAGGAGAGCTACACCTCAAGCATGTTAAAGAGTGGTCTTAGGCAGCTTATACTTACTGTACAAAACTGGTGTGTTAGGCACAAGGGTTATGCAAAACAAACAAACAAACAAACAAGTTCTGTACCACGTCCATGGTGCGAGTGAGCAGCAGGTTAGAGAGGGTCATGTCTCTGTGCACGATGCCGTGGGAGTGGAGATACAGCAGGCCCTCGATGATCTGTCGCATGAAGTTTCGAGCTGCGGACAGAAGGCAAGAGAAATGGTGAATCTTCAATACTCCAACTGGCAAATCAATCTGAACTACTGAAGAGTTGGTAACCCTTCTAGCAGTTACGTTACACAAGATTAGAAAAGTACAATGCATGCATGTTGAGTAAAGCACAATTTGTGTCAAATTTGCAACCACACAACTCACAGTCACAGCAATGAGCAATCCACCGCTTCTGTGACGTCACGTGTATGCAGATGACATACGTGACTCAGTGAGCAGTGGAAGGTTGCAGAAAGTCTGTACACATTAATGTGTATTGCAACCATCCCTCAACAAACACGGGGGGTGCCACAGATTTTCTACAACCAATGAGCCACTGCTCGCTAAGTCAGCTGCATAACGTGACATCACAGAAGTGGTAGATTGCTCAATCCCTGACAAAGACTGGAGTTGAACAGTCAGAAACTTGGGTAAGTCCAATTTCCCGTGTTAAAAAATTACAGTTCTAACTTGCTTTGTAGTTACAATAAGGAGTAGTCTTCCTCCTCACCTTCCTCCTCAGTCAGCACCTTGCCCTGTTTCTTGAGGAAGCTGCCCAGCTCTCCATTGTGGCACATCTCCAGAACCAGGTACACATAGTTACTGTCCTCAAAACATGTGTACAGCTGGGGGAATTTGTAACAGTTCATGGGGGTTATAATACTTTCATAGGTTATCATAATACCTCATAGATGGTGATACTAGTAGTCAATTTGACAAATAAAAATCCACATACACGAAGAAAAGTGCATGTATATAAACCCATGCCAGGACTAGTGCCAGAATGTTAGAAGTTTCTTACTCTTACAAGAACAACTAGCATGCTAAAGCTTCATACTTTTGAACAACTAACCTCAAGGACTGCTGGGTGCTTCAGCTGGCAGTGGATTTCTACCTCGTTCCTGACGCGTGTCACCATCCCAGCAGCCTGCATCAACTTTTTGTCAATCTGCATCCATGGTACAATTATTTCAGTAAATTTCAGTTACCGGTACACAGTATTAGCTGGGAAAGATATAAAATGTTTATTTATCTTACAATGAATGCATGGCACTAGATATTTGCTGAATACAAATGATTAATCTTAATCAACATGAAAAATTACAGATGTATTATCATGTATATATCAATGACAATTTAATGAATCAACAATCATAACAAAAAGTTGCATGTATTTTTGCTCTCAGCCCCCAGCAGACTGCCAACCAGGCTGTCATTACCAGGGGTCCCTTGGGTGTCTTCACATGCTTCACATTGCCAGGCAATGCTATGAGCGCAAGGATGGCATCATCATCGAGCAAAGTACATGTAGTGTGTGGCATTTACTAGGACTTGAACCCTCGACCTCTAGGTCTGTGCAAAGTGTTATAAACAAAGCATTTACCATATCAGCCACATGTGAACCAGTAGTATGTGTGTTTGTGTACTTCAAGGACTCAAAGGACCATGAATGTATTGTCCTTTTTGCACTGTCTGAATTTGGCATTTACAAGTACTTTTAGTACATCAAGTGAAATTATTCATTTATCTGTTTCTTTTCTTGTTCTATTATTAAACATATATCTTACGACAATTTACCAGAAGCGCAATGTTGGCCAATGGGCAATAGTAATGTAAGTTGAAGACCTACCATCTTGATGCCGACCTCCAGCCCAGTGCTGATGGAGCGTGCCCGGTACACACAGGCAAACCCTCCCCGACCCAGGAGGTTCAGCACATGGTAGTCCTGGGGACAGTTACACAGGAAGAAAATTGGATTAACGTGCCTACCAATAATTTCATTAGAATTAATTACAAATTATACATAGGAAGCCATGCACTTGGAGAAAATCAATACGTGGACCAAGATCAGTGCAAATACTAGAAGCCTCTAGCTAGGATATAGTATATATACTAGTAACAGGATATGTCTAATTTACATGTAACAAGCAGACGTCACATGTGTAACAGTTTGTATATAGGCACCACCAACTGCCCAGCCCGATGGGTCCTGGACCTTTTGGCCTAATCGGTTGGTGCGCTGGTTGTGAACCAGGAGTCAGAGTCAACCTTTGTCAGCTTGTGTCTTTCTATGGTGATACACTTGCCTTCAATTATCTTAAATTATCTGATTTGTGAACATAATTTGATGGTTTGACTGATTGAATTAAGAGCAGAAGAGAGGACTTTATGAATGGAAATTAAGCTCATCAAAAAGAAAGGAAATGGCTAATTTCGTATTCCTGATCACTGCTCACCTCTATGTTGTCCCCCAGACCACTGGGGTCGGCTGTAGTAGACATGGTCACTTATGATCAGAAATAAGACAACAGAAATTGTGGGGAGGGGGGCAAGCAAGAAACAGCTTAGCTTAGTTCAGTTTCCTTGAATCCTTAGTCTACGAAGACCTCTAAAATACTCCTGGAAATAAAACTTGTAATCTCGTCAGGTTATCCCTCCGTTGAAACATTCCATGGTGAAGAATTCGTGACAAATTTATTACAGATTCCTTGCAAAATAATGGCGGGCGTTCTTTTTTGAAAACACGCGCCGGTTACACATGAAATCGAGGCTGAAGGTGAAAGGTCAAAGTGTTCTCGAGATCATTCTCGAACTTTCCCGTAGTTTCCCGGACAATGCCGAGAATGTCCGAAGGGTGCCGATGATTCGCCGATTGTAGCCGAAGGGACATTTTTGCGGTGGAAAACACCCGAGGCGTCACCGGAAGTGTCCGAACATGACGTCACACCATTTCGTCAGGACGCCGGCCATCTTCACGTGTGCCCTGGAAATTTCGCGACGGATCACGGACGAATGGACCTAAGGTTTCAAGGGTTCTGTCAAAGCCAGAGGATTTCTTTTTCCGACAGGATTACAACCGAAAGGATTACCAAAACGCCCCTACAGTCTAAAACCCGACCAGGAGCGTGAAATTATCGTTTGAATTCTTTATTTTCTTGTGAAACGAGGACCACTACCAGGAAGAGAGACAAATCACACAATGTCTGTCGTTGGGTTCGACCTAGGAAACCTGTCGTGTTATATCGGTGTGGCCAGACAAGGGGGGATAGAGACCATCGCCAATGAATACAGTGACAGATGTACACCGTAAGTATATATCTTCATATTTCTTCGCCCGTTTGAACATTCACTGTAGGAAAAAATTCACAAAGACGTAAGTTTATGATCATCCCATATAATTTACTAGGGTCGCTTTTGTCCCTATACCGGCCGGTGCCCTAAAGGCAGGGTGATCAAACAGTTTGTATTCCTTTCTTTTACGTTTAGATTTTTACACGATATGTATTTTGATATCCACGCTTATCTTTGATGTGTTTTCAGTTCTCTTTTCCCTTTAACTCACACCAATATCGTGATTTCAAGGGACAGGAACTGCTGAAAAATTGCAACTTTCAATTTTCAGGGGTGGGAGGGGGGCACTTGCTTTACACCAGTGCCCAGTGGCCTTGCCTTAGGGCTTTCACTGTTCCACATAAATAAATCTATGTACAAGTTTGTCTTCTATTCTTTATAGTGTCAGTGCATTGACGCAGTTTGATTTTTGGACAGATTTGACCTTTGATCACTTATAATTTTAGTTAGGAGACCCAAGTTTCCATATATTTTAACGTTACTAATACTAGGTTGATCTGTGTAAACCTCTGGGCAAGAAATAGTAAACAGGTGACTGGTCAAGGGTACTTAATGACCTGATTTACACGCGGGCAAAAACCAACAATACTATAACTGCATATTCAAGCAAGCGTATGAAAACTGTCAAATTTTTTCCTGCATGTAAAGCAAACTGTTTTGACAAATGTACGTTCCGACCGTATGCCAGCCCTCGAGGAAACATACGATCTGAACATATGATATGTTCTTGACGTACATCAAAGCAGGCCAATTTACATGCAGGAAAAATTTGACACACACAGTTTTCACACACTCGCATGCACATGCAGTTTTGGTATACATGTACTTTGTTTTGTTTGTATGCTAGGTTACAGGTAACTGTTTCATGGTGTGTGTGGCGCTGTATAATTTTAGACTCAGTTAGATTGGGTAAGTACAAATGTAGTACAAGAGGCATATCAGGACTTCAACTGATTTAGTCCACTTACACAGGGAAGGGCCCCTCCTCGATAAGTGTGGCGGGGTCTTTAGATATGCTTCAGCCTTGTGTTGAGGTGTGGCTCTCTAACATGGGACCACAGTCCTGAAGATTGATACACAATTCCAAGGACTGCAACAACACATTTCTGTCATTGATTAGAACCAGAAGGGGACTGAAGGTGTGAGCGTGTGGCCTAACTAAACAAATGTTACCCTTGACCTGATTATTTAGAACCCTTGACCTTGTGATGCATCAGTGGAGTCACTAACGACCACACTAACATGACACTGAGACTGATCAAATGTACATGGTGTTTTAGCACTTATTCCCTAGGCATTAGTAGCACCAATTGACAGTATTTTATTGGATTATGACAACATATACATGCATGTACATTTCGTGGCACATGGCAAAGAAAGATAATTCATGATCAATATCAGAAATAAATAGATGTAGTCTTGACTCTTAGTCACATTTAGACACTGTTGTTTTTTACTTGAAGGCTTAACACAGTAACAGTGTTGTACTGTCTCATGTAATACATAAATCCCTGACAAACATTGTTCTAACTAGCAGAAACTTTTGGCAGTGGCTCCAAGCTGGCTGTACTGGGTAAACCAAACCAGTAACGGCTTTGGCATGCGTGTATATTAGGCGCTTTTGCCACCACATATGGAAACCAAGGCCTGCGGCTGACGGAAATAGGGCCGGTGTAAATAGGACTGGTCTTGACCGAGGGAAGGGACGCCGGCACGCGTGTCATTGAGACAAGTCAGCTGGGGAACATGTGAGAGGGTGCCAGTCCGAATGTGGTGGCTTGTCTGGGAACAGGCCTGGTCAAATGTTTGCATACTTTGACACCACATACGGGATGGCAGACATCCTGGACTGGAGTCAGAGCTTCATGTTTTTCATGTCATCCTGCTTTCCCTATATGACTCTCCTTTTATATAACAGTATAAATACATCAGCTGATCAGGCCCTGAAGTTGAAATACCACCTGCATATGTAGCTTAGTGCAGGTAAAATTTGATTTTCAAAATTTTCCGGGAGAGCATGCCCACTGTTCTTCCAAGAAGCTGTCCACATCCTTCCTAAATCCTAATACTAATACATGTACATGTAGTTACCCAAGAAGACTTCTTGGCCAAGCTCCAGAAGCAGTCTAGGAGATGCATTCCACTCCTAATGATTGAATCCAGGTATCTGTTTACCTGAGGCTGTTAGTGTATGAACCCAGTTTGTATGAATATGTGAAGCAGGTAAAATTAAACATTACCAGCACCAGACAAAATTTTACCTGCACCACTCAGAATTTACCATTTTCATTACATTGTATTTTTTCTCTCATTCTTCTATGGTGGTAACAATGCAACAATACAGTAACAAGTCCACTAACACCTACATTTGTATATAAACCCAATACATGGACCGGTGCAAGTTAGGTGCAGATAGACATCAGAAATACCCGCACAACTCCAATTTTACCTGCACTAATGCACGTATCTGCACGTATGCAGAAAGTATTTCAAGCGCCGCATCCAAATTTTTAGATTAAAAACAAAAACATGTCTGTGGTGTCACACTGTCCCTGGCTACCTGCTGATTTTGATACACAGCCACACCAGGATCAGTCAATTGTAGTCACATCAAATTTTCACAACTTAATAGATACCACTAGTATGTGGAGTATGGCAAACATGTTTTATTGACACAATAATCAGTGTTTGACAGTTTTGACAAATTTCTGTTGGCACGTGATACCAGAACACCACCAGTTTCAAGCAGCATTAACTTTGTATGTACATTAGTTTCATGACCTTATTTGCATACTAGTAAGGTGGTTACTTCTAGGTTGTAAATTAAATCTTATGAAATATAAGAGTGAGAAGTCGGCTTACCCCAAAATAACTGCATGTTAATGTACGTATAATGGAAAACTATGATTTTGTTAATAAATTTCCCTGTACTGAAGTAGACTTTTGGCTACCAAACTTGTACTAGCAGTTGTGAGAAAGTTGAACATATCAGGACAATACATTAAGTAGTTTAATACATTTTGTACTACCACCATTTGTTAATGCATGGATTCATAATCTGTTAGGTCCATATCTCAACTTAGTCTAGAAATATGAATAATTGATGGTGGTTTTTAAGTATCTCAAAAAATACCATGTAACAACATATTACATGTTAAAGGATATAACAAGATGATACTCAGGTCTACTACTAGTACTAGTGCTTGGTATATTTCAAAACAAACACTGCATTCAGATTTCTGACCTTGCCAAGGTCCTTACATCCGTACTAATTAAGTGGTCCAGCTAAAATAAATGGCCAGCTGTGCCCGCTGTATTAATAAACCATCAGAATGTTGCTAATCTGATCATGTTGTCACCAGTGGTCTCTCAGAGGACCAAACCCTACACCACAAGGTGTCCAAGTAACCACAGTTGAGACAGCTAATATAGCCGCTATCTTAACCCTTGTCCTGCTGGCATTCCTGGCACAATATTTTTCAATAATTTCATGTCTTAATTAGATCAGACCCCCAATTTTTTTTTGCCCTGCAATGGCATAGTTACTTCCGCATTCGTTGCGTTTCGCTGCGGTGTGATACCCACAAATCCCCACAAATCGTACCTATACAGGGTGCTACATAGATGGTACTGTATGTGCCGCGCGACATATGTTGCGCACAGCAGGACAAGGGTTTTAATATAGTTACTATCTTCTATTTGGGAAATTCATGTAATTAGCCAGACATGTGTCTGTAAGCTTTGGGTTGACCAACTGTGTGATATGATGTTGAGAACTTGATCTGATAGCCCATGTGCTAACTTCGGATAGTCTTTTTACATCTAATCAAATGGTATGAACCATATGGCACCATGTAATACAATTTGAACTAGAGTATTCTGTCTTGCCAAAACCACAATTACGGTATGAAATAACATTTGCCAGGAAATTGTGGCTCTTTATATTAACCTCTGTACAGAATGTTAATAACAAAGATATAAAACACGAAGACACGTAGGTTTAAAATATAAATTATTCATGCAGCATTCATGCATATACATGTATATATAAATGCAATCCCTCACCAAGATATTTTTTAAATCTGTTCTATTCATGACTTACATAAAGAATCTTTAATTTGTATGAAAGTTGACCAATAGGAGAGCTTAGTTTGTACACAGGTACTACATAGATATGTAAGATACATATATATGTATCATTTAACTCATTGTTTTCTGGATTTAATCACAAATTGAATACTCATGACATAATTCACTCTGATCATGTAGAAATTGTAATCCTAGAATATAAGTGATAGTGTAAAAGAAAGGTTTCTCCATACATGTATGTTCAAATGATGAGTCCTCTAAACTGTTGTTGTCTCCTGTATTCCAGGACAGTGGTATCATTTGGAGAGAAGCAGAGATCTATTGGAACACCGGCAAAGAACCAGGTAAGTGAGCCATGGAAACACTTGAGAAAGTCTTTTAGTATTTGTATTTGCACTAGTATTGTGGAGCTGATGTTTAGATTGATGTTTCTGAAGAATGAAGTTACTGTACACAAAGTACAGGGAATAGAGAGACCAAACTGAAGATTGTCAAAAGCAGCCAGAATCTGATGGTGTCCAGTGCAGGCAGATTAATTATGAACGTCAACGAAGGTTAAACTTCCAGGTAATGAGATACACAAGAAAACAGTTACTCAAGCAACTGGGTTTTGAAAACTGTCGGGTATCCAAAAGTAGTGGATGCTACATGCAATATCTGACAGTTGCTTGAGCAACTGTTTTCTTGTTGAACACTGTTATACTAGTAGTTTAGCTAGCAACCAGCACTCTACCAACGTGTTCATTACAGCAATTACATGTACACTCCTCCATGTTCAGATGGTGACAAACTACAAGAACACGGTGTACCAGTTTAAGCGGTTCCTTGGGCGAAGGTTCCAGGACCCGCAGGTCCAGGCAGAGCTGCAGCATGTCCAGTTCAGGGCCGCAGAGATGCCCGATGGATCCACGGGGATGAAGGTACGGCCAAATGAATTTCTAAATGGCAAATACATTCTGTATCTGTATAGCCAGTATACTATAGTAAGTGTAGCACACCATTTTTTGTATTAGTTGGCTATTTTAATTATACCAAACAACCAGTTCCACCTAACATCTAACTGTAAATGATCTTTAAAGCTATCTAGTGATGGAGCCCCTTTTGTACTTGGTGGCATCAGGTTCCACTCTTCAATAGATCAAAGAATAAAACAAGCCTTTGAACACCTCAATCCTTAGAAATAAAGAGCTCTTTTGAAAGGAATCTTCCAAAATTTGTGCGAGTTGACGAGATTATATATGTCATGCTTAACGACAAGTTGATTCTTCACAACAATAAAACAACAGGTGAGATGATGTAAAAGTCAATCCATTCGCAGAGTCCCCTCCTCCGTAAGGCGGCACTTTTCTGTGTCCCCGGGCTGGCAGCGGGCGGCAGCTATCCCAGGGTTCTCTTGGGCAGGTGTCTGTGTGTCTGCCAGCTCTTGTCTTTCAGAGGGGCGGGATCAGGAAGATGTTGGCTGTCTGATCACTTCTTTTTTCAAACCGTTAACCAGATTTACCAGATTTATCATGATGTAGTTTTAATGTTTTGATTCCTGCTGCAAAGTCTGCCTTGTCCCCCCGACGACCAGTGTCGGTCATGGGACTAGGTAGGTAGGTAGGTAGTTTTAATGTACAGGACTCCAGGAAGAATAGTTAAATTTCAGTCCATACCATGGTATGGATGAAATATATTGTGTTCTCTCATGTTTCTTCTCCTTCTTCTTCTCCTTCTCCTGCCAAACAGTCAAAGGGATTCAACTCCGCCATCATTCAGCCAAATGACTTGAAATTTGGCATGAGGGTAGAGTGGGCCAATACCCCCAGGCGTTGTTTCCATTTTTTTGATACATGCCTTTGAAAAATTTTTATGAAGGTTTTTTGGGGCATTTTTTGCCAAAAAATGGATTTTTGGATCCTGAGCCCTGACCAAATGATCTGAAATTTGGTATAAGGGTACCTTGAACATGTGTCTACAGAATAGCACTCACATATTTAGCATACACCACTTCCAAATGACTCATTTGGGGGACTTAAATGGCTATTTTCAGCAAAAAAAGGGCCAAAAGTGCTATACCCGTTCCATGTTCTATGTATAGAATGGCCTGTTCCATCCATGGAACACGTGTTTCATTGTGGGTTACCTGAGGTCACATTGCACGTAAGTTGTGCGTAATGACCCACACATTCAATTTTATGTGCCTAAGACCTTCAAAATGTATCAAATCTCATCATTGTTAGTATTTGCATACCTGTAATAAGATTAGTAAAGCTTTCGAGATTCAATGTGCTTGTTCTTGCATCTTTGTTCTCAATTACATAGCTACTATATAATTCATTTATTTGAGAATCTTTGCCAGTTTTACACTGGGGTAAGTTTGGAATAGTCCACTTTTGCGTGGGAGGGAGATGGACTGAAATATGCTGTATTTGCTCCCAAGCAAATGTCGGCCTCTCTAGTTAGCAATATGTTTGTTTTAAATAAAATTTAAAACATTTTACCACTGTTTGTACCAATATTTGTTCCTGACAATTCTTAAGACATTGTAGTACAGTTAAACAGGTCATAAAATGTCAAAACATGTGTAAAGGTAAAGTTAAGGTAGTCTTATAGCCTTTTGATGCCGTGAGGTCAGTGGGTTGTTAATCCACTGTGTTTAGGGTACGGTATTTAGAAGATGGAGCCCATCCCTCTCCTTCCACTGCCTTTTACCTCCCTAACCAAAGTCAGGAACCCATTTTACACCTGGGTGGAGTGAGGAACGTTGTGTTAAGTGCCTTTCCCAAGGACACAAACAAACAAACTGTTGTTGTTTACATTGCAAACAAACAAACTGTTGTTGTTCTCCTTCCAGCTGCACTACCAGGGGGAGGAGCATGTGTTCAGTACAGAACAGGTCACCGGGATGATACTCACCAAACTGAAGGAGGTGTCTGAGATGAACCTCAAGGTCAAGGTGGTGGACTGTGTCATTTCTGTAAGTATTACTTCTTCTCTTACAATCTTGTTATTGATCCTATCAATGATAGATAAGTATTTTTTGGACATATAGATTTTTACCTCTGGGAAAGTAGATGGTGAGAAGGTATTGTTTTTGGTCATGTTTGTGTGTTCACAGATATAACTCATGGTGGGTTCGAAGGGTTTTCTTTGATTTTTGCTATATGATGAGTTATTGGGGGCCAGATGATGTGTTTTGTTTTATTTCTTTGTATCTGTATTCTCATGTAATGAAATAGAAATATTGTCCACTGTAGTTAAAACTGTGTGGGACTAATGCTAGTAATGGGCTATACCATGGTGGTTAAGCCTGTGTTGTGTAGTGTTGCCCTATTGCCTCATATTTTTTCTAAAAAAATACGAGAACCAACAAATTGTTGTTGCCTAACTGTAACATATCTTGTACATTACTGTACACTACTAATCCCTCCCCTCCCCTGCCTGTGTAGGTGCCGTGTTTCTTCACGGATGCAGAGAGAAGAGCGGTACTGGACGCAGCCACCATCTCTGGTCTCAACGTTCTGAAACTCATGAACGACACCACAGCAGGTAGGAAACACAAAAATTGGACACACCCAAATTTTTCACTATCCAACTCCATTCTTTGTCTGGATATCTGTGACATTCGTAGTAACTGATGAAAGGATTGAGGTGTTCAAAAGCTTGTTTTGCCAAGAACTATTGTAGAGTGGAACTTGCTGCCACCAATTACAGTAGGGGCATCATCACTAGATGGCTTTAAAGAACATTTGCAGTTAGATGTGCAAAGGCTGGATGAAACAAGTCATTCAGTGTAATATAGCCAGCTGCCACCATGCCATGTACGTGCAAAGCTGGTGTTTTATAAGTTTTAAGCCAAAGGACAGTTATACCAGCTTAACAGATACAGATACAGAAAGATAGTTGATGCTATATGAAATGACTGACTCTTGATAGAATTTATCCAATTTATCCATAGTCACTGTGCCTTTGCCGTGTAGCAATTTAGCAGACAAAAAAAATGTTAGAAGGAAAAAGAGTTGAAGGCTATATTTTTTGTGTCCCTCCCCAGCGGCCCTTGCGTACGGTATCTACAAGCAGGACCTTCCAGCCCCGGAGGAGAAGCCCCGGAACGTTGTGTTTGTGGATATGGGCTACAAGTCACTACAGGTGTCTGCCTGCGCTTTCCACAAGGGAAAACTCAAGGTACAGTTTCTCTCCACTCATGGACAATTTTTCTTTAAAGGTACCCAAAGCAATTTCAGGGCAGTTAAACTTTGTTTTCAAAGTCAATTTTCTAGTCATTTTTTAATGTACTAAGTTCAATCAACCCTATCCCATACCAAACTGATATCTGTAAAGCAAAAATGTGATGTTGCTGACAGAAAATGGTCGCTTGCCTCATAACATAGGCTAGTTCTATCTATTTTTTGGTGGTATAAAAAAGATACAGGGCCTCCTCACGCCGCTGATATTAAAAAGCTTCAAGTATGAAATGATATAAAACATTCTAAGAAATTGTAGAAAATGTGAATATCAGACAGATTTCCTCATCTAGAAATTTTTTGACAAGTGTAAAAGTATGAAACTTAGTAAAAAAAAGTAAAAAAAAACTAAATAAAGTAAAAATTGAATAGAATAAAAAAAGTAAAAAGAAATAATGGCAATAGTTTGTAAACAGTTTTTAGTGTGATCCATTGTAACTTCTGAGTGGTGCAGGTAAAATGTGGTACATCAGTGCATGCAAGTATGCCAAAAAAATAAATTTGAGGCCTGCTACTGTAAATTAACATTACCTTTTTCTCAGTTGGCAATAAAACAACAGGTGAGATGATGTAAAAGTCAATCCATTCGCAGAGTCCCCTCCTCCGTAAGGCGGCACTTTTCTGTGTCCCCGGGCTGGCAGCGGGCGGCAGCTATCCCAGGGTTCTCTTGGGCAGGTGTCTGTGTGTCTGTCAGCTCTTGTCTTTCGGAGGGGCGGGATCGGGAAGATGTTGGCTGTCTGATCACCTTCACGTCCTTCCTGTTAGAGATCTTAATCCTGTTCTGGAAAGATCATACGCACTGAGAATTGAAAAATCTAAATATATCAACCTGTTGTTTAATGTGAGGTAAAGATTCATGTATCAACTTTACTACAAGAGCATACTTCCCTCAATGTTACAGAAATATCTTTACTCCAAAGTCAGATAAATTTTCTAAATTATGAGTGCCTTTCAGTGGTTTTTGGTCACTTCATCACAACTGACAGAATATCTATTTTACTGCATCATCTGTGTAAAATAAAAGAAGACCAGATAATTATAAGCAAGTTTGAACTGTCATCATCATCATCATAGCTTATCGCCAATCCACTCCAGCCAGTTCCGCGCTGCTTCATTGGCCTCCTGGAGATCTGTGTCTGTGCAGGTAGGACCAAGCCTGCAGCCGTGCATCAGGTGCTGGATGGTCTGAGGGTCCTCTCCGCAGCTGCAGGTTGTACTGGTGGACTTGCCCCACCGTGCCAGGTTGTCCCCTGTCCTGGCCACCTTAGCCCTTGCCCGGTTCAGGGCCACCCAGTCCCTTCTGCGCAAGTTTGAACTGTAATTTTTAAAGAAGAAATTGGACTTAGCCATATTTTCGACTGTACAACTCCATTGTTGGAATGAGCAAGACACCACTTTTGTGATGTCACATTAGCAGATGACACACAAAATTAAAGTAGTGAATTGCTCAAGGCTGGAATTGTGCAGTCAGCTTCTTATGTTGGAAGATACAGTTAAAACTTGTTTCATAATGACTTCTAGCAAGTTGGACATAGGTAAAGTTTCAAGACAAAAAGGCCATATGTTGATATACGTCGTCTGTTTCACTACAGGTCTTAGCGACTGCGTTTGACTCGAACCTCGGTGGTCACAACTTCGACCTGAGGCTGGCGGAGCACTTTTCGGAGGAGTTCAAGAAGAAGTACAAGGTGGACGCCAAGACGAAGCCTCGCGCCATGCTGCGTCTGCTGACGGAGTGCGAGAAGCTGAAGAAACTGATGAGTGCCAACGCCACCGAGATCCCCATGAACATAGAGTGCTTCATGGATGACAAGGACGTCACCGGCAGGATGAAGAGGTTTGTTTGTTTGTTTATTTTGTTTATTTGTTTATTTAAATTTTTCACAAAGTGAAAGGGAGGGCAAAACAGGTGCGAAGCACCTTTGCTAGTTGCCCTCCCACATACAAAAACAACAAGAATGTACATTACACAGTCAACAATCTATAATACAAGTAGGGCACAAAATATCATATAAACATAATCAAGGTAACAACAATGAATGGAAGAGATAACCATATCGGCACGATATCTAGTGAGGTCTTGAGGCAATACAAGAGCTACATCCACACGAAGTGGTCCAGGTACATGGCAGATCAAGACTGTATTGAGTGTTGAATCTGTTGTAGGCTACTTTTGCCAGTTTATGTTTAAATGCTATGATATCAGACTGATGAGCGGCTCGCACATCAGTACCACGGAGGTCAGAACCTAACTTATTCCAGATAGTTACAAGTCTGGGAATGTAGGAGTGACTGAACGCTGACGTCTTAGATCTAACAGGTGTAAGCATGTACGACCTAAGACTCCTCGTGGGTCTGGTGGGAAGTGTGATATATTTCTCTATGATTGCTCTTGATTTGACAAATAACATTATATCGCATACCTCACGCCTACATGTAAGTGGCAACAGCCCTGTTGTTGCTAGCCTTTCCTTGTAGGAAAGGTGACTAGCCTGAGGGCCCAGAATGAATATGGTTGCCCGGCGTTGAACCCCTTCATTTTAAGTACTGGACTACTGGAGTAACCCTATGACTTAAAAGTACCAGTTTTGCTGACAGCCCAACAGCTTTGGCTATGGCTGAACAGTCCTATATGAGAATCACATCTGTAAGCTTACTCAAGTCTGTTGCAGAGTTCTTTTCTCTGAATCTGCTTCTTTTCTGCTTCTCCTCTATCATCAGTCCACCTTCCCCTGATTTCAGCCGCCTGGACAGTGTGAACCTCCAGTTGGGTCGGTCATTGGCGAGGTCCTCCCAGTGCGCTGTGTGTTATGCCATGTCATGCTAATCTTTCCCTAGACAAGGAAAGTGTTCAGATGTATATGTTTTGCTTTCTAGGGGAGACTTTGAGGCGATGTGTGCAGACTTGTTGGCACGAGTAGAGGGACCTCTCAAGTCTGTGCTGGAGCAAACCAGTAAGTTCCTCCTGTCTTCTCAAGTTTTTTTTTGTAAGACTGAGCAACGTCTTACCGAGTCAATACATGAGGTACAAAATGTATTTTAACTCAATGAGATACATGTAAGTTGGTATTGTTTTGAATCACTTTAAATGGAGCATCGTATTATTCGAAAATGTATGTGCTTGAATATACTTCCTTCATAGTCACATATGTTGCCAAACACTATTGATTGGCTACATGTAAAAGTTATTTTCATCTCAGTGCTTCCCTCTAGATATTTTTCTAAAACTTTTTTTCTTCGCAGTTCTGCCACACTTTTTTGTTTTTCTCCCCTTTTTTGTGCCTTTTTTTATTCTCTGAGTCTGAAGAATCAAATGTGTCAGATAGCATCACTCACTATAAAAAGCAAATACTCTCTGAAATGTCTGGCTCTTTAGAGAATCTAAAAGGTATCCAGTTGCTTGATTTATTTTATACTGTAAGTCTACAAATTTCCGCGGTATATTTAGATTCGCGGCATTCGCGAGGACTTTTGTACCGCGAATCTATTTCCCCGCGAATATGTTTTGCGTAAGTGCGCCCCGCTGCCCACATGCATTCACGACGGCAAGCGAAACACAAACACACGCGATTCACAAATCACTGCAAATCAACTTTATTCTTAGCAAATGTTGAGTACCAAATTTTTTTTAAATTATACTGATGTCAAAAAAATATAATATTATGAGACACCGAATCGCGATACTGCGGCACTGGCCGTGTCAACCGTGTACCGACGAAAAAAAATCTATGCGTGCAGAGTGCCGGCCATGCGCGCCCGGGCGCTTGAAAATTGCGGGAACATCGGGCATATCTACAAGTATTTTTATGAAAAATATAACGGCTGGTACCTGGGAAATGTTAGTTGGTTATCTTTTGCGCCCTGCTTTGCGGGCGTTTTTTTCTTCTTCTTGTTTTGCTGGATAGAAACGCTCACCGTGGTCCTACAAAACCGAAGGCGACCTTTGCATACTTCCGGGTTCAAAATCTCGCCGAAGACGGCATAAATTTGCTTAGTAATATATATATTCTTTCGATTATGCATTTCTTCACTAGAGTATCGATGTGTAGTCGTGGAAAATAGCATTTTAGCGCTTATTTCCGAACAAAGAAAATTGTTTACACGTGCGTCAGATCGGTCGTCAGCTTTACCGCCGGCAGTCTCGCGCGGTGCACGAAACAAATTTTTGCGCCGCGTTTTAGGAGATAAATTTATGCCGGAACTTTTATTTTTTTAAATATACACTTTACAAATTTTTCTTTGAAAAATAGCCAAGGAGAAATCGCGAATCTAAAAATACCGCGGATTGTCCATTTTCCCGAAACCGCGAACTTTAGTCCCCGCGAATCTAAAGAGACTTACAGTATTATGCAATGTAGTACACAGATGTCAAACCTTAATTGTAGTGAACATAACCAATCTAAACTGCCTCTGTACAGACCTGAAGCCAGATGCCATTGACTCAGTTGAGATAATCGGAGGACAGACACGCATGCCGGCCGTCAAGGAGATCATCAAGAAGGTGTTTGGGAAGGAGACCAGCACGACCCTGAACGCAGATGAGGCCGTGGCCCGCGGCTGTACCCTGCAGTGCGCCATGCTGTCCCCGACATTCCGTGTGCGGGAATTCTCCGTCACCGACGTCGTCCCATTTCCCATCTCGCTCAGCTGGAAGGCCGCCATCGACGAGGAAGGGTGAGTGTGGCGTTAACTTTCTTTTGCAGGAATGCAGAAGAATGTTTTTAGCACGCTCAAAACTGCACAAGAAAACTACTCAATGGGACCAATAAAATCTGGTCTATTTGGATAGGTGGTCACTATATATAGGGTTCTTGATGCTTGTGTCAATGGGAACATTATCTAAGCAGCCACGAAAAAGTGGTCACATTGGCCAGGTGGTCCGTATGCAGAGGTGGCTACTTGTAGAGGTTTGATTGTAACCGACGGTATGAACTGTGCCCCTAGCATGTGAATGAAACATTGCAGTTTCACAACTGCATTCTCTTGCCTTGCCCCGAGTTTACATGTATGTGTGCTTTGGTGTTTCCTGTCCAAGCCCATGTCTCAAAGCATGGTATAAGAACAAACGCATCTACATTGTACATAGTTGTTTACAGTAGCTGGACAAGTTCCAAGGGTTGTGATGGAACTTTTCTTGCACACTGTCTTGTTTTGTACATGTATGCTGTCTTGCCCCTTGTTTTGCAATTTCTTCAAACATCAGTGGAAATTAGGCAATACAGTTCAAAGGAATATGTGACTTTTCGCAAGAGTAGACTATGGCATTGGGAAATCTTCCACTGGCATGGCAATTATAAAATTAAAAGTTGTGTCAACTACATGTACCTCAACCTGAAGCTAAGTGTACACATGCCAGTTAACTAATCAAATTATCAAAACAACAGCATTACTGGAAAAGAAATTTAAATACAATTGTCTACAGGAGGAAGAAGACGAAGCAAAAAGGCAGTGGGGAGATGGAGAGTTTTGGGTAGGCAGTGCCGTATAATGCTCAGGTCACAATTGATAAAAGGGGCCCTGCTTGGTAGCTTACAGGCTGTTTTCTACACTTTCGGTCACAGCCAGGGGCTACAGTACATCCCATATGCCCACCAGTGTAATTGTGACCTAAGCATAACTGATTCTCTTGTAACAAACCTCACTACTTACTAATTCATCATGGATACCTTCATCAAGGTTGTATTGCACATTGGTAACTGTTTGAAGCTTGAAATACCAACCTGAAGTCCGCTAATGACAAACTAAAACTGTTAATCGCATGCAACATTTTGACAAACTTGTGATTCTATGCAAGGCTAGTTTTTGATGAAAGGAGGTCTAAAAGTGACATAATGATTGTTAGAAATTTTTCATAATACATATGTACATGTACATGTATGACTACATTGTTGATTTGTATGGCTTTCTGAAATGGACAAAAGATACATGTATGACTGCATGCTTGACCAAAAAAATTGACCAAAGCAAAGGAGCAAATAAATGCCCCTGTTGATAATATTGTAACAGTATTTTCTAGCTCTAAACATAATAAAAGTAAACAAGTGACGAAACAATTGCAAGCTTTGCCAGGAAACTCTGGTGTATGGTGTTACTATTGAGATATAGAGATTGCACCCTCTTACCACGTGTGATTTTGTTTGTGTACCTCTATGAGTCAGGTTATTTTTTGGGCTTATAATGTGCTTTTTTCTGATAGTGTGTTTTTTTTTCACGTTTTTCTGATACACCATCAGTAAAAAAGTACATTATAAGCCTCAAAATAGCCTGACTTGTAGAGGCTATGAGGTTAGAGCACATTTCCATCATTTGAAAGACTTGTTCGTTCTTTACAGGGACATGGAAGTTTTCACCAAGAACCACGCAGCGCCGTTCTCCAAGATGCTGACCTTCTACCGCAAGGACCCCTTCACTCTCCAGGCTAGATACTCCCTGCCTAACGATATACCACACCCCGACCCTGTCATTGGTATGTGTCATCAGTCAATCAATCAATCATTCAATCAATCAATCAATCAATCAGTCATACTAACCATGTTCAACAATTTCATATATTATGGATGTTGTCAACTAGAAGTTCCTGTCCCAAATCCAGTTAGTTTGTATATATTTGAGATTCGTTTGGTTTTTAAAACTAGAGAAGTAACATTTGCAAATCAACTGCATAGCGTTTACCTTCACATGGCCAAGCCTAACAAACTGTCATTCGTTTTCCAGGCAAGTTCTTCATAGACAAGGTTGTGCCCACCCCTGAGGGTGAAAGTGCAAAGGTCAAGGTGAAGGTCAGGGTCAACATCAACGGCATCTTCACGGTGTCGAGCGCCCAGCTGGTGGAGAAACTGCCACCGCAGCCGGCCGAAGAGGAGAAGAAGGAAGAAGAGACTAAGAGTAAAGATGGTAAGAAGAAGAAGAAGCAAAAAACAAAAGATGTCGGTTAGTGTCTCTCCTTTTGTGTTTGTGGTGTCACTCCTAACCTTCCGGGGCTCAAAACTCAATGCTTCAAGATCTTATTAGTCTGATTTTTATACATTTTCTACAATCATAGTCTGTTTTTTTTTCATATTCTCTGAAGTCTTGGTATGATTTCTGACATTTTCTACATTATCTTAGTACAAGTTTTTTACATTTTCTACAATCCCAGTTCAAATTTTGACATTTTCTACAATCTTAGTCTGATTGATTTTTTTTACGTTTTCTCAAATTTTAGTTCAATTTTTGCAAATGTTGGTCTGCTTGCGTGGCTCTGTTCCGAACTTCAGCAGTTGAGGAAAGAGCCACTCATACATGGCAGTCATGATACAAAATTTGGTCTCAATATTTCTCAGTTGAAAACCCTATATGCTGAAAATCATATGTCTGCAGTTGTTGTTGACATTATCCAGTTTTGAGCCCCCCCTCTCCCATTTCCTACCCTTGGTTTTGGTCTGCTGTGTTTCTCTTACCCTTCTCTTCCCTAAAGTGTTGCTGCCTTTTAACCCTGTAGTACTAAGTGGACTAACTCTTCTGTTTTCTCTGTTGTGCTGCCAACATGTTAACCCATCTGTTCAATATTGAAACCTTTGAACCAGTAGTGCTAGAATATAAATGTTTTCCATGCAGATTGAGAAGAAGGTATGGGGTATCATATTATAGAAAATTGTGTAATATTGTAAAGAAAAAGGTTATGTATCAGGACCCAAAATACCAATGCTACCTGCACCAGTGCAGTATTCTGAGCCGTTTAGTAAGTTGAAACCTTGCATGTGACAGGAAGTTAACACTGGAAATAAGTTGAAATAGAAGTTATGTGGACTACTAATAAGTAGCAAAACTACTTTTACCAATATGTACTTTCTTTTTCACTGTTCCTCACTTAGTCTAAATCATTTCTTTATCTCTCCTTAAGAAAAAGCACAAGGAGACTCCAAGGAAGAAGACATGGAGACAGACCAGACACCAAACGGACCAAGTGAAAACCAGAACGGAGAAACTCCAGCAAGTGATGAAGAAAAGACGGCTGAGGATGCAAAGAAAGAGGAGGTATGTATTGTTTTAAACAGAATGATGAAAATCTTTTTGACATTATATTTCATATATCTCACAATATTTTCTTCAAATTTGTTTCACTTCTTGGTCAAATATTCTATTTCATACACCTTGTTAAATATATTTCATTGCTACTTCCGAAGTATAGGTTAAGCTTGTTTTGGATGTTTTTTAGATGTTTTGTCAAGCTTTTTATTTTATCACCTTTCCTTTGGGTTACTGCCTAACAGTATACTAAAAAAAAAGCTGACAAAAAAAGAAAAACATCTAAAAATGCCTAGAAAGTCCCAAAGAAGTCTAACAGTCTACCCATAGAAAAGCTTACAAAATAAAAAAGCCAGACTAAAGACCTAAAATGATGTCCAAAACAAGCCTAACCTCTGCTTGGAGAGTATTATATAGCCAGATGAGTTTAGTTTTCCTTGGTTTGTTCGTAGATGGAAACTGATGACAAAGACAAACCAGCTGCAGAGGAAACTGAAGACAACTCTCCTAAGAAAAAGGTGCTGCCTTAGTTCTTCTGTGGCTAGTGCTTGGTGGTCTGCAGTCATGTGCTTCTATTTCTGTGTTAGCCAGTATAACAGCATGTCTTCAGAATGTACTGCACCTGTGCATGCGCAGTATGTTCTGCCGACGTGCTAGAATAACACCCTTCACACACCAACTTCACAGGCACATGGCAGGCAGCAGCTGGCAATATTATGCTGTACAATCTGTCACAGCCTCCTTTTGCACATCTAACCGCAAGCATTGTTGCACTTCTAACTGCAAGCATTGTTCAACATCTAACTGCAATTCTATCTAGGGAGGATGACCCTACTGAACTTTCTTGTAACAATGTATACTTCGTGTACTGGGTATATGCACTTTAACTTTTTAAGATGTGGGTGGATTTTCATTTGCTGCATTGACTGTTACCGTCAATGAAGTATATAAGGAATAATGCTAATGGTTTCTGAACAGTTTTTAGTATGACCTATACTTCCTAAATTATGAGAGGTTCAGGTTAAACTTGTCTGGTGTAGGTAATTTTCAATGTTAACTTGAACCACCACAGATATGCAGAAAAAAGGATTTGGAGCCCTGTATTCTTACATGTGCATGTATCCCTTCACAGGAGAAGAAAGATGATGGTAAGAAAGAAGGGAAGGAGCCGGCACCAAAGAAACCTAAGAAACTGGTGAAGATGGTAGACCTTCCCATTGAGACGAGTGTCCACCAGCTGTCTAAGGACCTCATCAACTCCTACACAGAACAAGAGGTGACAACCCCTAACTTTTACACTTCCTGGGGTTTTATCTTTATTATTTTCTTACTATACCCTTGAGACTAACGGCTAGTCTTACAGGGTTTAAATAAAAATTACAAAAATAACGTACATGTTACAGTCTGCATGGTAAACAAAACACACATAATTACACGTAATCAAAACAGATATAGAAGGTACTGGGTGTAACATTATTTACAGACGTAACTTAAGTGTTAAAATACTTGTTACAGACTTGAACTATGCATTTATAAGAAAATGGTGAATGGCCCTTTTAAAGATAGACAGACTCGATATTTCGGTGGTAAGTTGTTCCAGAGGTTGACTGTTAGCAATATTTATATTAATCTGAAGATGAAGTTAATTTTACTGTAGATTGTCCTTCTTGTAGTAGGTACATTTGCTCACTTAAGGTACTTAAATAGAAAAAAACAAATTCATATGGACTTACATCTTTTGATGAAGTCGAGGAATGATTCCACTGTACTCATTTTTCACTCATTTAGTCATTCAAATCTTGGTCTAAACCTAAAACTGTTTCTCCTACTGAACTCAACTCATACTTGACCTGCAGGGTAAGATGATCATGGCGGACAAACTGGAGAAAGAACGACAGGACGCCAAGAACGCAGTGGAGGAATACGTGTACGACATCAGAGACAAACTGTACGGAGACTTCGAACCCTTCATCACAGAAGAGGTATGTGAACCATATATAGTGTATGGGGGACTTCTAATGTTCACCTTTGCAGAAGGAAAACATAGTGTTTTGCTCTGTTTCTTCTTTTTCTTCTCCAAGATGTCAGTGACCTATACCAGACGTCTGTCACCATGGTAACTGGTGCTGTAGCAGACACCCAGTGGTGTTGGGTTACATTATGTAGGAAGTTACGGGACAGACATGAAGGGGCTGGTCACTATATATTACATGAATGTGTTTGTCAATGAGTAAGATTGATAAACAGAACAGTAGTTTGTTAGGCTAGACAATGCGAGGATAAACATTATACATTTGTTTTGCAAATTTTATCTTTCTTGACAGTGGCTTTTTTTATGTAAATTACATAGAATTCCTAAGGTACAGGTCTGGACCTGAACAAAATAAAATGCTGGTGGACACAGTGTTTTACGCTAAAGATAAGTAAATAAATCCTGAAAAAAATCACAATTTTAACAATTTAGTACTTAAAATTCAGGAGAATTTGTAAATATTCTTTTTTTTTATTGAAATGTAGTGGATTAAAACCTGTTAGTAGTAATCCTAGCAAACGGAAATAGGAAATCCAAAGCATCTTGCCTGCCAGGGTCCACCCCATGCCCATGACAGGGACAAGGCTTTGGTACAGCAACAGGGATCTTAATTAGTGGGCCCGAGGGTGGACTTCTGTTCGTTCTTGGCCCTCTGACGAGGAACCCAACAACTTGTACCTAGCTTGATACTTGGTTAAGTGGCTTGTTGTTTTTTCAGAGGTATCTTGTCAACTTTTCGAAGATATAGTGGTTATGAACGTGATGGAACAGACATACCTCAAGCCTGTAGTGTCTCTGTTTAGGGATAGTAATGTTTACCTTACATATGTTTTTGCTCTGTTTCTTCCTCTTCTCCAAACAAAAAAGGTCAATGACCTAGACCAGACGTCTATCACCTTGGTAACTGGTGATTTAGCAGACACCCTGTGGTGTTGGACTACATTATGTAGCAAGTTGCAGGACAGAGTTGCAGGGGCTGGTCACCATATACATGAAGGTGTTTGAGTAAGAATAAACAGAGCAGTAGTTTTTTTGAGCCAAACCATCTCTATGTGAAAGTAAACATTATGCATTTGCTTTGGAAATGTTACCTTTCAAGTTGATTTTAAGTCAGTATTTATTGATTGATTGATTGATTGATTCCTGTGGTCCAGGAGCGGGAAAAGTACTCAGTTGTCCTGGGCAACACGGAGGACTGGCTATACGAGGACGGGGAGGACCAACCCAAACAGGTGTACCTGGACAAGATAGCCGAGCTCAAGAAGACGGGAGAGCCCGTCAGGGCGAGATATAAGGAGGAACTGGAGCGGCCAGCCGCCTTCGAGGATCTGGGCAAGATGCTACAACAGTACAGGAAAGTCCTGGACTTGTACGCACAGAAGGTGAGTCTAAGTTTGATAGACAGAGGACGCTTAGCAGTTACCCACACCACAGAAACCAGCACCACGCTTGTAAATAGTGTTTTTTTTTTTAGAAGCAAACAATACATAATTATCAGGCCTACATACAATTGCAACTTATAAATGTTTACTTTTGTTTGCTTCTCAAAAGAACATTTTTCACAAGCTGTTGTGCTGGTATATCGAGTGGCTGCCATGCTCACCGTGACATCACTGGCAAAATTTAATTTGATTAACTGGCTGCAGAAATCAAGAGCTGCTGGACAGATTATTTACTAGATTTGAGGGTCCCTCACATCAGAAGAGTGTGTTTTTTATCCAAACATCTTTGTTCGTTGAATAATACCTATTTTATTTCAGTGCTATTGGTGTCATCTTCTTTGTAACATCAACTACAGGTAGCCGGTAAAGACACTTGTTTAGTGTAGAGGTTTTTGTCTCTACACTTACACACTCAATCCATTCTTACAGGATGAGAAGTACAACCACATAGAAGAGGAGGAGATGAAGAAAGTGGAGAAGGAAGTTTCGGAGAAGCAGAGTTGGTTAGACGGGAAAGCTCAGGCCCAGAAGAACCAACCTCGACACCAGGACCCCGTGGTCAAGGTCTCACAGATCAGAGCAGAGATCAAGGTCAAGTCTGGTTTCTTTATTTCAATTATTATGATTACCGAAGGAAAACATATTGTTTTTGTCATATTGTCACACCTTTCCTTTGCTTATCAAAGTCCAAATGATATTTATAATGAACCAGACTCTTTAACATCAATTTTCCAGGCCCTGGATTCAAAATGCAAACCTATCGTCAACAAGCCCAAACCCAAGGCAGAGCCTCCAAAGGAAGAAAAGAAAAAGGACGAGAAAGAAAAGAAGGAGAAGAAAGAAAAGAAGGCAGAAGACGCTCCCAAAGAAAATGATGCACAGGAGAGTAACACAAAAGAGGACTCAGTAAATGGAAACAACAATCCTCAGAAGACGACAACGGGGAAAGATGAGGAAGATCCTTCCATGGAACTAGACTAGACTAGACAGCACTTGTAGATTACTACAAGATAATAGTATTACCTTACGAATCACAGTGTAGATGCTCAGACAATGCATGATTGACACCTGTCAAAATGCTACACCAGCCTACCCTAGCTGAGCATAGTAACAACCAGAATATTTTCACTCTAGAAAGTTCTAGGATCACAGGTTGGGAAACAAATTGTGAGGGGGCAGGTAGAACAAAGGCTGTACAGAACCCACTTTCACAAAATGCCAAGGAACATGCTACAAAGATTAATCAGTCCAGGCTTCAGCATTATTGTGAGAAGCTTTGACACAAAAATTTACCTGTCAAAAGTCAAGTACTGTACTACGTAGAAATTCACAATATGGCAGACCATCAAAGTGCTTGTGTCACGGGCATAACAGACTTTGTAACGATAAAAGTTTAAATGTGTTAGGAATATGTATACGTTTAGAATGTGGTTCATGAACATTGGGTGAACATGTTCAAAAATGATGTATGTTCCCTTGTAACACAAGTAGTTTGTTAGGCTGGTAAAATGGAAACTTGTCTGTTGGTTTGCCCTGAACCTTGTAAAATGCATTTTGCTGACATGGCCTGTTCGAGTTTGAGTTGTATCAAATTCTCCGTCTTAGCTGCACGCAAAATGACACGAGTTTTCCCTGGATAGTCTGAACTACCGACCACCAAGTGCTTTCCCTCCCCCCTCCCCCTGTACATGCAGTACTGCCAGTAGTGTAGTTTTAACATGTCTGTTACTTAAGGTCATCTAACATGGATCTGTAAAAAGGTGTAGAACAAAACATGTATAAAAGCTGTGCATGCATGGCAAATCGGAAGGTTGAGAAGTTAATCAAATCTTAAGGGCCAGTGAAGCTCCTGTGATTTTATAGTCTTAGGTTGTTACAACAAGTTAGGGGGTCTATGTAGGGAATATGCCATTCGAAAGGGAGGAACGATAAGGTAGGTTTGATTGCACATTCGCATTATTGTCTATACATAATGAGTAGTGCACAGTAGTAGTGATTGTATAAACAAAATGAACCTGTACATGTTCAATGTGTGTAATGCTTTAAGTATTGCTCTCGGATGGCTTTCAAGTTTCAGTCTGTAAGACCTACAGGAGTGCAGTAGTTAAGAATGATCTCCAGTTCTCAACCAAAAAAAAGGACAGGTAGGCAACTTTCTCATAGGGAATAAATCCTTTCTGCTACCCAGCTGGTGCCAGGGCACGTCTTCGTATATCTGTCTGTGAAGTTCTTCCCACCAGCTGGTCATAAGTACTGCTCTATCCATAACCGTGCTTTATCCAGGACCATGCTCAGGCACGTTTCTGGATGGTCCACACATATCCAGAACCATGCCTTTGGCAAATCTACATACCTGGATACGTGGAGACTATCCAGAACTGTTCCTGATCCTAACCCTAGCCCATTTAGGTATTGTTCTTGATACGAGAAGTACTGAGCTCCACTGGTAACTGACACTTACTGCAAATTTATTTTTAAGTTCGAGGCACAACTTTAACAACTTACTGCAAGGAAGAGGACACGTTTGCAAACAAAGCCACCACAATTTCACCATTTACATTAGCAACTGTCTAGTATCATGTTGGATGCTCACCTTCTTTGTCATAAATTCTGGAGGGTAAGTTTCGTACAAGGACATGATAGTGTTACTGTAGATTTCCCAGCCTGCACATTCGTAGGTTGTCTGCATTGTTAGCATTATAGTATGATACTTGATTCTAAGCCCATACCTTGACTTGTATGTTTTGCTGCTTCCCTTGCAAAGTTTGGAATATGCCATCTCTCTATGCCTGTTTATTTACTATTGCATATGCTTACATCTTTTGTCTACTATTGCATATGCTTACATCATATGTCTGTTTAAGCACTATTTAAGTTGATTAGCAAGAAGTCTATCATTCCATGATTACTGTGGAGAATGTTAATATATTGGATAAGAATAATTGAGTAGTGCTGTTTGTTTAAATTCTACACATCAAATAAAAAGGTCTATTAAGAATCGCATTAAGCACCTGATGTTGTGTCTTTATTATTTTCCAAAAGTTGTCACCCAATAAAAGAATCTACATAATCCAGTGGTAAATAGTGACTGCTGCTCAAGAGTGGGGCCGGGGACAGTTGTTACGATCTGCTTGCAGATTACTCCAAGAGGCACACAGCTGTCCAAGACCATCTTATGAGAGGGGTCCAGAATAAAGAAACTTTCATTTCGTCTGAGAGGATGGCGTCTCGTTCTTCTGTACCTTAAATGGCTTTGCAGTTCACTGTATGAGTTATAATCCCCTCCTTGTCTAACTCTACAAGTAGCTTGTACTCAGACACAAATTTGTGAGGTGTTTTGGAGGGAACTGATGTGAAGTCTCTCCAGTAGTGGTAGGGAATCGTGTGGTTCTGGCGGTCCTTGTTGAACGGGTAGAAACCGAACAGTGTGACGTGATCGCAGAACGTTATCGCCTCCCCCAGAAGGAGCAGACCGGTGGTTGGAGTGGACCTGAGTTTCGCGCCAAGACCAGACCATAATCTGTTGGTGGAAAGGCGTAAGTGTTAGCAGTGACTATTGGCCTCTGTATCCTTCATTACAGCCATTGAAGAAATAATAAAAGCAAGCCTAGCTGAGGTGGCAAGTAACATGATAACTTTAAACATTCTACCAAACAAGAGGAAACAGCGATGACTTTCAATAAGAATGACTTTTCATTTCAAATCTTCAAACTGAATAAATCTTTGACTAAATCAAGAATATTTCTAGAAAAGAAATTTCCAACTTTCCAACAAACTTATTCCTAACCTTTTATCCGTACCGGTTCCATTAAAGGTTGACAGGGCGATCGTCAGGTTCAAGCCCCGCTCTAACATCAGGTTCTCCATTGATTTACATTCATTCAGGAACCTCGTATTTCCGGCACCCTGTGAAGGAAACATTTTCTTCTAACTTCGTTGCTTTGTGGGATAATGTTCCAACAAATTCAGATATTTGCCTACGTTTAAGTTGTATTGTTATTCTCAAATTTTGGGATTGGATTGGATTAGCTTTTGTTCTTGTTTGCCACTCGTTTGGCTCTTGGTTTTGTGAACCGATGCTAGCATATGTATGAGAATTTGCAATAAGGTCTTTGGTGGAAAAGGCGTAACCAACGCGGCAAACGCTTTGAATAGTGCACTAGTGATTTTCTATCGGATTCTGGCTTGCCGGTTGGTTTATACCACTTTGACACCAAAGATCGGCTTGGAAATTACAAGCATGCAACCGGGCAAGAAAATAGGTGCTTAGCAAGTCAGCCTGCGAGAAATTTCATTCTTTGTGTGCTACAGGTCACAGATCTAGACATAGTTATCACCAGAGAGAAACCAATCATCATCATTCGGATGGGAGTGAGAAGAGACTTACTTTTGCGAGCAGCAACACCGAGTTGTTGAACGGCCGGAGGAGATTCAGAAGTTCGGAGGTTTTGTTTTTCCTGAACATGGGAAACAGCTTCGTGACGATCGCCCTGTTAACAACGGTCATGTTAACGTTTCGTCCAACGTCCTTCGAGTAGTTCTGGAGGGGCCCCAGGTTGAATCTAGAAATGTGAAGGCATCAGATTGGACCAAAACTTATCAGATCGTGTGTAGCCCACTTTCGTTAAATGCTCGGGACAAAATGGCTTTGATGTAGACAAGTACATGTACCATGTACGTACACAATACACAACCTACCAGAAACAATGTATTTTACATTACAAGACAGTAGTACATCATAAGCTATGGCTATTGAACGTCAATATTATCATCAGACGAGACACGGGGCTCTTTATTAATTTAGTAATATCAGGGACCATATGCAGGTACAAGTAAACATGCGGAACTACAAGTCAAAGGTCTGCCTCGTGTACCTGATAACAAAGTCGTGTGAGTCAATCTCGTCTCCACAGCTGCTATTCAAGAGGATGCCGCTGTTTCCAACCAGTGCGCATGTGCTGTAGTGACGTATTGGAGTAATCGCAGAACATTCCTTCTCAGTCCTGGCGACATCTTTAAGACATCTTTTCAAACTGCCGGCCGGTGTGGTCGCCCTGACGATCCGAACTTTTGGGCTGAAAACCCCCTCCAAGGCCTTTCTGGAGGACGGGGAGAAATTATTGTCACTAAGAATCTCGTAGTTTATTCGGACTCCAGTCAGTGGTACAAGTCAATCACTAATACGTTACATAGGCCAGGGTCATCTTACAGACTAATATTATCAAGATTATGAATGAAAAAAAAACCTTCGAGAGTTCTGTTCATAAACATACAATCTGTGTACACACACACACCTCTGCCTGAATGCAGATGATCTAACTAACCTAATGTTGAGGTATTTCGTCCAGTTTTGCTTCTGAGCCGTGAAGTTGGGAACCGGTACCGACGTGACGAGGAGAGGAGGCGATGTTCGCACAGTCCTAGTATTTGACTTTCTAACTCTCGGCCTAATATACGAAACAAACGTGACAGATAACAGAAATAGAAAACAATTAAAACGCAAATAATTACCAGAAGTTAAATGTTTCCAAACAAAAAAAACAAGGTATTTTTGCAGACAATGATCCAGTACTCACATGATAGATAACATATATGTTGAGGAGTGCAGTCTATACGATACGAATACGACCACCATTGCCGTCGCAATCGCAACCACCAGCAACAGGAGAGACAGCTTTTTGAGCTTGTAACTCCTCATTATATTTCTGAAACGAATCATATCGAAATCACGTAGCAAAATGTATGACAGGTTTGGCAATGATGAATTATTAATTGTGGCATGAAAGTTCATCTGTTCATCTGAAAATTCAGTCACTGACGAAAGCTAGTGGATACTAGCTGAAACGTCTGAAGTTTTCAAAATCATATCCAGTTGCTTGAGTAACTGTTTTTTGGCGTAAAGTTCATCTGTGTTGGTATACTTCATTATGACAAAAAAGGCAAAATGTTCAGGCTAACACTAGTAAACCCGGTAAAGTTGGGTAAGTCCCAATTTACTCAGTGTTGGCCTGAGCCCTTTTTGTCATAAATTATTAAATTAATCGTGATGCACTCTATGAAATTACTATTGTCCCTCACCCGACGATACCTTAAAACGCGACATTAAAGGCATCAAATTCTATTTCAGGATGGCAAATAACAAAAACCTCTAGATGAGGGAACCTGTTTGATATTGGCATTTACTGCCATTTCTATTTGTGAACACATTTTCGTCATCATTTCATATTTTAAGCGTTTGAAATAGGTTGTTTTGCAATGATGTATAATTAAATAGTGATACACTCAGTCTCTATGATACATTGTGTACTACAATTACTGTTCAAACGTAATCCACTAGTACAGTTAGTAGTACAGTTCGAAAGGCATAACTATGAGTAACGTTTACCTACATGTCTAACCTTCATCAAAGTTCACTGAACAATATGCATGAACTCGCACCATATGAATGAAAACGTAAAGTTTATGCTATCTGGACTACAATTTCAAGTAAGCCAAGCTCGTAGCAGCTTACTACTCGTAGTATTTCTCTTACCGTAGTAGACCGGCCGGTTCAGTCGTCTGTCACACCGTTCCGTCTAGCCTTTGGCACTTCTTATTCCAAGGCCATATTTACCTGTAACGTTACACCTGCCAACTGCAACTGATAGCATCACCCATCAGCCTTTGTGCGAAAGCGTCTTTTGTGATGAGGCGCTACAGTTGACTACCCATTGACATTGAGACAAAAATAAGCCAACTTGAATGTTTATAGCACCAACGGGGGGAGGGTGTTTGTGTGTGAAATTTCATCAGTTTTGGTGTGACCGCATGGCATGATAGGGTTTATGCGTGTTGAATCAGTACTGAAAATGACCTTTCTCCATGTTGGGGTTCTAGGTACCCCCATGAGAGAGTGGAATAATCGTCATCTATCAACAGCCAATAATAATGTATACGAGCCACGCCTCTATATTTATTGTTTAGATAACTAGACACGTTGACCATGGGTCTCGGCAGTTCCATCATTTTTAGAGTCACTTTGTATGATCGGAATGAATACGGTCCCATCTTGAGATGGTGGGATCGCACAAGTATTTTTCAACACAACAGGCATTCAGTACTAATGAAAACATGGAGACGGAAAATTACTTTCATTAATGTGCATAGACAACTTTTGAATAATATTGATACAATCATATGCATTTATTCAGCAATTGTATATGATATGTATATGTACTACAACATCTTCAACACTTCAGGAAACTAATCTACTCAACAGTCCAGTGCAGTCGTTTGTATAATTTCTAATATACAGGCACGTTCGTCCCTCATTGAGTTACTATTTTAACGTTATGTTCGTTCTCGTCTGTTCTGTGGTCCATTCAATGACGTTGCAGTCCACTGTGTGATTCATAATCCCGTCATTGATTAAAGCTCCAAGTAGCTTGTACTCAGCCACAAATTTGTGAGGTGTTTTGGAGGGAACTGCTATGAAGTCTCTCCAGTAGTGGTAGGGAATCGTGCGGTTCTGGTGGTCCTTGTTGAACGGGTAGAAACCGAACATTTTCACGTGATCGCAGAACGTTATCGCCTCCCCCAGAAGGAGCAGACCGGTGGTTGGAAAGGGCTTGAGTTCCCCGCCAAGACCAGACCATAGTCTGCTGGTTGAACTAGCGTCCAAACTTAACAACAACCTGCGGGTTGCAGAAGGGAGTAAGTGTTAGCAGTGACTCCTGGCCTCTCAAGGACTGTATCCTTCATTGGCATTGCAGCCATTGAAGAAATAAAGCAACGCTAGACTAAGCCCAGGTGGGTTGGCAAGTGGCATGTTTCGACTTCAAACTTTCTATCAGAAAAGAGGAAACAGAGATGAGGGGTCATTTCGAACACGTGAAATTTAGACCACGTATACATGGACATTTCTACAAAAAAAACAGACGTTAGGCTGACCTTGACCAGTGCCATCCAGTTCCATTTAAGTTTGACAGGACAATCGTCATGTTCAAGTTCCTTTCTCTCATGAGCTTCTCCATCGTTTTCCTTTCTTTCAGGAACTTTTTACTGTAGGCATCCACCTGTAAAAGAAATATGTTCTGTAAAACTCGTTTCAAGAGGTGATATTCTGCAGAGTCAACGTGTTTCGTTTACTTTTAATAATTTAGCTATTGCTTTTGTTTGTGGCTTGCTTGTGCTGTCCTTTTTACTAAAACTACGCTGGCGTGTGCTACGGATAACAAATTTAGACAGCATTATTATAGTTATGGGTTCACCACACCACGAAGTGGTGGTGAACCCATATTGCTTTTTCTGATGTTTCTTCTCCTTCTCCTTCTTCTCCTGCCATTTTTTAAATGGATTCAGCTTCTTCATTTTAGGGCCCAAGGTCCTGAAATTTGGTATGGAGGTACAGTGGGCAAATACCCCTAGGCGTTTTTTAAATTATTGTGATACAGGCTTTTAGAATGGTTTTATTTGAGTTTTTTGGCTGTGTTATAGCAAATGTATTACTGTGTTAGTGTGCCTTGTTTACCACGTTTGGGCATGAGTCATCACAATGGAATGCAGGGCATCAACCAATAGGCATGCAGCTTTCCTCTATACTTCTTGCTGATTGGCTGATTTAACTTGATTAACACCTGCACAGAGCATTTCCACCTGCACAGGGCATTTCTTGCTGATTGGCTGTTGGGATTTAACTTGATTAACACCTGCACAGAGCATTTCCATACTGACAGTATGTCTTTATTCAAGTGTTTTGGTAGGTATTTCAAGCTTTTCTGCTCCAGCATTGGAATGCGGGGCATGAACGTTTTTTTTTTTTTGAAAATCAACAGTTTGCATTATGCAATTAAAAATCCTAACCGATAAAGTAGGGAATAGCTATCCAACTGTTGTTTTAGTTGTATGTTACTTCATATTATAGTTATATCAATGTAAATCATTGTTTTCCCTTGTGTTTCTCATTCTTTCCCTGCCATGTCGTAAAATGTGGTGAACCCATCGCTATATTTGCTCCAAAGCAAATATTGGCCTTTCTAGTTATTATATTATTTTCCAGACAGTAGTTGACTGTTCCCTATTACTGTATTGTACCGTATAGTATCTTTGACACTGTAAAAACAATTAGCCTTCGGGAATGATTTTGCAAATAAATTCATAATAAAGACTTATTGGAGACTTACTTTTGCGAGCAGCAACACCGAGTTGTTGAACGGCCGGAGGATATTCAGAAGTTGGGAGGTTTTGTTTTCCCTGAACATGGGAAACAGTTTCCTATCGATCACCCTGTTAACAACGGTCATGTTAACGTTTCTTCCGACGTCCGTCGAGTAGTCCTGGAGGGGCCCCAGATTGAATCTAGAAACAGATCAATGTTATATATTTGAAGACATCTGATTGGACCAAAACTTGTATGAAGTTTGGTGTCAAATCCACTAACATTAGATTCTATAATAATAGCTCTGATGTAGACATAATAGCACTTATGTAAACACCTACCATGTACACGGCACAGAACCAGAAATAACGTATTTTACATACAACTCTATGCACATCTTCTTTCCTCCGACAGCTATAGAACGTCACTATTGTCGTCAGATGAGACACGTACGGGTCTCTATTTTTTTGTAATATTAGAGACTATATGCAGCTACAGGTATGCATGCACAAGTCAAAGGTCTATCTCGTGTACCTGATAACAAAGTCGTGTGAGTCAATCTCGTCTCCACAGCTGCTATTCAAGAGGATGCCGCTGTTTCCAACCAGTGCGCATGTGCTGTAGTGACGTATTGGAGTAATCGCAGAACATTCCTTCTTCCCGGTGGCGTTTTCAAGACAACTTTTTAAAGTTTCGGCGGGTGTGGTCGCCTTGACCATTCGAACTCTGGGGCTGAAAAACTCCTCCAATTCGTTTCTGAAGGACGGGGAGGAGTTACTGTCACTAATTGATTAATTAATCATACTATAGGCTCTCAAATTCTATCCAGTAAGTCGGACGAATTCATTTTAAGTTAGTCACTAGTTCTTTACCTAGGCTAGGGTCAACCTTCAGGCATATATTATAAGTTCATTAAACGATCACCAGTTGTGTTCATAAACACCCAGTATGTGTACACACATCTTTACAAGATTTCTCGGGGGCTAGACACTATCCAGTTGGATCGGAGAATATGGTTATCATAACATCACCGTAACTAACCTGATCATGAGGTATTTCGTCCAGTTTTGTTTCTGTACTGTGAAGATGGGAACCGGCGTGACGTAGACAGGACGCGATGTGCCCACAGTCGTGTTACCTGAGTTTTTAACTCTCCATCTAACATGTGAAACAAAGATATAACATGTGAAATAATGGACTACCTCGATGTCATGTGGGGCAATTGTGGTACTCGGGTTCGAATCCGAGCTTGTGCTTTTTTCGCTATCTTCACTATTTTTCACGATATGCTGCCGTGCATTTCCGCAAGCCCTTTTCCGTAGAGCGTAATTGGACGTTTTAATTCTACGGAGAGCGTAGACGGACCGCTCTAATATTTTTGCGTAGAGCGTAATCGCCCTTTTAATTCTACGTAATGCGTTGTAGCCACTTGGAATTTATCGTAAAGCGTAATCGAGAGGTTTCCGAATTCAGCGTAGAGCGTTGTCGGGGACCCCCCCCCCCTTGCAGGCCCACTTAACTGTAAGGTTGCTTTGAATACGCTGCAAAAATTCTGCCTCTCAAAGAAGTCATGATACGCTCGGATATGGTATAGACAAGTAATCAGTGTTATGTTATTTCATAATACGGTTCATTCATACGGCCGTTTATGAGACGGAAATTCTCGTCATGGGGACTAGAAGACAAAAACACTATACTGGTGTTCAGTTCAACGTTCACGGCACACATATCTTTGTTTGTCTAGTATTGTGTTTCTCTTTCAAGCGGTTTCACAACCACTCCATAATGAACACAGTACAGGCAACCGAATTATTTAGTCTGGATCTTTTTTCTAAAATCAAGTTATCCAACGAGCGTTATTTCATTTATTAAACACAATTAATCCTACGTAAGCAAGAGGTTGTCAAGCAAGAAACATACTAGCTGATCATGATCCAGTACTCACATAGACGACATAGACGTTGAGAGCTGTCTATACCACACAACCACCATTGCTGTCGCAACCACCAACAAGACGAGAGACACCTTTTTAAGATCTAAAATCCTCATCATAATGCTGAAACGAAACATATTTGTCTGACTCAAAATGTTATGCCATATCAAAACATTGCAAAGCGTATGACAGGTGTGACGTTAGATCATTTTGTAATGGTAAATTATTAATCGAGATACACTCTATGATATTACTATTACAATTCTTGACACAACTCTTATTCCAGAACTTGACTTTATCCAGTAAGACAGTTTGAATTGTCGATGGGAATCGCCTACCTGGATGTCTAACGTTCATCAAAGTAGGCTGAACCATATGCATGAACACATATACACGTACAGTTTGTACTATCTAGACTACAATTACAAGTAAGTCAAATTCATAACATCTTACTAGTATTTCTCTTACCGTAGTGGACCGACCAGTTCAGTCTGATAAGCGTTATTTTGAAGAGATCTTTCAAGAAAAGGCGTCTGCCACACCGCCCGTCTAGCTTTTGGCAATGTCAATGTCACGTACACCTAGTACCTGTAACGTTACACCGACCGTCTCCCGTTGGCCTTTGTAAAAAAAATTCCTTTGTACACGGGGCCCGACATTTTGACTGCCCCTAGACCGGCGTAAAATAAACAAGGGTATGAAGCATCAAAATGCTTTCTGCGGGGGTTATTTTTAGACATATCGGCACTTTTTGGGTTGGCCGACAGGACAGGCTTTATGCTTGTTAAATTAGGTTTTTTTTTTTAAACTTTCTCTTTTTTCGTTCGTTCGTAGTAGCTTATTTTGCAATGGTGAATTATTGAATAATGATACAACCTATGATACTATAATTACTGTTCAAACGTTTAGTATTACAGTTCGAAAGGCCTATAAGTAACGTTTACCTGGATATCTAATCTTCATCAAAGTTCACTGAACCATATGCATGAACACGTACCATATGCATGAAAAAGTAAAGTTTGTGCTATCTGGACTACAAGTTCAGGTAGGCCAAGCTCGTAGCAGCTTACTAGTATTTCTCTTAGCGTAGTAGACCGGCCGGTTCAGTCGTATAATTATATAAGCGTTATTTCGTTCTAAAAGAAGGCGTCTCTCACACCGTTCCGTCTAGCCTTTGGCACTTCTTATTCAAAGGTCATATTTACCTGTGACGTTACAGCTGCCAACTGACAACATATATACCACCATACGTCAATATATATACCACCAGCCTTTGTGCGAAACGCGAGCGCCTTTTGTGCTGATCATGAGGCACTATGTACAGTTGTCTGCCCCTTGACATTGAGACATTGAGCCAAGGTTTAAAGTTACCAATGGGGGTGTATTTTTTGGTGGAATCTCATCAGTTTTGGGGTGACCGCATGGCATGATAGGGCTTCTGAGTGTTGAATTAGTACTGAAAATGACCTTTTTCGATTTTGGGGTTCTAGCTTCCCCCATCTGCAAATATTACCAATTCCATCAAGATCATGTCGTCATCATTATCCGATGCTTAGCAGTGGCGAAGGGCGCCTGTTGCTTGCAGCCTTCTGCGTGTGAGAGCTATATACAAAAGGCAGCCTAGAAACAGCAAAAGTTGCCATCCAATAAAAGAATCTACAAGCAGATATTCCAGTGTCAAATAGTAACTGCTGCTCAAGAGTGGAGCTAGGGGCCAGCTGTTACGATCTGCTTGGAGATCACTCCAAGAGGCACACAGCTGTCCAAAACTATCTTATGAGAGGGGTCCAGAATAAAGAAACTTTCATTTCGTCTGAAAAGATTCCGTCTCGTTCGGCCTCGTCTGTTCTGTGGTCCCTTCAATGACGTTGCAGTCCACTGTGTGATTCATAATCCCGTCATTGATTAAAGCCCCAAGTAGCCTGTACTCAGACACAAATTTGTGAGGTGTTTTGGAGGGGAATGCTGTGAAGTCTCTCCAGTAGTGGTAGGGAACCGTGCGGTTCTGACGGTCCTTGTTGAACGGGTAGAAACCGAACATTGTGACGTGATCGCAGAACGTTATCGCCTCCCCCAGAAGGAGCAGACCGGTGGTTGGAAGGGACTTGAGTTTCGCGCCAAGACCAGACCATAATCTGTTGGCGGAAGAAAGGCGTTAGTGTTATACAGTGACTATTGGCCTCTGAAAGACTGTATCCTTACTATTATAGTCATTAAAGAAATAATTAAAGCAAGTCTAGTCTTAGCCTAGCTGGGTTAGCAACTAGGTATGTAACGTAATTGGCCTATAAACTTTCTACCAAACAAGAGGAAACAGCGATGACCTTCGCTTCAATAAGAATGACTTATCATTTCAGACCTTTGAAGTTTAGACTCAATCAAAAATATTTCTAGAAGAGAAATTTCCAACAAACTTATTCCCGACCTCTTATCCGTACCGGTTCCATTAAAGTTTGACAGGGCAATCGTCAGGTTCAAGCCCCGCTCTCTCAGGAGGTTCTCCATTGATCTATATTCATTCAGGAACCTTGTATTCCCGAGTCCCTACAGGTGAAGGAAACATTTTCTTTGGTTGTTTCATGAGATAGTGTACCACCAAGTTAATGATTGCCTATTGCATACTTGCCAGTTGGTTGCGCCTTTGCCACCTTAATGATCTGCTTGGAGATTACAAGCATGCAACAGAAAATAGGAGCTTTTTACAGGACACCAGCCTGAGAAATTTCATTCCTTGTGTGTTACAGGTCACAGATCTAGACAGAGTTATCATCAGAGGAAAGCCAATCATCATCGGGCGGATGGGAGTGAGAAGACACTTACTCTTGCAACCAGCAACACCGAGTTGTTGAACGGCCGCGGAGGAGATTCAGAACTTCGGAGGTTTTGTTTTCCCTGAACAAGGGCAACAGCTTCGTGACGATCGCCCTGTTAACAACGGTCATGTTAACGTTTCGTCCAACGTCCTTCGTGTAGTTCTGGAGGGGCCCCAGGTTGAATCTAGAAATGTGAAGGCATCAGATTGGACCAAAACGTATCAGATCGTGTGTAGCCCACTTTCGTTAAATGCTCGGGACAAAATGGCTTTGATGTAGACAAGTACCATGTACGTACACAATACACAACCTACCAGAAACAATGTATTTTACATTACAAGTACATCATAAGCTATGGCTATTGAACGTCAATATTATCATCAGACGAGACACGGGTCTCTTTATTAATTTAGTAATATGAGGGACCATATGCAGGTACAAGTAAACATGCCAGTCAAAGGTCTACCTCGTGTACCTGATAACAAAGTCGTGTGAGTCAATCTCGTCTCCACAGCTGCTATTCAAGAGGATGCCGCTGTTTCCAACCAGTGCGCATGTGCTGTAGTGACGTATTGGAGTAATCGCAGAACATTCCGTCCTCCTGGCGACGTCTTTAAGACAACTTTTCAAAGTTTCGGCCGGTGTGGTCGCCCTGACCATTCGAACTTTAGGACTGAAAAAGTCCTCCAACGCGTTTCTGAGGGATGGATGAATTATTGTCACTAATTAATTAAGACTCTTAGCCTCCAGGCTCTTAGCCCCGGGGCTCCCACACTCGCTTCCCTAAGAAGTACTTCTTAGGGAAGGGAGTGTGGGAGCCCCGGCATACAAGTAGGATGGTACCCAGGCTATAAGACTCTCACATTCTAGCCGGTGAGTTAGAAACGTCAGTCACTAGTTCGTTATCTAGGCCAGGGTCAACCTTCAGGCAAATATCACGATTACCAGTTGTGTTCATTATAAACACCCAGTATCATGTATACACACATCTCTCCAAGCAGATCTCTCGGGGGCTAGACACAATCCAGTTGGATTGCAGAATATGATAACATCACGATATTGCAGACGGTAACTAACCTCATCATAAGGTATTTTGTCCAGTTTTGGTTCTGTGCTGTGAAGATGGGAACCGACGTGACGTGGAGAGGACGCAATGTGCCCACAGCCGTGTTACCGGACTTTTTAATTCTCCATCTAACATGTGAAACAAAGATATAACATGTGAAATAATGGACTACATCGATGTCATATGGGGCAATTGTGGTACTCGGGTTCGAATCCGAGCTTGTGTTTTTTTTCGCTATCTTCACTATTTGTCACAATGCTGTCGTGCATTTCCAACGTTAACTGTAAGGTTGCTGTTTATACGCTGTAAAAATTCTGCCTCTCAAAGAAGTCATGATACGCTCGGATATGGTATAGACAAGTACTCAGTGTTATGACATTGACCGTTTCAAATGGCAACGGCTGTTTATGAGACGGAAATTCTCGTCATGGGGACTTCAAGACAAAACACTATATACTGGTGTTCAGTTCAACATTCACGGCACACATATCTTTGTTTGTCTAGTATTGTGTTTCTCTTTCAAGCGGTTTCACAACCACTCCATAATGAACACAGTACAGGCAACCGAATTATTTAGTCTGGATCTTTTTTTCTAAAATCAAGTTATCCAACGAGCGTTATTTCATTTATTAAACACAATTAATCCTACGTAAGCAAGAGGTTGTCAAGCAAGAAACATACTAGCTGATCATGATCCAGTACTCACATAGACGACATAGACGTTGAGAGCTGTCTATACCACACAACCACCATTGCTGTCGCAACCACCAACAAGACGAAAGACACCTTTTTAAGATCTAAAATCCTCATCATAATGCTGAAACGAAACATATTTGTCTGACTCAAAATGTCATATCAAAACATTGCAAAGCGTATGACAGGTGTGACGTTAGATCATTTTGTAATGGTAAATTATAAATCGAGATACACTCTACGATATTACTATTATTACAATTCTTGACACAACTCTTATTCCAGAACTTGACTTTATCCAGTAAGACAGTTTGAATTGTCGATGGGAATCGCCTACCCGGATGTCTAACGTTCATCAAAGTAGGCTGAACACATATACACGTACAGTTTGTGCTATCTGGACTACAATTACAAGTAAGTCAAATTCATAACATCTTACTAGTATTTCTCTTACCGTAGTGGACCGACCAGTTCAGTCTGATAAGCGTTATTTTTAAGAGATCTTTCAAGAAAAGGCGTCTGCCACACCGCTCGTCTAGCTTTTGGCAATGTCAATGTCACCTAGACCTGTAACTACACCGACCGTCTCCCGTTGACCTTTGTAAAAACATTCCTCTTTACACGGGGTCCGACATTTTACAATGACTGTCCCTATGCTCGGCGTAAAATAAACAAGGGTATGAAACATCAAAATGCTTTCTCCGGGGGTTATTTTTAGACATATCGGCACTTTTTGGGTTGGCCGACAGGACAGGCTTTATGCTTGTTGAATTTAATAGGTTTAAAAAATAACCTTTCTCCTTTTTCGTTCGTTCATAGTAGCTTATTTTGCAATGATGAATTATTGAATAATGACGTTACACCCGCACCCAGGTTTAGCTTCTCCCGTTGGCCTTTGTAAGAAAATTCATTTGCGCACGGGAGACATTTTACGTTACAGTTGATTGCCCCTTTAATACTTGGCGCAAAACAAACAAGTAGTCATAGGCGAAAATTCTCCGTGAAGTTTCATATTTTGCAGATTGGGAACAGTATAGGGTATATGTAAACAGTATGTGAGCACTTCACAACCGGTAACAACGTATCGTAAAAGTAGCTAAATCCCTGGTCAAATACATAGATACAGCAGTTCATTCCAGTGGCAAATAGTGACTGCTACTCAAGATTATGACCAGCTGTTACGATCTGCTTGGAGATCACTCCAAGAGGCACACAGCTGTCCAAGACCATCTTATGAGTGGGGTCCACAATAAAGAAACTTTCATTTCGTCTGAAAAGATTCCGTCTCGTTCGTTCGTTCTCGTCTGTTCTGTGGTCTATTCAATGACGTTGCAGTCCACTGTGTGGTTCATAATCCCATCATTGATTAGAGCTCCAAGTAGCTTGTACTCAGCTACAAATTTGTGAGGTGTTTTGGAGGGGAATGCTGTGAAGTCTCTCCAGTAGTGGTAGGGAATCGTGCGGTTCTGACGGTCCTTGTTGAACGGGTAGAAACCGAACATTGTGACGTGATCGCAGAACGTTATCGCCTCCCCCAGAAGGAGCAGACCGGTGGTTGGAGTAGACTTGAGTTTCGCGCCAAGACCAGACCATAATCTGTTGGTGGAAGAAAGGCGTAAGTGTTAGCAGTGACTATTGGCCTCTCAAGGACCGTATCCTTCATTACAGCCATTGAAGAAATAATCTGAGCAAGGCTAGTCTTAGCCTAGATGGGTTGGAAAGTAACATGATTGGACTATTAACTACCAAACAAGAGGAAACAGCGATGACCTTCAAATTGAATAAATCTTTGACTAAATCAAAAATATTTCTAGACAAGAAATTTCCAACTTTCCAACAAACATATTCCTGACCTTTTCTCCGTACCGGTTCCATTAAAGGTTGACAGGGCGATCGTCAGGTTCAAGCCCCGCTCTAACATCAGGGTCTCCATCGATTTACATTCATTCAGGAACCTAGTATTCCCGGCACCCTGTGAAGGAAGCATTTTCTCCGTAGTTCATTGCTTTGTGGGATAATGTTCCAACAAATTCAGATATTTGCCTACGTTTAAGTTGTATTGTTATTCTCAAATTTTGGGATTGGATTGGATTAGCTTTTGTTCTTGTTTGCCACTCGTTTGGTTCTTGGTTTTGTGAACCGATGCTAGCATATGTATGCGAATTTGCAATAAGGTCTTTGGTGGCAAAGGCGTAACCAACTGGCAAACGCTTTGAATAGTGCACTAGTGATTGTCTATTGGATGCTGGCTTGCCGGTTGGTTTATACGACTTTGACACCAAAGATCGGCTTGGACATTACAAGCATGCAACCGGGCAAGAAAATATGTGCTTAGCAAGCCAGCCTGCGAGAAATTTCATTCTTTGTGTGTTACAGGTCACAGATCTAGACAACGGTTATCACCAGAGAGAAACTAATCATCATCTTTCGGATGGGAGTGAGAAGAGACTTACTTTTGCGAGCAGCAACACCGAGTTGTTGAACGGCCGGAGGAGATTCAGAAGTTGTGAGGTTTTGTTTTTCCTGAACATGGGAAACAGTTTCCTGACGATCACATAGTTAACAACGGTCATGTTAACGTTTCTTCCAACGTCCGTCGAGTAGTCCTGGATGGGCCCCAGGTTGAATCTATATATAAATGGATCATTTGAAAACATCTGGTTGTAGGAGAATATCACAACGTATACATATACATATGTATATGAAGTTTGGTGTACACTGTGCTCAGCCAGAAACTATGTGTTGTAAATTACATGTTCATGTATATCTTCTTTCCTTGGACAGCTTAAAAAAAAAACAGAACGGTCTTTCGATTCCAACCGTCACCATAGCTATCTCAGTAACCTACGCTATCTATGGAGTACTACTTCATCCGTAACAGGTTGATTTGAGCCAAAGCATTCTACAACGGATACATTGCAGAACACACGGCAAAACTGGGTGCAGGTACAAGTAAACATGCACAAGTCAAAGGTCTACCTCGTGTACCTGATAACAAAGTCGTGTGAGTCAATCTCGTCTCCACAGCTGCTATTCAAGAGGATGCCGCTGTTTCCAACCAGTGCGCATGTGCTGTAGTGACGTATTGGAGTAATCGCAGAACATTCCTTCTTCCTGGCGACGTCTTTAAGACATCTTTTCAAATTGCCGGCCGGTGTGGTCGCCCTCACGATCCGAATTTTGGGGCTGAAAACCCCCTCCAAGGCCTTTCTGGAGGACCGGAGAGGAAATATTGTCAGAAGCTCGGATAGAAAATGAGGAAATACGTAACATTCATTCATTCATTCTTTATTTTAGGTAAAAAAACATATAACACAGACATCATTAAATAATACAAAACTCTACAGATACTACATACAAATAAAACAGGAAGAAACCTAGATGCATGATAAATTGTAAGTCTTCCGGAAGAAAGAATTCCTGTAAAAGGCATCAGATCTTAACAAGCGACAGATTATTGCGTTGTGGGAGGAAAGTAGTCGTTCTAAGAAAGAGTAACAAATCCTCCTCCGTCAAATGTGTCAATATAGTGGTAGACAAACATCTCACTCGCACTACATCGCCGAGGTTAATTCATAATAATTCTAAAGCAATTGTTGTAAGCAACTCGGCATTTATACAGAACACATGAGCTAACAGATCTAGAGCTCCATAACTGGGCGCCATATAGCTGGGCGCATTACGTCATAAACAGGTGTCTCTTAACGGATGGAGAGCAACAGAAAAATTTGCGATTGATACTGTTTGCACGGCTATAAAGACTCTTCAGCAGAGCAAGTACACAATCATCGTCACAAATGTGGTATTTAGATGTATACCCAAGTAGACAAATGAGTTTACATACTTCAGTTGGACCCAAGTAGACAAATGAGTTTACATACTTTGGTACCGTATAGACTTACGGGTGGCAATGAAGTGGCAAACGTGTACAAGGGATGATTACCAACGGTAGCCAAATCGTGGTAAGTTGGTAACCAATGACGTTATAACTAACCTGATCTTGAGGTATTTCGACCAGTTTTGTTTCTGTGCTGTGAAGATGGGAATATGAATGTCGTCAGGAGTAGATGTGCGCACGCGAACGTTCAATCTATCATGTGAAACAAAAGTGGAGAAAAAATTGTCAGCTGTCAAAAAACAACACATACTAAAGACATTACACATACACGCACACGCACGTGCACGCACGCTATATACTAGTAATGCCCTTGGTCTTTTTAAAAAGTGGTGGACAAGGCTATATTTTCACGTAAGCAAGCTGAACTACTGTCTGAAGCTATTGGAAAAATGGTAACGAACACACGGAAATAGGATTATACTGTTGAAAATTTCTCTCTTGTCCTCGTAAACATTATACAAGTACGCGGAACCTACATACGCTTTTGTCCTCTACGGAGTTTTTGGATAAAAATTAAGAACGTTACAGGGTTGTGTCGTCCTGAGGACTAGGACACATTAACCACTGTAGATCCCTGTATACTAGTGTACAGTTCAACATGACTGGGGGAGGGCAACTTGTTATTGGGGAGGGCAACTTGTAAGGTGTGTATGCACCTGTTTTGCTCTCCCTTTCACTTTGCGAAGAATCGAAATAAACAAATGACACCAATAACACTAAATCTGATTGTATTTAGGCCTGTCGGCAGGGAATCAAGAGTTGTTGACCTGAGCTGGAAGCGTGATTCTTTATGGTTCGATGTTCAATACCACCAAAAGTATTTATGTGTGGTGTACATCTTTATGTTCAATGAGTTGCAATACTTTTGTTGTAGACGATATGTATGTTGTATTTTGGTGCCATATGCTCTAGTTTAGATAGATCTAGATACAAGCAATGGAACATTCTTTAATCTCGACCTCTGAAATCACGAGGTCACCAAACGAAAAAGAGTACTAGTATCAAACACAAGTGATTAATAGACGTAGGAAGCTAGCAAACAAGAAACACAATACAGTTTAATTTAGCTGATCATGATAAAGTACTCACATAGACCATATGCTAGACGTTGAGAGCCGTCTATACGACACAACCACCATTGCCGTCGCAACCACCATCAAGACGAGAGCCATCTTAAAATTCCTCCTCATAATGCTGAAAAGAATCAAATATTTCGAAACCTTATAGCAAAAGATTGCAAACCGTATGACAGGTGTACATGTAATGTAACTTCAGATGAGTTTGCACTACCGTGATTCACTGTATGATATTATTAGTACAATTCAACTTGTCTTTATCCAGCAGTAGGGATAAAATATGGGCAACGTCTATACTCGGTGCCTAACCTTCGTATCTACGCATCAAAGTAGGCTGAACCATATGCATGAACACAGTCATATACACGTACAGTTTGTGTTGTCGAGACTACACTTACAAGTAGTTTAAGTTCGTAGCAACTTACTAGTATTTCGTACCGTAATGGATAGACCGGTTTAGTCTGATGAACGTTATTTCAAACACTGTTATTTCAAAAAGATTGCTTCTATCACACCGTTACGTCTGAGTTCGCCACTTCCTCCTCCTGTTTTTACCTGTAACGTTACACGTATCGACAGGTGATGACCCCTTTGTGCGAAAGCGCTCTTTGTGGGGAGCGTGTTAATTATTACCGTGGCAGTTATTATCAATCATGACCTTGCTACAGTTGGTTGTCCCTTGACCGCGAGACAGAGTAACCAAGAGTTTAAAGCACTATAAAAAATGCCTTTCTTTGGGGGGTATTTTTAAAGACATATTGGCAGTTTGGGGGGAGGGGGGGCTGGCATGACTGGCTTTATGCTTGTTTTATGCATTTCTCTGTTTCTAGGGATTAGCACATGTCAATGAGTAGCAAAACTTGCTATCCGCCACTGCTACTAACATGTGCGCTGGTTCTTTAAAACAGTCCAAAAATCCTCAATATATATATAGTCAATCCTTCTCATGTACAGGCACGCCATACTCATTTGCAAATATTACCAAATCCATCAAGATCATGTAGTCAGTATTATCCAGGGCTTTAATAGCAGTGGCGATTTATAATAATAATAATAATAATACGTGTAAATACTGTATTTGTTTTTTATCTTATGTTTAATATTTCAACCATTGATTTCGTATCTATTATATATTTATGTTTGACATTGATTGTTCTAATATTTTGGTTGTTATTGATGTTCGCATATTCAGTTTTCATCATTCTGTCTTAGTTATTTCTGTTTGATATTATTTAAGTAACTCTGCAAGTCATCAATATTGTCATTTTCTTTTGCTGCATATTTCTATTTTGAGACATAACACTAGTTAGAGAGTAAGTTTCCAGGGTATGAAATTTTGATTCCCGAGATTTTGATCACTTTTCAATAGAATTTCATTTGTTCAATTCAATCAATTGTTGCTGGCATATACAATGTACTTGGATTAAGGCGTCACCCAAACGCCACCCTTTGTCTCCTAGTAGATTTATGGCGTCTTACGTTCCACTATCTGAGTGGTATGGAGCTATAATGATATAATTTCTCAAATTATAGCACCATTGTGGTATCAAAAAGCTCATCAGAAAGAGTGCAAAACCAATACATATCGCTACATGTCGCTGCTGCAATCCAGTTAGTGCTCTTGTCCAGGATGATCTGTGACTATGTCATATTATTATCTAATAATCTCCAGCATATTGTCCCACTAGTAGTTTCATTATACATTTTGTACAACATAGAATTAAATACCCAATAAAGTCGTAATGTGATTCCTGATTAGCATTTGATGAAACCGAAGCTCCCTGTGAAATTGGGAACGAGATTGGGCATATACCACTACCCAGTTTGTCTCTCAAAATTTGCTGATATTGTTTATTTAGTTGTAACATTTCATAACACTTATGTATTTTAGAATATATTTTTTACTTTATTTATACTAGTAGATATATATTTTTTTACTATATTATTCGTCAATAGTACTGCATGATGCGTGCGGAAGATTAACAAAATCTATTCACCCCTCTTAGTGAGTAAAGATAGATTCTTCCGCCAGTGCTTGATCACGTGGTTTAACCGACACCGCCATATTTAAATTTGCTCAGTCTGGTGTTTTGTTGGAGTCTGGCGACTGTTGACGGCTTTGAGAAGTCTTTTTGTCTTTCTTTGTAGATTTTTTTTTCTTTCTCGGAAACTGAAACGCCAAGTTACATGTAACTTTGACCGGGAATCTCTGAAAATGTTCAACAGGGGGAAATTGGACGCCCTACTAGGCTGGGTAAGTCGTTCTCTGACACTTTTGAAGTTTTGTCGACATGATGCTCACATAACGCTTGTCTGTCAAAGCTAAGACTAGTACTAGTAGTAGTAGTAAGAGTGGTTTGCGTGTTTTGTTGGAAAAAAACGATAGCTAGTAGCTACACTTTTACGGACTTAAGTAGTCTCAGACCTACTGCGAAGTGAGGAATAGAATTGTGACGTAATTTAGGAGGAGTATTACTTCGAATTCCCGGGCTGAGTTAGCCATAATATTTTTCAAAAAGGCGTTGTTGTGCCTTGCCCACCGTGAGGCCGCGAGCATTTTTTTAAAACAAGTTGGCACGTGCAGCTTGGAACAAGTCGACACCTAGCCTCAAATCTCTATGACTAAAATATATTGAACTGTCAAACATTCTACTTTAACAAAATGTTATGTTTTTGTGGACATTTGGAAACTCAGCACGGCATAATTTTTAGTTTGCCACTCAAACTCAGACACGTGACCACCGTGTAACGCCTACTACATGTAGTACCGAACCGGCGGTAGATAAAAAGTACTGATGTTTTTCTGCTGTAAATTACGAGCAAATGTTACTTCTTTTCACTTCAAACTGCAGATGACGAACTCATTCTTCTAACATTTCTTTAATAAGGACGCCTTTGCTGACAAGTTCTTTTATAAATTTTCTCACTTGTTATGCTGCCGTTCAAATAATTTATCGTTCTCGAACACAAAACACACAAATTATGCATTGAGTATGTTGCCTACTTGTCCCTTAGGCCACACCAATTTAATTTCTTGGTTAACGGATTTTTCTAGAAAAATAATGGAGCGGGCGGGCGAAAAAAAAATAAAAATAAAAACAGGCCTAGGCATCCTATTATGGCCCAAAATGGTACGATTGGAGCCATGAAGTCAACACACCAGGCTGGTTCAAAATTTAAACAATGAATTTTGAACTTTTAATGATACCATTGCGTTGAAAGATGGAATAACTGTAACAACTAGGATGAAAAGGACTGTTTTCAACTGTTCAGGGCAAAATATGAGCGTTTTGCAGTTGATTCTGAATTTTTATTTTTATTTGCAAATCAGAAAAAAATGAAGCGGGCGAATCCGTTAACCAAGGAATTAAATTGGTGTGGCCTTATGGCTTATGCATAGTTTTCTGTCTGATGAGAAACCAAACAAATTATCTGTTTCATTATTCAAATTTGCCCATACTTTATATTTCTTATAATTATTATGTAGTGAGACAAATGAAAATATTACTAGTATCATATGTTTGGCATGTTGTGTGTTTTCTCACATTCTAGTACATGTCTAGATTTTTCAGTTCTGTTATTTGATTTCTAACTTTCACCTTACAGGTAAATCTGCTTGGTGTGGGGACAGTGGAATCATTGAAGGAGCTTCGAGATGGAAACATTTTAGTGCGGATTGTTCAGCTCATGTAAGTTTATAATTTATACCCAACATTCAACTAAATGTATACAGACTGCCCTTTGTGGTAAATTCTGGGGTTGATGCTACTGTATGAGGCAATTTTAGTGAAATAAACGGTTATTTTCATGCCCCAAAACTATTGAAATTTCATCCATGTGTATTACTAAGTTAGGAAACCATGTTAGGCCACACCAATTTAATTTGTTGGTTCTCGGATTCGCCTTTTCGTTTTTTTCTGATTTGCAAAAAAAAAAGAAAATTCTGGTTCTGAATCATCTAAAAAATGCTCATATTTTGCTCCCAACACTTGAAAGTCCTTTTCTTCCTAGTTGTTACAGTTTTTCAATCTTTTAATGCAGTGGCTTGGTTAAAAGTTGAAAATTCATTGTTTAAATTTTATCCCAGCCTTTTGTGTTGACTTCATGGCTCCAATCGAAGCATTTGGGGCCATAATAGGATGCCTAGGGCTGTTTTTATTTTTATTTTTTTTCGCCCTGTCGCTTCATATTTTTCTGAAAAAATCCGAGAACCAACAAATTAAATTGGTGTGGCCTTAGTAATTGATGTAATTTCATAACAGATTGTAAGGAAATGTGAATCACACAACTCAAACTTGGACGGTCCGACCCTTAAACTCTCAAATCCCTTCCGTCACTTTTTAATATCAGTACCATAGACGCCACTCACTGAAGAATTTGGCTTGTGTGCCGTTAAGAACCTGCCATTAAAAATTAATCTTCAAGCAGACCCTGCTGCACGCTGCATAGTATCCATTGGCCACAGGAGTGTCTGTTAGCCACCAATGGTCACTCCTTTTTTTACTCCTTTGGCCACTTGACACTGTCTTGCCACTGTGGGTCTGCTTGGAGACTTTAGATAAAAACTTTCTTACCTATGGAATGTTTCAGTGATCCTAAGATAGAGTATGAGGCTGAAGATCCAGCTGGTAGAGTGGAGGTTGTGAAGAGTTTCCTCGAAGGTAAGAACATATCACCCACAACATCTATCATGTCATTTAAAGTGTTGTCTGACTCTTGGCCCACTTGGCCCACTTGGCCATTGCACCAGTGAAAGAATAGTGGAACAGTAAATATGTGGCAGATCATGCAATTCATGTCAGAGTTTGTAGAGGAAAGCTTGAAACAAACATACGTTGTCTTTTCCCCAGGTTTCCACGTGACCAGTCTTGGGGATGACACATACGTGCGGTGGCATCTGATCCGACAGGCAAACGAGGATGAGATCGCAAAGGTAATGCAATGTCTAAGTCTGACTCATTTAATTTCCAAGTACAACTCAGAAGTTCAGGCACCTAAAGAAACAGTATTTTGCCCCCAACAGTTGAGGAACATCCTTTTCTTCCTAGTTGTTACATTTTTCCATCTATCAATGCAGTGGTTTGATTAAAACAAAAAAATTTCAAAATTCATTGTTTAAATGTTAACCCAGCCTTTTGTGTCGACTTCATGGCTCCTATCATAGCATTTGGGCCTATAATAGGATGCCCAGACCTGGCTTTTTGCTCTGTTGCTTCATATTTTTTCCGAAAAAATCTGAGAACCAAAAAAGTAACTCAAGGTTTTATTTCTTGCACCTATCCCAGGCAGCAACGCTGCTGCTCTACACGGCGTTTGTCAGCGATGCCAGAGAGCAGTTCATGTCCAAGATGGACGGGAGGATGGGGAAAGCCTGGGAAGTCACTATCAAAGACATCCTGCAATTCAACATTACCAACAATGAAAGGAAGGGTCCTCGTCCAGACTTTGCCGACATCCTCAAAGAGCAAAGTAAGGCTCAAGTAAAACAAATGGTTGTGAATAAAAGAACTTAACTACTAGTATTCAATCACTCACCAACCTGGTAAAATAATTTCTTGAAGCAAAGTAAGTAGGCTTTCATTTGTCAATAACAGTATCCTGTTCAATCTTTTTGTTGTCTGTTTACTAGTTGTTATGACAGACATGTTGACATTTTTATAGGGCTAGGAGTTTCTACGTTGTCAGAAGAGATTATTTGCAGTGATGCAGATAGTCCAGGTACATTTTGTTTCGCGTCGGTGGCTTGGTACCTTTCACCTGGGTGCTGGGCTGTTTCCAGCGTCTACACGAGCCAGTTCCTCAGACGGCCATAGGGCCAACTTGCATGAGATAACTCAGAGGGCTGTGGTAAAATTTCATGTTGGCCCTAGAGCTGAGGACCTGGCCTGTGTTTTGCCCCAAAGGTGCTGCAACACTTTGCTGCTTTAACCCAGCTACTTCACCATGCTAATAAGAAGTGAAAAAAGGTTCTGTTAAAAAAAAAACACTTCTAAGCTAGGGTCACACATACAATACAGGGAAGAGCATTTATACATTATTGGTGGCATGGTGTTCTTGTGGTTAGTGTTATCGACTCAGAATCTGAAGGTTCTGGGTTCAAATCCCTTGGGAGGCTTCAGTGTAGTGTCCTTGGGAAAGGCACTTAAGAAATAACAAGGTGATAGTCACTTTATGTTAATTGTTCTTCCAAAAATATGGTACATCTTGAGGACTGATTTAGAGTGAGGATTGCTAATTAGACAGATGGCTAATTAATTAGGTGAAATAAATCAAGCTTGTATCTTTTCCTCTGAACTAGGCATGGTTTCACCAGACGCCATCTGTAACGGAGGAGGTGGTCGTGACGGGAGCCTGACTCACACCAACAGGAGACACGTCTCTGTAGCCACTCCCATGTCCCCGGGGCCTGTGGTAACCAGGCTGTTTGACAGCCCCATGTCACCTGTCAGGAACCTCATGCAGTCACCACAGATGCAGTATAAGGTGTGTATAGTAGTCGAAACATTAGTAGACAAACACATTTATCGGGGAAATATTGGAATTAAATCCCTACTTTTGAAAAGCAACATTGCTCCATCGTTTAGGGAGATCCCTGCAGTAGTACTAGTCCAAAACCGGAAGTCCAGAACCGGTCCAGCAATCACTAGTATCAACAAGAAACAAAACCTGGTGACATTGCCTTCGGAAGAATTAATAACAGTCCAACTCTGTCTCACAGATTGCACTGACCAAGGCCCAACAACAAGTGCAACAGCTGAAGATAGAACTGGGGACCAAAAAGCACATCATAGACGAAAATGACGTGCAGTTGAGGAAGATGCAAAGGGCACTGGAACAAAAAGGTGAGAGACATTATACTATATAGGCTGTATGCGACCCTTTGGTCTTAACAGTAGTGTGCATGTCAGGTGAGCAAAAACAGCCGGGATTCGAGCTCCCAACCTCTTAGTCCAAAGGCAGCGTCACTAACCACTGGTCTACGCATGCACACCAGTATTTCTGTCTATGCCAGTTTGTGTACAGTCCTGTATTCTAGCCGGGCTGCTCCCCCAGGGCAATTTTGAAAATATCAACCTAGTTTAATGACATCTTTTTCCATATCTTTTACACACCAATTTTTGTCTGTCAAAGATGACGGAATGGGCAAAATGTTTATTCATGAGCAGCAAAATTCGTATATGTCGTATATATTCGTAATGACTAAAAGATGGATGCTGGCTAGCACACTGGTTCGTTCAATATTTGCCAAGACATACATTCGCCACTTGCTTACATCTTGTTACTGATTCTTTCCCCCACAGAGTCAGAGATGAGGGAGCTGTCTGCCAGGCTGGATGGCCTGCGAGCCCTACAGGACGAAAATGACGCCCTGCAAGCCCGCGAGAGCGAGCGCAAACAGCTGGAGCAGAGGTGCGAGAAGCTGACCAAGGCTCTTCACGAGTACGAAGTCTACAAGACAGAGTGCCAGGAGCTGAAGAAGCAGAACGACCGCTTGTTTGAGGAGAGACACGGGATGGAGGACGCCATGAAGAGATGTGACCAGATGGCCCTGCAGGTCAGCGTGCAAAATACATGGTTGCCCAGTTGCCCCGGGCAACCAAAATTTACTTGGGGCAACCTATTTTTGAACCAAGGTAGCCCAGTGTGCTACCTGGATTTTAAGAAATCATGCCCACTTGGCTTGCACCACTTATCCGGCAGATGCTTTTTAATTTTAGGTATTAATGGCTATTACTAGGGCTATTACTAGTATCAGCTAAGTTACTAAAGGCTGTTAGAAATATTGTCCAAGGCTTGTGTATGTAACATTACTTAATTTGACTAAAGTAGTAACTTATATATAGGTGGGGCAACCTAAAATTCTGATGGCAACCTAATTTTTGCCGTAGGTCCTGGGCAACCTGGTTCAAAAAAGTATTTTGTACCCTGCAGGTGCAGGAACTGCAGACAGAGCTCCACTGCACAGGTCAGCAGCTGCAGGCACTGCGGGACTCCCTCAAAGCCAAGGACCAGGCACTGCAGCACATGCAGCAGGAGAAGGCTCAGGTGGGTTGGTTTTATTGGAAAATTTCTTCACTCACACTCACTCACTCACTGTCCGGGTAATACAAAATATGTTTACTATTCTTAGTTTTTAATGTTTTTTCATTATACAAAAATTCTGACATTGCAAATGACAGTACAATACATATTAACTTGTTACAATTACTGTACCTTCTAAATGTATATAGTGCTGAAAATCTATGAAAACTATGAGAAAAACTACTGTAAGATGAAATGTAGCATGGAGGATAGAGTTATTGAGTATTTGTTTCCTGTACTACCATTTAATCCATGTTTCAGATATATTGTATGACTCATATAAACAATGTTTAGTCATGAGTTACATAGAACATATAGTTACTAACATTGTTATAGATGATAAGGTAGGTATCAGTCTTGATATTTAGTACAGTTCAAAAAGTTGGCATACTCTGTACCTGTTTGTAAATTTGTTGTGCAATATACCTACACTTTGTTTTTGTTTTTAGCTACTGGAACAAGCAAGACATACGGAGGAACGCCTGAGAGAAACACAGCTCGAGTTACAGGAGACAATGCACAGTAGTGGTATGGAGTCGATGGGAGAAAGCCTGGGTAGTATCGTCGAGAAGCGAGCGCAAGAACTAGAGCAGGAGCTTGCCTACACCCAGGAGAACTGGACAAAACCGGAAGAAGCGGCTAAACTGGTGGAAAGCCTTGCCGCGGCGCGTGCTGCCAATGCCAGTCTGGAAGACAACATCCGGAGTCTCATCGCTGAAGGCGACAAGCAGCGTAAAGACCTAACAGAGCACCTGGACAACGCTGTCCAGAAGTACCAAACCGCAGAGCAACAGCTGAACGAAGAGATGGCCAGGCACAAGGCAGAGATTCAGCAGCACCAACAGGAGTACCAGGCACTCAAGACCGATGCTGCAATGGAGAGGGAAGCTCTTCGCTCCAAGCTCGGCGCCGTCAGCTCCACCAAGACAGCCCTGGAGGTGACGCTGGAAAACGAGCGCTGGACCTTCAAAGCAAAGGAGGAGGCGTACAGAGAAGAGATCCTGAGCACGGAAAAGAAGCTGGAAGGCGCCAAGCAAAAGGTAGCCCAGCTGGAAGAGGAGAATAGCGTCACCATGGCGGTGATGCAGGATGAGAAGGACGCTCTGGAGCGACAGCTGAAAGAGGTGTCCGCTGCAGCAGAGCAGAAGTGCCTGCAGTTGAACGACCAGGTCAGTCTTCTTCAGGAGGAAAAGGCGGCCGTTGTGGCTAACCTAGAGGGCTACAAGGCCAGGGTTGAGGCCGAGATGACAGGGCTTCAGAAGGAGCTGGAACAAACACTACATGACAAGACATCTGCAGAGAGTGCACTGCACAACACAAAGGAACAGCTCACTGCTGTGTCACAGGAAAAAGCCGCCATTACATCGGCGCTGGAACAGGTGAAACAGCAGAAAGAAGAGGAGGCAGGGCAGCTGCAAGATCAACTGGTCACAGCAGCAACAGAGAACTCCTCCCTGGCCGCCGACCTGGAGAGTAAAGCGAAGCTGTGCCGCACTCTCGAGGCAGAGAAGGCCATGCTTGCCGACGCGATTGGAAAGCTGGGGGCGTCGTCAGAAAAAGAAAAATCTGAGCTCCAATCTCTGATGAGTGACCTTCAAACTGAGAGAGATAGCCTTCAAGGTCAGCTGGAGGACCTGCAACAGCAGAAGGAAGACCTGACACAACAGAACTCCGACCTGCATACGGAGCTGGATGAACACAGCAAAGACAAGGGGGCAGCCTTGAGCAAGATCAAGGAAGTAGCCACATCCAACACGGAACTGAAAACCAGCCTGAAGCACAGCGGCAAGCGGCTGGATTCCATCAGTGACTGTCTGGACATACTGCTGTCCTGCCAGGAGAAAGCCATGGACAGCCTCCATCAGGAGCACACTGAACTGTCTCTGGAGAACAGGGACTTAACCAGCAAAGTGTCAGAGCTGGAGAAGCAGCTGGAAGAAAGCACGGGCCAGCTCACCCACGTGACAGAAGAAAAGGAAAGCCAAGTCTTGAATCTGGAGTTGGGCTTGCGGGACCTCCAGGCTTCCTTGGACAAGGCAGAGCAGGAGAAGTGGTCCATGCAGGCGGAGATCTCTCAGAGGGAGAGAGCTGCCGCTGTCCTGCAGGAACAACATGCCAAGCGCCTTCAGCATCTGGAGTCTGAGAGTCGAGAACAACTTGAGAGGGTAAGGAAAGAACTGCAGAAGTGGAAATTGACTTTCTTGTACATCTGATAGATCTGTGTTTTCTTCCCCATAAAATGGAGTCCAGATGCCCCCAAAAATTAACACAGTAACTTGTTATGCAACTTAGTGGGGTTTTTTTTTGCCTAGCTTGATGCTGATCAAGTAACGTGGCCAGTTGTCAAAAACAATTATGTACCATAAAAATAAAAACCAAGCAGATGTCAGGGGGTTAAAGAGTAGCTGAATGAAACGAAAGTAATACACCCAACCAACTTATTCCAAATAACAAGTGATTCAGGCAATACTCCACTCAAGTTACTTTAAATAAGTTTGATTTGCCAGCACCACTTAACAAAAATATAAACATATAATCCAGCTATTTCCATCTTGGCTCCCAGACTACATTTTTTAAAAGCATATCTTGTTTCTTGTACTTCTAGGCAGAAGCTTTGAGAGTTCAGCTCCTTGAAAGTAACTCCCGGGCAGCGGCTGCAGAACAGAGCTGCGGGAAGCTGCAGGCAGAGCTGCAGACACTGCAGCAGACGCAGGCTGACAGGGAGGCGGAGACTGAGAAACAGGCGGCAGACATGCAGACAGAACTCCAGTTTGTCCAGGACAGACTCATCCTGAGTGAATCTGCCAAAAACAGGGTAAGATTCAGGAACACTTGCATTGATCTACTCCTGAGGGCTCGAAAAACTTCACACTGAAAGTCATTTCCACCTGACAGGTTTTACCTGTACTACTCAGAAATATAGGAAGTATAGATCTGTTGTTGCTTGCCATTATTTCTTTTATACATACACCCAACTTTTGCAACTTCTGTCATAGAACATTGGTGAAAAAAAGTCTCATCCTTTATCAAGGCTGTTTCTGAGCCATTTTCCTGTGCCTCTACTAACAACAGTTACTATCTTCTTATTCCAGGCCGAGGCTCAGAACGCTGACCTGTGTAACGAGTTGCAGACCATGAAGGAACAGGTGCTGTCCCTGGAGGCAGATAGCAAGGCACAGCAACAGCAGCTCAGGGACAGGGAGGCAGCCATGGCAGCTGCTAACAAGGCTGGGAAGGAACTGCAGGTCTGGCATGCTTATGGTCTTATACAAGAGTTTTCCCTTACGATAGGGCAGACCTAAAATTTTGGTCTCCTCTGTGATTTTTTTCTTCATTACTTGTGGTGGCCCTAAAAGAATTTTAAACCAATCCATTAACGTTGAGGGACAAACTTGACAAAAATCTTGGGTAAAGATATAATATCCAAAGGACCAACACCATCCACTCTCAACCCCATGATTTGCCTCTCAAAATGTAGGGGATTGCGTTTTAAAGGCTTGAAAATCCAAAAATTGCCCCCCGAACCCGTTATTGAATTATTGTTGTATGGTTCATTGCAGGGTCAGTTGGAAATCAGTCAGGTTGAGAGGGAAGCAGTGCAGCAACAGCTTGACATGGTACATGCGGCATTGGACCAGGCAGAAGCTAGCAAGTGTGACCTCAAGGGCCAGCTTTCTACAGCCCAGCAGCAACTGGAGCAAAGTAAATCTGGCAGTGAAGAGCTCCGGAGACAGCTTGGAACAGCACAGGGACAACTAGAAGAGATGAAAACTTCCAGGGATGACCTTCAGAGCCACCTGCAGACAGCACAGGAGCAACTTCAACAGAAGGACGCTGTGCAGGGTGAACTCCAGAAACAGCTGCAGACAGCACAAGTAAACCTACAACAAAGTGAAGCCACAAGAAATGACCTCCAGAATCACCTGCAGACAGCACAGGGAACAGCTCCAACAAAAGGACAAGTGTGCAGGGTGAACTCCAAAAACAGCTGCAGACAGTTGAAGCAAACCTTCAACAAACTGAAGCTACCAAAAATGACCTTCAAAGCCACCTGCAGACAGCACAGGAACAGCTTCAACAGAAGAACACTGCACAAGCTGAACTCCAGAAACAGCTGCAGACAGCACAAGCAAATGTACAGCAAACTGAAGCTGCAAGAAATGACCTTCAAAGCCACTTGCAGATAGCACAAGAACAGCTGAAGCTGAAGGACACAGCACTTGGTGAACTCCAGAACCAGCTACAGACAGCACAAGCAAGTCTGCAGCATACTGAAGCCACCAGAAATGACCTTCAGAGTCACCTGCAGACAGCACAGGAACATCTTCAACAGAAAGACACTGCACAAGTTGAACTCCAGAAACAGCTGCAGACAGCTCAAGTAAACTTACAGCAAGCTGAGTGTACTAGAAATGACCTTCAGAGTCAGCTGCAAACAGCACAAGAGCAGCTTCAACAGAAAGACACTGTGCAAGGTGAACTCCAGAAACAGCTGCAGGCAGCACAAGCAAACCTACAGCAAACTGAAGCCACAAGAAACAACCTTCAAGGTCAACTTCACACAGCACAGGAACATCTTCAGCAGAAGGATGCTGACCTCCAGAACCAGCTGCAGACAGCAGCGGGCAAACTGGAACACTCTGAAGCTGTCAGGAATGACCTTCAAAGCCAGTTACAGGCCATGCAAGAACAGCTGAACAAGAAGGACGCTGCACAAGGTGTGCTCCAAATCCAGCTGAAGACTGCTCTGGCAAACCTACAAGAAACCGAAGCTACCAAGAGTAACCTTCAAAGTCAGCTGCAGACAGCACAAGGACAGCTTCAAGAAAAGTGCACAGCACATGATGGCCTCCAGGTGCAGCTCCAGTCATCAATGGCCAAGCTGGAGCAAAGCGAAGCCAGTAGAAGTGATCTTCAAGGACAGTTACAAACAGCACAGGAACAGCTTCAGCAGAAGGAAGCTGCAGTGGGCTGTCTGAACAGCCAGCTGGAGGCATCACAAGTACAGCTGGAGAAGGCTGAGGCTGGAAGAAATGATCTTCAGAGCCAGGTCAGTGGTAGAGAAATACCCACCTGCAGTCTGCATTTTACAGAGACATTTTTGATATTGCAGAAGAAAAATTGAGTGAATATCTGGTCCAGGGGATATATCAAAACATGGCTGAATACTAAAAATTAAAACAACACTATGCAGCTTTTCATCAACTCTAAGGCAACCTGCAATTCTGCACACTCAGCTACATATTAAATAGTTTTTGGCATCATATTGTTTAAGAGCTTTTGTGTTCACTACTGACTCTCAGAAGTTATAGATGCAGACAAAAATTTTGACATCCTGCAAAATGATTTGTTTACATCTTTAATATGGACCACTGATGCCTGAAATAAAGGATTATTATTATGATATTATGAAAGAAAGAAAATGGCACAACACTGAAAAAAAGTATTTCTACCACTACAGGTGGACCTTGTGCAGGCCCAGTACATGCAGAGTCAGAACAGTTCGGATGAGACAGTGGCTGAACTCAGAGTCCAGGCAGCGCACTTTGAACAGGAATGCTCCCAGCTACAAGAGGAGAAGCAGCAGCTCCTCAAGCAGTGGGAAGACATGATGGCCTACAAGGTAAGGGCCTAGGAAAAAATGCTGTGTTTCCTGATCTTTTTGTGCGTGGACCCCTGAAAGGGACATCAGTTTTCAAGCTGACAAGTTTTATTTGTGCTTGACTTTGATAGGCCATATTCGTTAGTTGCTTGAAATACTGTAAATCTGTCAGTTCTGATAGTGGACTGATTACTTATTATTTATTTATTTATTATGTATCATATTTTTTTGTTTGATTTGTAAATCCATGACCCTGCTCTCACCCTTGACCTTGTTAAAAGCGGTTGTATGTTTGACCGAACAAGTTAATCGAGTTTAAATAAAGGCTTGCTACTACTACTTCTGTACCGCAAACTTCTTACTATCGTGAACAAATAAATCGTCACCTTTCTTTTTGCTGCACCTGCCACCACTGTGAACGTATAGTTCCGTGAACATGTCCATTTTTCTCAGACTGTGAACTTTTGCTACCATGAACAAAGAGTGACTTACAGTATTTCCTGTTGGTCTGTGTTCCCTACAGGTGAGAGTAGAGCAGCAGTGCAGCACCTTGCAGCGCGAGCTTGGGGAGGCAGCCGCACACAGTCAGCAGCTGGAGCTCAACAATGCGCAGCTGTGCAGCCAACAGCAGGAAATGGCAGCAAAGGAAAAAAGCTACAGGCAAAAGGTATTTTTTTAGTTGCAAGGTTAGACATACTAGTGAAAAAGCTAGCTAACTGGCCAAAGATAGTGGATGCTACCTGAAATGTCTTACCATTTTTAAAGCCATGCTTGAGTAACTGTTTTTGCTGATTTTTAGCTGATTATTACTAGATTAAGGGTTAGTGAAGGTATTTGTGGCTTCATATCATAGTTTTTTTCTGATTTGCTCAAAAAAGATTTAAGTTGTAACATTACCCTTGTTACAGGTTGAGGCAATGCAACAGCACTTTGAAGAACAGCTGAGAGGACTCAAGGAGTTGCAAGGGGCGATGGAAGAAGTGCAGGGTCAGAAGAACATGTTGGAAGAACAGCTTAAGATGTAAGGTCCAGTTACTTCACCCGAGTCTCTATGTACAACAACAGTGCAATAGAATACAGTACAACACAATGCCAACATCAGAAGCCAGTACAAAATGTATTCAAATTGAAGCAGTGCACGCAAGATGGCTTTGAGTTATTCTATAATGGAACCTTTGAAAGCCTGTGTGATAACCGTTAGAGCCATGTGTGATCACACGGGCCTGAATACCCGCACCAAACGCAGGTATGACATAAAGTGCAATACTGTAACAGTATTGCATTGTATAACACTCTGTTACAGATTAAGAGAGTGTGATTTGTACAAAAAGTTTAACCTCTTATACCTCTGTGAACTTTGAAATATTTATGTAAAATGTGAATTCCTTAAGCTTGTTTCATTCATTATTGTGAACTGACTGAACTCCTTGCTGTCATACAGTGTCAGTGGAATTAGCCTTGCTTTAGAATTAGAACTCTCACAGTAAGTAAGTTGTCTGTTTCTCTCTCCCTTGTGCTCAGGTCCCAATCCCAGCAACAGGAACTGTCTGAACAGCTGCACAGTTACCAGATGCACTATCAGCGTAAGAAGGAAACTATCCAGGACCTGGAGAAGTCACTACAGAAGCAGGAGAACGCACATGTACGTCATCATTACATCAACTCTATCTTAGTGCCTTATTTTAACAATTAGAGTCAAACCTACCCAAGAAGATCACTCGAGCTTGGGACTGATAAAATCTGGTCTATGTGTACAGGTGGTCACTATAGACAGAATTCTTCATGCTTGTGTCAATGGGAAAAGTTACATAAGGAACTCAAAAATTATCACATTGGTCACAGTGGTCCTTATGTAGAGCTCTAGGTTTCACTGTAAAAGTCTGTGTAGTCTGAGGATGTACTACTTTAAGATGGCTTTTTTTGTTTGCAAATCTTCACTCATTATCTTGTGATAATTGTACAAGAATCACTCAAACACTCACTATCCGGTTTAACATATACTGTTCCTTGTCAACCGGGTTTTGGATCTGCTCATAAAGTCTTGCAATACTTACTTGTAGACCGCTATGTGGTCTGTTTCATTGCAAAATGCCTGTACCTAACAGTTGTTGTACTGTTTCTACATAACCCAGGAGTCGGTGAAGAACCAACTCCAAACAGTACAGCAAGAAAGGAACAAACTGAAGAAGGAAAACAGTAGCCTGTCCACAGATGTCAAAACGGCCATTGAGAAGCTGAAGGAGGAAGAGGCCACGACCAAGAAACTGTATCAACAAGTGAGTATAAACTGTGAAGGACTGGGAGGGAGGCATTAAGGAACAAGGATGGTGTTTAAAAAACACAATGGCGATATAATTTTTTACTTCTGAATCATTTGAAATGGAATTTTTGTTATTAGCCTGTCCCGTATGTCTGTTTGTTTGTGTTATTGGATTTTTGTGGTCAGCATAACATAAGGACTTATGGATGGATTGAGATACCAAAAACCACCATATCACCAGTCAGGACAAAAACAAAATGTAATCTAAATGTTGAAAGGAACAAATGATGATCAATGGAAAATTATACTCTTCACCTCTGTAAAATATTTTCACATTAACCTTTCACTGTGTTGTATAATCCTGATGAACTATCAGAGCCTATCCTTTCATTTTGGTCTTTAACACACCTGGTCTTCACCTGTTGTATTTCGGCAGGTACGTTCTCTTGAGGCGCAGGTAGACCTGGCCAATCGTCAGCTCCGACAGCAGAAACACCAGGTCAGCTTTGCCACCCCCGCTGCTCGCAGCCTCAACACCAGCACAGACAGTATCGAGGACACCGCCGGTACGGATTACTGTACATCTTGGCATAGTTGTGTTTTCTTTCACAGAAGGAGAACATACTGTTTTTGCTCTATTTCCTCTTCTTCTCCAAACAAATTATTTCAAGGGTGTGGACCAGATGGCTGTCACCATGGTGACTGCTGCTGTTAATTGTTGGGTTACATTATGTAGCAAGTTTGGAGGGGCTGGTCATCTTACATATGAATGTATTTTTTAATGCTCAATGCAAAGACAAAATACCTGGTGACCCCTTTATTACCAGTAAGTTGGTACAAATTTATTTAAGACACTAAGTAATGAAACTGGTAAATACTGTCTGTCTTCTATATCTCTATCAACATCAATGTTACCTTCCTCATTGGGAACTTTACTTTTGTAGATGAGACGTTTGACCTGGAGCCGCGCTCCCGCCAGCGCCACAGCACAAGTCGAGATGACCTGGACAGAACCCTGTCCAACAGTCAGGTGGCAGGGGAGGAGGAAGGAGACAAGAAGAACAGAACCATCAGCACGGACAGTCTGGAAGGAGACAGTCTGGACACCTCCATCTTCAGTAGGACATCACAGGACAGGTAGGACAAGGCTCAAAAATCACCTGCATAGTTCAGGTTAAATTTTGGCTGTGCAGGTATTTCTGACAACTACCTGCATCGGTCCATGTTCTAGGTTTATATGTACAGTTTTTAGTACAGTTTTTACACCAGCACCAATCAGTTATTAGAGAACTAGGAACTAGAGATTATAATAAAAAGTATAATCTCTAGTTCTCTAATAACTGATTGGTGCTGGTAAAAATTGTCTGGTGCAGGTAATTTTCAGTGTTAGCTGCATCAGTGCAAGTATTTTGAGCCCTACTGTTGCAATTGACTCGATTTACATTTCAAGAGTACTAGTAATATACCCAAATCTTGGGTTTCCTGTTCTGTTTCAAGCTGCATTGATGTTTTGATTTAATCTCCTGGCTGCCTACACCTATATCTATGTAAGGTATGTTTAATGTTTTCCATAAAATTGGAGGTCATTTTTTATGTACTGCCTCAACTAGCAGTTTGCACTCACTCAAAATGACAACATGCAAGCAAGTATAGCTCTCTGGAGACGGGGAAACAACAAAGATAAACTGTGTGTCTGTTTCTGTTTGACTCATCGTGTTCTGTTCTGTCCAGCGGCATGTCCACGCGCAGCCAGCGCCGCCGTACCACGGTCAGTATCGAGATGGTGCAGACGGAGGATTCCCGCCGCCTGTCCAGAACCTCCACGGAACACGTGGACCTGGGGTCCTCCATCGGATCTGCCTCCAGCTGGAGGGGAGGTGAGTATTCATGGTAATACTAAGACTACTTCTGGTGGGGTGGGATAGGATAATGGACATGAGATCAAGAGGCTGCAGGTTCGATTCCTGGCTTGACTTTGTTCCCTTGGAAAAGGCACTTTACACTGTTACACCTTTCTCACTTCATGAAGGTGTGAAATGGGTACCTGACTTCGGTTGGCAAGGTAAAAAGTCGTGGAAGGAGAGGGATCATCAGGGCTCTGCCTTCCAATAGCGTGCCCTAGACATGGTGAATCATACACCCACTGCCCCTATGGTCTCAAGAAGGCTGTGGAACTACCTTATCTATCTTTTGCCTTATATAAAATAAAACTCAAGATCAGACATATACTTTAAATTTAAACACAAGTATTTAAGTAAGTAAATTTTAACAAGCAGGAATTGTTTTGTTGCCCCCTGCTAAGGGAAGTCATGTTTTGAAAGGCATTGATTGATTGGTTATTCCAATTGTGATTTAATAGAAATAAATTTACAAGTATGCAATGGTCTAATTAAGTAATTTGCCTGTATTCGTGCATTCTGCTGGATAATGACAATATATCAATTTCTGATGTTTACAAACTTGTGCGTTCTGTTTCCATGACTACAGCAGCTCCAAGGTTCTTTGTATCAGAGTGTGAGGAGGAACCAGAGCAGTATGACTGGGACAGGCTCTCCGAGCTTCAGAGGAGGAACACCCTCCAACCCAGACATCTACAGAGCTGCTATCCCACAGAGACTCAGGTATGCACCACTTCTGCTTAGAAATGACACATTTTTATAGTGTTTGTTGTTCAGTACCTTGTAACCCTGCCTTGATCTTGACCAAGAAGTCATGAGTTCGAATCCCAGCTCTTGTAATTTACCTGGCTTGCACATTACTGGAAAGGGTTGTTCATTGTCCTTGAAAAGAGCTAAGGGAAATTCCCTGGTACAATAATGAGCCTGTTAATACTGTACATACATGTAGTTTCTGTCTTTGTCATGGGCAGTTGAAGATCTAGAATAGCTCAACTGTACATTGCCTTCATTTGGTTGAAACTGGTTTAAAGTAACTTTTAGTCATGATAAGATCATCATATAAAGAATCTTCTGATCATGGCTCAAAGCAAAAAAGCAAAGAGGCCTTTTTTCAGTTGTAGATAGTGCCTGTGACAAGCTACTGTATGATGTTTTACCAAGATAGTGATTCTCTAGAATTATGTTATTGATGAAAATATTAACATGTATGTTGGCCTTTTTTTTTTGCATTTCATAGGGTACAGCTCTGGAGGAGACAGAGGACCTGAGTAAAACCCTGCGTAGAACGACACTGCGTTCTTCACAGGCCGCAAAAACTTTCAGTATCACTCCGGGAAAGAAGAGGAGGCACGAAGCAGATGAGAACAGTGCCTCCAGGAAGAAGGTAATTATGACCAGGGTTTCATCTGCCCTGAACTCAGCTGGTAACATTTTAAGGGGGATCATTCACTCTGTTGGGTCTGATTTTTTCAGAAAAACATAGAGTGACAGGGCAGTAAAAAAACAGACCTAGGCATCCTATGATAGCCCCAAATGTCATGATAGAAGCCATGAAGTCAACATACCAGGCTGGTTTATAATTTATAATCAATGAGTGAACTTTGAACTTTCAATCAAACCACAGCATTGATCAATTGATGGATGGAAAAGCTGTTACAACTACAAAATGTAGGAAGACAAGGACTTTCTTCAATTGTTGGGACCAAAATACGAGCATATTTTAGTTGAGTCAGAACCTGAATTTTTTTTTTGACAAATTGGAAAAAAATGAAGGATCTCAGCTTTTATTTGCATCCTATCTGATTTTTTTACGATGTAGTTCTTTCTCTGGCTACCTTCTTCAGGCCATTACAAATTAGCACTAAAAAATCCCCATCTTACCTGAAAGACTCCACATAGGATGAGGCGTCGTAATTCTATAGGACCTGCAGAAATCATGGCCCCAGACCTCGTGTCTGATGACGGCTTGTCCCTGAAGGAAGAACCCAAACCTCACCACCGACGTCGTCGCATGTCTCGTACTGTCAGTCAGGCAGACATGTTTGTGGTAGAGAGAGCTGACACAGACTGTGACTTTGCAAATGACGTGAGACGTTATGTTTTTGTGAGCGTGGTGGCTTGTGGTGACTTTGGGAGCAGCTAGACACTCAGCCACATAAACTTGATTAGCCATGTAAATTGAAGCTATCAGCTATGTCACTCCTAGCTACATGTTTATGAGCCACATAAATTTTTGATAAGCCTCTCATGCTCAGTTCAAACTCAAGTTCAGTTCAGACTGTGCACTGCCTTATTTTTGTGTTTTATGATTTTTGTTGACCAAAGTGATATGTCTGGATGTAGCCCGGGGTGTAGTGTGTTAGATGTGTGCATTAAATCTAAAGTAGACACGGTGGCCAAGGCATGTTTTTTCTTTTTTTCCCTCAACCTTTGGCATGTTATTTTGCAGGTGTAGTAGTAAATCAGTGTATGGAGATGCTTCTTTAGCACACAATGTATAAAAGAAATAATGGCAATGGTTTCTGAACAGTTCTTACTTCTTAGTGCACATAAATGTGTCTGATACAGGTTATTTTCAGTGGTACTTGCACTAGTGCAGGTATGCAGAAAAAAAGAATTTCAAGCCTGGTACTAGTGTAGGAGGGGAAGGATGGCAGTACATGTAATACGCCTTCTTACACTTTTTTCTTCTTTACCAGACTGTGGTCATGCCAAGCACACCATCTAAAACACCATCCGTCTTCAAGACCCCCAAGAAGATTGCCAGTGCAGCAGCAGGCATCTTCAAGAAGCCAACGGGTAGGTTCAAAAAGTTTTAATGATATACTAGTATTTGGTTGTCTTCAACTTTTTCCCTTTGTCTTCAAATTTTACACTCCACTTTTTAGTACTTCAATTGATTTGCTTAAACTTCTATGTATGTTGCAATCAACATTAACTGTTAATATACTCAAAGTTTTGTGCCAGAAAACAAGAACAATACACAACTCCTACCATGTTTGTTTTAAAAGATGGTACATTCATATTATCTAGGTGCTATCAATGTAATACCTTTCTATGTGAAGTATGTTAGTAGTAAGATTTTTCCAAGGGTTTGATCAGCAACACTATTTTTTGTTACCACAGGTAAGACTCCCTCCTCTAGGAGACGTTCCCCTCGGCTTCAGGGCCGCGGGAAGTCTCCTGCTGGACGACTGAACAAGGCCAAGACTCCTACCAAGACACCCAACAAACACCAGGCAAAGCAGGTAATGTACACATGATTGCAGTTAACACTAGAACTCAGTAACAAAACAGATTTCAGGTGCAGGCCCATACAAAATGTGCCTGAAAATAGAACATATACTGTGCCTGCGTGAAACCCAGATTTTTGCCGGTTGTTGTCGGATGTTTGTTCAACATTGCATCAGAATGTTGCAGACGATATATATCTAGCCAGCCTGAATTTTTTTCTGTCATCTCAATTCTTGTTCTGTATTTTGCTAAAGGTGTGATGCAACCATCGTAGAGGGCCATGGTCCCTCAGAAAAATTTTGAAACCCTCTGAAATAATGCTATTTCCAGCATTTTGACGGGTAAATTTTGTAGGATAGACTAAGCTTAGTTTAATGACATCTCTTTCCATATTCATATTGTCAAATATGTCGGATTTGGGCAAACTTTTTGTCAGCAAAATTCTGTAAAATGGCATTTAGAACTGAAATTTAGAACTGGTTAGAAAACTCTAGTACACATCAGAGTGATATGAATATATAATAGTATAATACTGAAGCAACAAACTTTTAATGATTTGATGATGATGATGATGATTATTAAAGAAGAAGCACAATCTGACATGGCAGTCAACAGACTGAATTACGCTTTACAGTAGTTTTAAAATCAGTTAAATTGATAAAATCACAGCTTAAAATATAACACATTATAAATATTTACGGTTCGTTCCACCATTGTCATACATAAATACATAAAATCTGTTACAATATTTAAAAAACGTCTACAGTCCATTCAGTAACTTTGTCATTGCAGGGATTGCACTAGTTATGTATCGTTTAGTCCCTGTTGGTTGTTGGTAGCGTGTCGAGTTGCGGAGATGCCTGCCATGTTGCTGTCCGCGGGTAGGGGGCAGCTATACGGAGAAGCGAGGCGATCTTTCCACCTTCAAGGCAAAGTCTGTGCACAGTTTTTGTCTGCGGGCTGATCAGGGATTTGATCCCTGAGGAGTAGTAGGACTGAAATGGTAAATTTTTTTTCTTCAAAATCGCTGCAGGACCCTCGGAGGCAGAGCATCGCCTTCAACATCGGGTTCAGTCCCCTGAAGGGCTTCAGGAAGTCAGCCCGCAAAGCCAAGGAGAAACGGGAGGCACAGAAGGAGCCGTCTCAGGTTCGTGAGGAAGTTGTGTTTGGAGCGTCTGTTGTGTTCCAGTCATATATTGAATAACATGATTGTTAGAACTGCATTGATTAATGTGTTAGAGCTGCATTGATTTTTGTGACACTGACAGTGAATATGTGTGAATAAATGAATGAATGAATGGATATTTACAAATGTACCAGTAAGTCACAATTAATACTAATTTAACACAGGTACATATTAAAGTTAAATTTCAAATTTTAATTACATATAAGCTTGGGTATTTGATTGCAAGTTGCTGGCAAGTTTTGGGGTAAGTCTATCCTTATCCATTACCAGATATGGAGAGTGAAATCAAACCCTTTGTGTGAAACTGTAAAAATTTTGGTTTGACCACCAGACTGAACAAATGTTGCAAAAAGAATCGTGTATGAGATTATATAATTTATCTATTTATTAAAAAACTGTATGTGTGATGATAATGAATAATTTATTCTGTGTAACCTTTGTGAAGATTTGAAATAAAGAAACAATGATCCATTCTCCTGTCTCTTTCTGTCGCTATTTTATTTTTCAGTTTCATGTCAGAACTTTTGTGCTGTCCTTTTTCCTTTTGTCTGTCACCACTTTGCTTGTCACGATCTGTACATACAGTTGTTGTAATCATGTGTTCCCTTTTATATGGGAGACTTTGTTTTCCCTTTTTTTCGTCATTGTTGTGCTGCAAATGTAGACTAGATTACATGTAGATGTTAACCTTGGTTGCAGCCCTTGTGTAAGCACCCTAAAAAGCACTTCTTTACTTACAGCGGAGAATGAGCATTGCAAATGTAAAGAGCTTCCTCAGCGTGAATAACTCCAAAACAAACAAGGTTAATATCACTTTAAAAAGGCATTATTGCTTTCTGCGACTGCTCTAACTTCAAATCAAAGGTCCTATTCAATGATTTTTGTCGTGATTTTAAAAAAGTAGTCCAGTTCCTGCAAACGTATTGAATTTAAAGAGTTGTATATTCCGAAAATGGCAACACTTAAAGAGAGAAATTAAAAACTGGCAATATATTGTATATTGAAATGGGACTTGATACAAATCATGCTTTAAGCTTGTACTGCTGCATTAATATGAGATAATCTGCTGCATTCATAAAAGATAATCTGCTGCATGCACTGCTGAACTTGCTTGCAATGGAGCCTCAGACCATTCCATGCTTTTAGTCAACAACATAACGTAGCTTTTAGCGAGCTTGTACTGTTTGACCACCATACAATCAGCATTCCATTAACAGGCCTCTTTTCAGCTGCTTAACCATGCCAAGCTATGGCCTGCCAGCCATCTTATTGTATACTGGTGCTCCCATACTCACTCCCTAAAATAAATGAACAAATTTACTCCCTTCGTAGGGAGTGAGTATGGGAGGCAAGCCCCTATATGCAAATAGGATGGCACCCAGGGTAGCCAAGCAAATTTCCAAGCAGATGTAAAGATTCAGCTCAATTTTAATTTTTTTTACACTTGTTTTGGTATCATTGGTATTCTTTACTTTTGTTATTTAACTAATCTGCTTCCTCCAACAACAACCAATAAATGGTGCAAAAAACAGAGAATGATGTGTCCTCACATCTGCTTGGAGATTAGGCACATCATTCCATTGTGATTGGGCTTGCTATCCTGTCTCTGGATTTAGCGTAGATAGGTACATAAACCCTCTTCTTGTTCCAACCGTCTTTAAATTGTTTCCTTAACAGACGAAAGCAGCCCGCAAGCCCTTGGGAACTAGGAACAACGCGCAAACCGGCGTGTAACGTGAAGATTGTCCCAGCGTGACAATCGTGGACACCAGCCTTCATCAGTAGATAGCTCAGTGATCTTAAAGTCAGTGCAATAGAAAAATCGAGTAGACAGTTAAGTTCTAGTGACTAAGCACGTAAATCTGGTGTGTTATCATGATATTTACCAGCCTGGGTGTCATCATGGGTATTAGTTCTGTCTCCTTCAAACATCGCTAGACTACACTAGACCAGTTTACCAATTAAAGACAAGATGCATTTATTGTGATTCACACTTAAAGTGTCGTTTGTATAAATTGTGAACGGTTTTAGACCTTATTTTCTCATAGCTATAGCAAAGATGGGAGAAAGTATAGGTGCACTGCCAGAGTTGAATATTTTCCTACCTTTATTTTTACCATAAGTCCTGTCAATGATAATAGTATTGGGTGAAATGTTGGTGTCATGGTTTTCCATTATATAACGTTTTATAATAATTATTGAAAGGCATTGTGTGTTGTCAAGTGTTTAGATAGTAGAGAAGTGTATGTTGAACAACACTGACTTGAAATGAAGAATAAGCATTTATTACATTATAATCATGCTTGTATATACTGTACAAATTTTTTCTGTCCTTGCAGGTGATCTATTCTTGTGTGATTGTTCTTCCATATCTGAGTAAATAAAGATGCTTTCTGTCACGTCTTACACAAGTTGGCTGGTCTGTTTCCAAAAGTTTGCCAAAAATAGTTTTAGAAGTGTCTTCATGTGACTTGAAATAAAAGATTTGAAAAAGATATAGGAGGTATTGTACATGAAAAGTCCATAAATGTAGGACCCTTTTCAGCAATAACAAACAACAGTTGTTCACAGCTTTCTGGTCAGAAAAGTTCTAACAGATTGGTACGCTCGCTAGCCTGTGTTACACAAGCTCTCGGCCAGAGGTTAATGACCCCCACAACTTCGGGGTGGCCGGCCGCCAGGAGCGCGATTAGTAGTACGCTAGCGTTTGGAAAAGAATTATGTGGCCTGAAACAGTATAGGGAAGACTAATGCCAATCATTGCACAAAATTCCCATACAAAAACATTAACTGTAACAGTACCTTAACTGAAGAAGGATTTCCCAGCATTTGTTACAAGCCTGCCCTACAATAAAATAAAAACAAACTCTGGAGGTACTGTGTAAAGCCAACTGGTAAGAATTAACTGGTTACTTAAAGAACACCATCTGACCTTGAGGGCAAAACAAGCAATATTTGGTACCTAATTAAATAAGAAGATTAAATACATCAGATAACGTTTCATGTAGTTCATGTGCTACTAAGGCACAGAGACTTGTAGGAACAGGTTCTATATCAGAAAGAGTAGTTTACAAATGTTTTGAATCGCCCCAAACCTACACGTTTCAGACCCACCTGACAAAAGTTGGCATTTATTTTTCTGTTCTAACTACTGACTAAACCCTGCATCATTCTAAACCAAGCACAAAGTTGATGCCTTGGACGATGCCTATGATGACCGGCTGCCAGGCCACCAGGTAACGTAGCCAGTCCAATAGCTGCCCGTAGAGTACATGTGGACGTTCCCAGCTGATGGCATGGTCAAGAAATCATACTGTAGTTCTTAAATTTTTTCACAACACATTTTTGTTCACTGTTTTCCCTGTTATCACTGATGTACCGTTAACTTGTCACAGTTATCAAATCTTTTGTCCCCCTCCCTGCACTTTCTGCCACTGAAGTTTCCATGAACATATCCAAATACAGTATGCATATCACAGTGTATTGTCTGACAGAAAGATACCTATTCCATAGAGGGAGGGGACCACTTCTAACTTCTTACACTATCCAAATATTACAGTATTAGTATTACAGAAACAGCTTTCCACCAACTGCAAAATTATGGAACTTTTGACAAGTGTTTTCCTCATAAATACAACCCACAAGACATCAAAACCAATGTTCACTGCCATCTAGCATAGTCACTTTTATCTCCAGACAGAAGTGGTCTTTAGGCCTTGCATTGAACAAACTCGATAAAAAAAGCAGCTGTAGAAAGGATACGGGTTGCAGAACATCCTCTTCAGGTCCACCTTCTCCTTGCAGTAGGGACAGGTCTGTTTCTTTCCCACAATGCACCAGCCCCGGATGCAGAATTCGTGAAATCTGATACTTGGGTTAAGGAGATGTCACAAGAAGGAAAAGGAACAAAAATCCAGCTGCGTTACAGGTTAACGAAGGATGATACAGATAATATTGGAGTTCCGTTTTTCATAACCAGTAAATCCTCACCTGCTTACATTTTGATGTCTGTCACACATCTTCCTCAAAGCTTCATGCTGTTTGGGATTGTGTTCTTGCTGCAAAAGCGCCACCTACATGTACATTGGCCACATATATGATATAGCAGCAAGAAGCTGAGTACTCTGAAATGAGAGGTGAAATTGTGCAAGTTTTTTTTGTTATGTCAATCTGTATCGTGTGATATTGTATAGTTTGTTGATCATCCTTTAATTGTATACCAAGCATTGCCTGAAAAAAAAGGTTGTTATGTACCTGAGTGTTACTGCTGGTGAAATGAATAAACTGAAACTCCAGCCAGAAACTCTGGGGAAGATAATCAGGTGAGAGACATTATTCATTTTTGAAAAAGAAAACTCCAATATCCCAAGTTCTACCAACTTAAATGAGGTTATTTCCAAAAGGATACAGATGGTCACAGCCTAATCTGTATGTCTTTTCGATGATGCCATCATCCTCCTCGTGTATGATAATCTTCTGTCCGCACACCGCGCAAACATTGGGCTCCAGGTGACGTGTCGGCATTCCTGTGGTGGAGTAGTACTGTAGGGCACAACATCACTATTAGACCTTGAATTGGAAAATCTACGCTCATGCTTTACTTAGTTTTTTCCTTAACATGATTTACCAAGCTGTGAAGTTTTTGTACTTCCAAATTTCAATGAAATCTGTGCAAAATTGATTCCCAAGTTCCTTGGACACTTCAAGGTGAAAATGTAGCAGACATTATAAAAGAAGAGGGCAGAGAGAAAAACCTGAATTTAAGACTTTTGAAGGCTATTTACTCCATAATACATCGAGTGCATCAAGGAATCAACTGGGTCTTCAAAGTTTGTTTTCGTTTTGTTTTGCTTGTTAAGCTACTTTCTAACCTAAAATCCGTTTAATTCAATTGGCAAAATTAAAATTAATTCTTAATTCTAAAAAATGTAAAAAAAAAAACATTTAAAAATGTTTGGTATATTGTTGAAATCTCACCCCTATTGTGGCAGCGATCTTGTCAGCGCAGATTTCAGCAAAGTCCCTCCCCAGAACTCCATAGTACAGTCCGTAGAATATTGTCACCACTCCAAAATCCATGGCAGTTTCAGGTTTGATCCTGCAGACAGTAAAGATAAGAAAATGTCAATTACTAAATATACCCTTTGTGATAATACAATCACTGACACAAGGTTTACCGGTAATTCACAGAAATTTCACACGTTTTAAACACAGTTGAACACAGGTTACAGGCATCCGATGCAATTTCAGGGTGGCAAAACCAAAAAAGATGAGGAAATATGTCATCTTGACACACATGAAGTAACACAAAAATAAGCTATAAGAGGAGTCCCTTTATTATACTTTTGGTGCCACCAATAATTAGCTAGAAACAGGCTACAATACAAAACATTCCATCAGTACAGTGGCCGACAAGTACAAAATTTTACACCGCAACTTTTGGTGTTTTACACCGCAACTTTTGGTGTTTTACACTGCAACTTTGGGTGTTTTACACTGCAACTTTGTCTGTGTTTTTTACACTGCAACTTTTGCTGTGTTTTACACTGCAACTTTTGGTGTTTTACACTGCAACTTTTGCTGTGTTTTATACTGCAACTTTTGCTGTGTGGAAAACTTCACCCCTCCCCTTTTATAATGGCCGTTCCCCCTGTCAGGTCAAAGGTGACAAAGATGGCATCCGTTTAAGTCACAAGCTGACGTCTAGGGACATTAAAATGAAGAAAAACGATGTCCATACCCAATAATAATGAACTAACCTGCAGAAAATTTATGTCATTGCTGTTGATGTCTGGAGCTGGATATCTGACGTCCTTGATAAATTTGTTGTGACGCATGGCAGCAAAAAGCAACATAATTTGTAATCACTGGACCTGGTCGAAACATTTTTAAATTTATCCCGATCTATAGGCCAAAGCTAGAAAAACCTTTAGAAAAAAACTAACGTCACAACGTAGCCAAGCTTTTCCTCTAAAAAACTTATGCACGAAAAGGATAACTCAGTCGACGTAGTTTGCATGCCATCGTTGTCACCTTTGACCTGACAGGGGGACCGTCCATTATAAAAGGGGAGGGGTGTAAGTTTTCCACACAGCAAAAGTTGCAGTGTAAAACACAGCAAAAGTTGCAGTGTAAAACACCAAAAGTTGCAGTGTAAAACACAGCAAAAGTTGCAGTGTAAAACACCAAAAGTTGCAGTGTAAAACACCAAAAGTTGCAGTGTAAAACACCAAAAGTTGCAGTGTAAAACACCAAAAGTTGCGGTGTAAAACACCAAAAGTTGCGGTGTAAAATTTTGTTCTTGTCGGCCACGGTACATCAGCAATATCGCATTTTTGCCTCCAGATATCAGTATGCTATGGGATAGGGTTGATTCAACTAATACTACCGGTACCGGTACAAAAAAAAGTGACCTGAACATTGACTTTGAAAATCCAGTTGTAATACCCTGATATCACATGTAAAGATATTTGTAAACAGGTTAAGCATATGGTTCACTTACATGAAGATAAGGTTGACACCCAGAAAAGTGAACATGACAGCAAAATACCCCAGCAGTCCCAGACCATAGCTGACTTTGTACAGGAGGTAGAACCATTTGTACACCAGTCTGCACAGGAAAAATACATACATAATGTCATATATATATATACAAATTTACATGTGGATTTTTATTTACTGCATTGACTGTTACCACCTACATGTATGAAGTATAAAAGAATAATGGCAATGGTTTCTGAACAGTTTTTGCATGATCTATACACCGTACTCCTTTAATCCTAAGTGGTACAGATAAAACTTGTTGGTGCAGGCAATTTCAATGTTACCTGGATCAGTGTAGGTACACAAAATGTATGCAGAAAAAAGTACTAGTATTTCGAGCCCTGCACCTTGATACTAGCCAATTGCTGCCCATCCCTGTGTCAAGGACCCCTGCAGCAGTACAATAAAATACTATACTTCAATTATGCCATACAATAAAAAATGGTCAGTACAATTTTCTTTCTTCCTGTACCTTGGTGTGTTTCCAGAAAGCGGTCTCCTCGTGGCCTTGTAGATGATGAAGCCGGTGACAGCAGAAAAGATGACCCAGGTAGAGAAGAAGCGCCACCATAGCAGCTTCAGGGTGAAGTACAGGGGGATGGTCCACAGGCCAAACAATGTTACAGCCTGGCAGTACAACAGAAACATGCTACATGACACATCAAGCAACATTGATAAGATACACAAAGGAACTGTTGCTCATTAGCAACTGGATAGATTCTGAAAACTCAGATGTTTTGATTTCCTAATGTGTATCTCATTACCTTAAGATGTCTAACCTTCATCAATGTCACAATGTAAGTGACAGCTGCAGGATATGAACATAAAATGTATTTTACTTTGTATATGCTTTCATTATGAAGCTAAACTTAACAGGCTTTTTGAAACAGTTACCAGACGTTCTCCCTAAGCTTTCACTATCTAGATGACTTCCAAGCCCCAAACACAATATTTTCACAAAAAGATCACAAAACCCACTTATTCATTAGTCCCTGCCTCCAAAGAAGAAGCGAAGCCCCCTCAGTAATGTGTGTAGAAACATCTATAGACTAGACACCTTATACCTTTTAACATTATTATACATGTATCTGAGTTTTTCTGGCAATTAGCCCTCGTGCATGAGTTTGTTAGTTAATTTGAATAAATAGATAGATAAGATCATTCCATGGCACACTCACGTTGTAAGACCTGGCATGTCTCTGTTTCCACTGTACCAGTAGTATCTGTGCCACCAGCAGCACGGCGATCAGGATCAGAACCATCTCCGCGTGCATCGCCTCATGGCCACGGTGCTTCTCATGGAGACGCTGGTGCTCAATCCTGGTGGAGAGGTGGACTCGTAGTTAGCATTACTGACTCAGAATCAAAAGCAACTCCCCTGGCCAGTTATAATTTCCTTTTCAGGCCGATTTTCTACAATTTATTCAGCCTACAAAGGAGTCTGGTGGAGACTAGTTCATACCCCTGGCAGGCTCCAGTGGTTAGCCCTTGGGGATAGGCACTTGACCGGACTCAGAATACCATTTTTTCCTAACATGGCCTGCATGGGGGTCATGACAATGCTCCACACTAACTTTTGAGAGCTGGCTACATATTACACTGAATTCAGGAAACCTCTTGATTACGCTTTACGATAAATTCCAAGTGGCTACAACGCATTATGTAGAATTAAAACGACAAATACACTCTACGCAAAATGTGCCGACTAGCTGCTTAGTTTTGTCCATTGTTTGGATCATTACATAATGTAGATACAAAGCTTGTCACAGAGACTTGCTCTTACCTCCATCTTTCCTCATCAGACAAGTGGGACAGATCCTCCAGTTTCTGAAAAAGGTGTTAGGTCTTGATGAATTATGATACATCATAATCAGGCCTGATCATAATTTTATGCAGTAATTCATTATCATACAGTAATTATTCCAAACCAATCGTGAAGAACAACGTGTTGTGAAATGCAGTATGATGATAGTAGCCTTGGTGCTAAACTGTTTCCAGTGCCTACACAGGCCAGTTCCTCGGCTCCAGGGCCAACATGCCCCCAAGGAAATAATTTATACCACTGCCACCTTGGTCAGATCCTGATCCACACTGGCTAACTCTGGTCCTAGCGTGCTTCGGGTCTGGCATCCAGGCTAGATGATAAAGCCTTTATATTCTAGCAATCTCATCATGACAGTGACCCGAGGCAGCATAACAAGATACCCCAAACCTCATGTACACCATGTAACGTACCAGTGCGTTTGGTTGTAACCTATGATTTTGCCCGAAATATGGACAACGTAATTGGGTTTTGGGAGGCAATTCGGCACCGATGTAACCCCATTTTACTACAATGGACACGTTTAGAGATGCCTCCTCTGTTTGCACTGTACAATTTTGACGACTATTCAAAGAAACTGAGGAAAATTACAGGGAAACTAACCGGATCTGCATCCACAGCTACCGGGTCCGCCATCTTTGATGAGGTGTACAGGTCACCGGAGGTCAATGACCCACCGACGATTTCTGCCTACTTGGAGTGGACCATCATTGGTCCAGAAAGAGGTTTTTCCTGTTGGAAATTTCTGTCAAAGATTCATCTTTTTGATAGAAAAAATTGATAGAATTTAATTGCTCATATTTTCCTCAAATAACTTTCAATCTCTTAGCATTTTCTATTCCCTCCTGGAAGATACCGTAGCCAACATCTTCAAGCGGATGTTCAGGAAGATCATGTTTTGTCAACCACTGTTTTCTGATACAACCATGAAAGATCTGATTCAGACATAACGGTCAACCGTCCACATACAGGCAGACAGAACTTTATCAGAGGTTAAACTTTAGTATAACCCCACTTTGCAATTGTGTGTGTAGTACAAATTTAACGATGGGTGTGAATACAATAAAATCTTGGAAATGTATTTGGACCTGTTCTTTTACTTGTGTTACTATCTATACTTTTACTAGAATAGGTTTGGCTGAAGCCATCTAAAGCATATCCGCCCCAGAAATGAAACATTCCTCAATCGGCATTATGTGATTGGTCTATGTTTCTTCAGTTGATTATACTTTTCTTCACAAGACTCGCCGCATAAAAGGAATTCGCTTACGCTGACCTAATATATTCTCAGTTTCTACATTTGAATATTATAAAGACTTTCATTTGTGGGTACACACAGAAACGTACAAAAAACAGTGTGTGAGCCGCGCCTACAACTAGAGGGCTGTTGGGAAACGAAGACCAGTCACACGACTTCTCGACAGTTCACTTCTGAAAAAAGGAGCAAAGTGTGTAGAAGGTAAGTCATTTGTCATCAAACAATTATGTACCACATGACTCGTGGGCTCTTTTTAAGTACTTGCGTGTGGAAGTTGTAACATATTCTTCTGATGATTGTTTTATGGTCGGTACGTCTAGGAATAATGAATAAAAGACCTTTATTGTACGTTTGTGCTCTTACGAGCTAAGTAGAGGTGATATATAAAACAGAGGTAAAACTTACGGTAGCTTACTAAAACTATGCATACTAAGGTGAACTACTATTTACAGGTTCAAATTCTCGCCTCTTGAGGCAGTTGTACGGTATGAACACTAGTGAGTGGAGCTAATGGTACATGGTTTGTCTAGTTTCATAAGGAAAACGATTTTTTTTTCTGTTCTATCTAAACTTCTGGAGCTGGGAAACGTACCTTGTATACAAGTATGGAGGGCATCCCTCTCATTTCTACATAGTGAAATGGAATAGTGACCACAAGTACATAACTGTCGTGATAGAATAAACTAAAGCTCCATGTGAGTAAATAAATTGGCGTCGATCGCAGCTAGTTTTTGGGACGACAAGATCCCGTATTTAAAACCTCTTATACCGAGTCATTCCGGGACGAAACATGTATCTAATGCGGATTAATCTGCAATTTCACAAGCTTGTTCACAACCTAAGGGGCGCTCAGTTCTACTTTCACAAAAAAAGTACTAGCATGATTATACTAGTTGCTGATGGGGAAACGCATGAAAGGAGTTTCTAGCCCACCTAACCCAACACCTAGCCCGGATGCCAGACTCTTCTCAGGGGCAACTTCCACAGGCCAGCCCCGGTTAGACACTGACAAGTAGGTCAGGCTGTAATTGAGGGGTTTGTGGTGATATTTTCCTTTGGATACGTTGGCCCTGAAGGCTAGGCTAGCCTGTATACTGTCCATGGCAACAATCTGGCAAAAGCAACCTCATGAATATATTGGACTCGAGTGTACTGACTTATAAGAGCCATCTACATTTAGGTAGCTTTGTGATGCAAACTTCTTATAGATATATACTTTGTAATGTTTTATCCGATAAAAGTGAATGCACAATGATTTCAAGGTTTCTGAGGTTTTAGTTTCAGCCATATTTGCCCCAAAATGATACAATTAAGCTGTACAGGTAGCTTGGGAATATTTATGAGCACATTTCTTTCACTAAATCCCCTGTCACACATTCAGAACCTTCCCCCGACCACCAGGCGACTAAAGTTGGCTGAAGCTCGGGAGTAGTCTGATCAGATGAAGGACATACCTTCCTTTCTATACGAATCGAATCAAATGTAATTAAATTGGAGTCAAATTTGACTCCGCACTCGAATGTTTTAATCATTTTAAACATTTGGTAGCTGGTAGCTTTTACGTATACACGAGGGATAATTTTGAAATGTAGTCTACTAGAATTTCATAAAATGATGAAACACTATACGAATTAGAAATACATTTTTGTAATTGGTGTGAAATATCGTGCATTGACTCGCAAATGTTGGTTTACTTCGATATTTCCACTGTAACAGCAATAAGGACAAAATAGAATATGTTATTCAAATAAAACCAAGAGAATTTGAAGCTAACATGTTGCCTGCATATGTATTTTTTCAGGCCCACAGACACCTACTGCCAGCCGGCCGATATCACACTGAAGAGCTCAGCCCATCACCAAGACTCATCGGCCGAAAGGAAACATAGACGGTGCAGACATGTTGTTTTCTAAGTTTATTTCTTACTATCCGATGACTGCTAGGAAGACAAACCTTGCTATGATAGTTTTCCTGGCTCTGATAGCTGCCTGTGTAGCTTTCGAAAGCCTGTGCTTCCCCCAATGCAGGGAAGCCGTCTGGTTAGAGTGTAAGCAAAGGTATGTCTCTGTGCGCCCAAGTGCCGCCAAGTGCATCTTATGCAATGGGTTAGGTGCCACTGAGAGTCAAAATCTGACGTCAGCTGTGGCCTGCCTGCGCGGCACCCCTATGGCTCTTGCCATCAAAGGCTACCCATTCTGTGTCCTCTCGGCCAGCCAACTGGCACGTCTGGATCAATCAATTGTTGACTCTCTAACCCTGCAGCATGGTCAGATCACAGATATAGAACAGAGTGCCATGACAGGCTTCAGTTTACTCACGACTTTGGACCTGAGCTTCAACAAGCTGGTACACGTCAAACAGGTCTGGTTCAGCGGTTTGACGAGGCTTCGCAGACTGATCATGTCTAATAACCAAATTGTTAAGATCGATCCAGGCAGCTTTGTGGACCTGACCGGCCTTAATAGTCTTCATCTTGATAACAACATGCTAAAAGACACTGATCTTGACTGGTTGACTGTGAAAAGTTACCTGCGTTACCTGTACCTAGATTCGAACCGTATTGAGAGGGTTCCTGACGAGGCGTTACAGGGTTTGAAATGTCTCTGGGGTCTGTACATGGCGGGGAATCCTTTAGCTTGTCTACACAGGGAAACCTTTTCGGAAATGGAGTATCAGCCTAAGATCCTTATGGGAAATGACAAACTGGTAAAAGCACATGGTGTAGATGCACATCCAGTGCCGTGGAGCCTTGATGCTCGCAGCGGCCGCGGTTATTTACAAAGTCAGAAGGTGGAGCCGGAGATAATACTGCTCGAGGTTCCCAATGCCCTCTTCTGTCTGGTACATGAGTCTATCAGCAACAAGCTGTCGTTTGGTTGGCTGTTTGATGCATCCATGTCTGTCCCTAGAAGTAGTGGGGCAAGGTCGTGTACTCATAAGTACAATAAATCTCTGAGAAAAATCACCACACGACCGCCTCTTGTTGTCGTTGCTACTAGCGGACGTCTGGGCAGCTCTGACCAGTGTAGACAGGTATGGCAACAGAATCGAGGCGTTTCCGTCACTTTGAAGAGTGGCTCAAGCTTTGATGCAGTTTCCATGGGCGGAAAAGAAAATGGCCTTCCCAATGTGAGTGTTGCTATGATGTTTCACAACAGCGATTTTACTGGCAGCGACGTCTCAGAAACTGGGGAAAATCAATATAACACAACATATGCTACTGAAGACGTCCTGAATGTGACTTGCATTCGCCTCACAACGCGTCACACATATCAATCGTATTTCAGCGCCTCCCGACCCCAAACGAAACAGAAAACATGCTCGGCAGACGGAGTCGACGTACACCAAACAAGCTCCCCATCATTCCACACAGACAACACAGTAGCCCTCACATCAACACCTACATACCACACAGTAGCCTTCACACCAACGCCGACATACCACACAAAGTCAGCAATGACGTCGACAATGTCGATCCTCCTGACAAAACTCTCCACGACTACATCACATCCTGTCAAAGAGGACTTGCCATCGGTAAATCTGCTCATCCCTGTCCTGGTGCCAACGGTTGCCACCCTTCTGTTTCTGTCACTGGTCGTGGGGCTCCTACTGTTGAAGAGGAGACACGATCAGAACGTGGAGACCAACAACGACCCCAGGGATGCCCACTTCTGGGTAGTCCCGAATGTTTCCACCCCGGGCCTGCTTAGGTCAGGATCCCTCCCCGTTGTTAGCCGTACACGAAGGGAGATCCCACAGGACACAGTCTCCCGATGGTCACTTCCACCTGTACTTGCCTCCATCGAACCGACGTACGCTGAGATCCCCGACCATGTAGCTGCTGCACAGCGGCCCCTGCCTGCTCTGCCGCACACCTACAGTGAGATCCCAGATCACATCGCTGCAGCACAGCGACCTCTCCCTGCCCTCCCACACATCTACAGCAACATCCCACAAAACGCCATCTCGCAGCTTCAACGATCAGCTTCCCTCCCCACACCAACGCGCATAGCGGGCGGAGATGGCACCGCCTCCCGTACTTCATTACCTGCTGCGCTTCCTTCACACGAACCTTCTGGTCGTGATATCACCTATGGTGATCATGATGATGACGATGGGTCCATTCATTTCTACGCCGCTGCTGCAGATCTATCGCTTCCTACACTCGGGTCGAATGTGCAGACCCTACAGGCAAAGCTCTACTTCCCAAGCCCTGGCAGGTACAATGCCGACTGTGTGACCCTCCGAGCTCGAGGTGAGAGACGGCAAGGAGTGTGGAGGCTCAATCGTTTGTACCAACCTGGTAGCCAAGGGGTGAGAACATATGTAAATGCCTCTGTAAGTCGTCCCACAAGGCAAGACATCGTAGCCGTTACATTCCCTAACACCTACTGGCCATGGGAGATCCCAGGGGAGGGAACCTGTAACACACCACGGCGTGCGTCTCTCTCCCTAGTCACACTACCTAACACCTACTGGCCATGGGAGATCCCAGGGGAGGGAACCCCTAACACACCACGGCGTGCGTCCCTCCACACCGTCACTCCACCTAACACCTACTGGCCATGGGAGATCCCAGGGGAGGGAACCCGTAACACACCACGGCGTGCGTCCCTCCCCACCGTCACACCACCTAACACCTACTGGCCATGGGAGATCCCAGGGGAGGGAACCCGTAACACACCACGGCGTGCGTCTCTCTCCCTTGTCACACTACCTAACACCTAATATCAAACTATTAGATACCATTTTCTTCAACTTTTTCCCGTTTTGGCAACGACATATTTTCCTATCTCAAATATATAAAAGGTGCGGTACCGAGTTTACAGGGTCTGAATTAGTAAACCATACTGTGGCCTTCGAATTCGCCCTTTTCACTCCATGGGAGATGTTGATTATAAGGCAGGCAAAAGACAGGTATGCCGACCGGAATTGGGCCAGAACCTCATCAAGATGAAATCAAAGAGCAGGAAAACATTTTCATTAGCAATACAGCTGATTTGTGAATCAGTCTAGCGGCACACAGACTGAGTGGGCAGAAGCGGTTTGTCAGAAATGCTTATTGCAACTACTAGTATGTTATTACATGTATTTTCCAAATGTTGGTTCGATATCGATGATAGCATACAATGATGTGTAAAATATTTCTGTGCGCTTGTGAAGATTATCGTTGACGGATGTGCCATGCATCTTTGCATGCTGTATTACTTTTAGATTGTTGCCACTGTTTTAGTATTTTGTTAGTGCTTGGCATTTCTGTTTTAAACAGATGTAGGAAGTAAAAATAATGCGCCCTCAAGGCATGAACTTGCAAATTTAGGAAGATCTTTTTTGTACAAATGTTTTAATCGAAACTAATCTAGTTAAAAGGTTTTATGGATATTCTTATGAAGATTGTCACTGTAAATGTAGTGTGTAATGTGATAAATATGAAAGGAAAGGAATTTTAGCAGTTTTGAAGACTCATGAATCCATATGTAATTGTACTGAGTGTCAGCTCAACGGTTTTGAGATTTTTGTTGAACATTAATACGTATTGGTTATTTGTATTAGATCCCATGCAGCTTGAGATAATAGTTATGTCTCATATAATTGTAACGCTTTTCGTATTGTAATAGCCAAAGAAATAGCCAACAAGCAGCAGTGTTAGCATTTGCTACTTTTAAGTAAAATATCAAGCTTGTGACATGAATATTATTGCGTAGCTTTGTGTTTCCACATATTCTTTTTGTGTTGATAAATAATAGCTAGAGGCAACGTTGCTGTGCCCACCGCCTGACAGTTTCAGACTGAAGTACCTTTAACCATCACTGGGTGGTTCTTTTTGCCCAATACTCGAGACCAACTCGCTGCTCCTTGACTGTCGTACTTCAACTCGTCACTAGAGGCGCTTCAATACTGACAGTCAAGTTCGCATTCTGTCCGTATATGCAAGCCATTAAGAAAAGTACAAGAGTATACATCAGACATGTCTGACACAGCTTGGTACTGCATTAAAGACAATCGTCAAGAAGGTTATGTTTTCAGAGGCGTTCGTGTGTCTCTGTCTGTCTGTACAGTGTGTATGTGTGTATGTGTCTGTAAACACGATAAACTCGAGAAGGCTTAACTGGATTGTCCTAATATTTAGTAGGTTGGTAGGTCTTGATGAGACCTAGAAATTATTAGATTTTGGCCCCCCTGGTGGCTTTCCTTTGTACTGCAGGGGAACTTCCGGTTTTGATATCTCATGCTGGGGGCACGAAATTTAGATCTTGTGCTGGGGAAGAGGTGACATGAGTTTGGGCCCCATAGTGGCTTGCTCTGGAACTGCAGGAGAGTTAGTTGAAAAATCTTCGAAGGAGGATAACCCAAGAACGGGTTGTCGGATTTGTCGTGATTTTTGGGGTGTAGGTAGAAAAAATGATGATTGACATAATCAGATGACAAGTATGCAAATCAGAAGCTAATTTGCATAATTTTCTATAAATCCGCTTCGTTCGATGATAGGACTATGAAACACATGGGACATGTAATTGAGAACGAGAAAACATCTGAGGATGTAGATTATGTAAATGAGGGCCTAATTTGCATAATTAATGGAAAATTGATACAATTTCAAGGTATAACTGCTGAGAATTTCATATTTGCCACATTTGGGAATTAAGTGAAGGTGAACATCAATGAGCATGATTTATTCAAATCATGACTTCATTTGCATAATTTATGAAGAAGTGCTAGAATAGCCTTTTTTGTTAAGATAAGGCTGTCAGTGGGTGGAGAATATGATCAACTAATCGATGCAAATGAGACTCTTATTTGCGAAATCAATGATTGTATAATTTGTCAACCGGAAGGGTTAACATCATTTAACGAAGGTACGAGGTAGTGCTGTCCAAATGCCTGACTTATCCAGAACTAATCTCCAAGCAGATTCATTCGGAGGGCTACTAGAGAACGATCAAATTGGCCACCCAAGTTACGTATTTTGCCCCCTTGGGTGGCGTGTTGGGTAATGCCCGGCCAATTTCATACTGCGTTGCCAATTTAACACTGTATTGAACTTGAAGCCACCAAAAGATCTGCTACACAAAGCCGTTTTGTTTGTCAGAACAGGCTAACAACCCGATAACCGTGCTTAGTTACACCTGCGTCATTGCTGGATTTATTCATAACAACAGGAACAAAGAGCTTTCCTCTTCTAGGATTTGATTACGATTGGAGCATAGCAGTGAATAATTTCCCTTGATATTGTTTGAAATCTGAAATTGCTTTAGTTGTGTTTCACAGCAGAAACGTAGTAGCTTTTTTTCCTATTTTTTTTCTCTAATTGTTGAATTTTCTCGATTGGTACGTTATTTAGTTGATCTGTTATTTTTCTTTTTATGTGTACTTTCTATCCACACACAAGAAGCCTCCATCCTTGACTATCCGGCCATTATCATACAGCAAGTGGACCAATCAGAAGTCCTCATTTCATATTGGTTATGACGTCATACCTCACAAGAGCACGTCAGCAGGACGTACTGCGCCTGCGCGAAGCCCCGATTTTTCACGGTTTTCGTTGGATTTTTGGTCAATGTTGGTTCAGAATTTTGTCTGTTGCAGACGATAACTTTTTCGATACACAACATTTGGAAAAAAAACAGACGTGATGTTAACTTTATATTCGCGAGTACGACCTTATATTTATTACCTTCGCCAAGAAGGTTATGTTTTCAGAGGCATTCATGTGTGTATCTGTCTGTCTGTAATCTATAACTTGTCAGTCATAAAGATTAACATCATTTGGCGAAGGTATGAGATCGTGGAACTCTAGTATGAGAATGTATATGTGACGTTCTGCCGAAGTGCTCTTCACAATACATCAACGGCGGTTTCGCGCAGGTGCAGGACGTACTGCTGGCGTATCGGTTATACATTTTTTGTGGAAATACAACATAACATTATGACACGCTAGTAATTATAGTATTTCAAGTTGAATACGAAAAAGTACAGTAATAGCTTGTCACAAGAATAGTTGGCAACTGATGTTGGCAGATAGCGTACTGAAGAATAAACCAGTAATTGTTGCTTACCCATGTGGGCCCCTGTCATGTTACAAGGGAACATTTCCATTTTGTTAGTGAGTGAGTGAGTGAGTGAGTGAGTGAGTGAGTGAGTGAGTGAGTGAGTGAGTGAGTGAGTGAGTGGGTGAGTGGGTGAGTGAGTGAGTGAGTGAGTGAGTGAGTGAGTGAGTTTGTGAGTGAGTGAGTGACTGACTGACTGACTGAGTGGCCTTTTTTTAGTGATCCCTTACAGGAAGACCTGCCCAGTCCTATGAAGGATAGGGAGGGCTGACGGAGAGCCATGAACATCCGTGAAACTCTCACAACAAGCTTAAGATGATGATAATATTACTTAGCACTTGTCTCTCCCAGGTAACAAGAATCCAATAGTGGCCACCTGTCATCTGTAATCATTTAATTCACTGCACGTCCCCTGAACAGGCAGTAAGGACAGGTATGACTTCACTTCATACGTAACGAATCTTACATATTTATGTAGTTTCGTAGGTGGCCACTCTGGTGGTCCCTTTCCCACCATTCACGATAGTCTGATGTTAATCACCGGATGAACTTGTACTTGATTGCATTGGTTGTCATGGTAGTAGGAGATTATAGCGCACATTATAAGAAGCTCGCTTCTGAAGTGGCGCAACGTTCTAAATCATCGTGTAAAACGTCCTGAGACAGCGGTCTGAAGAAAAGCGTCTTGAAGCAGAGTCGTGAACTCCACCTGTAAGTATTCAACCGGTGTGCTTCAGTTTTCGACAACTGTCCTTTGCATTTTAAGATGTCATGTTTCACGTATAAAGCTACAGCCATCTGTGCTAGCCTGGGTACCATTCGGATTTTCGCTCCGCAACGCTCGAAAAAATCATGCTTTTTCGAGGCGTTGCGGAGCGAAAATCCGGATGCTACCCAGGCTAATCTGTGCGACTATACTTGATAGAATTATTGTTGATACATTTTCACCCTGCTAAGTTTTACAAGGATTAAAACGCGTCTTTTAAAAGTTTAACACAAGAGAATTGTTCTTACATAGAGCTTCGTTAAAATGAGGGGAGCTAAAATTTTGCGAGCACGTAACCTCAGTATCTCCAAAGTGATCTTACAAGGAACAGAGGCAGGGAAATGGATTAGGGCAGGCAGAGAAAGAAGTGCGATGACAACATTAAGCCTCGGTCACAACCCGCCGTACGTGCATCTGCGTGCTGTCTACGTGCAAAAACGTAGGCAAACGTAGGGGATCCGTAAAGTGGTGAGTACCACCTCCGTACGGAATCCTACTAATTTGGGAGCACGCAGACACGCCGTAGAACTTTAAGTGCATGTAAAACTTTTTCTGCGCGGCAACATTAGGGAGTGGACTGGCCTGGCCCTTGCCAGTACCTATGCCCTGGCACACGCCAGAGACGTTGGAGGGACTCGGGAAATGTGCTCATATCTGCAAAGCGCGCAACCCCGGTCAAGTGACCTTTCAACCAGTTGCTCGGTCTTCCTCGGTAGACTGAGCCGAGTGGAGGAAGACCAGAGTGACTGGTCGAAATCTCTAGGTGGGAACAATTCTCTTGTGTTGGAACACTGAAGTTTTGAAATTGAGCATGTATCTACCAACACTGATAGAGTAAACCGTGTGTCATCGTTTCAGAGAGCCATGGCCAGGTGGCTTCTCACGGTCGTGCTGATGTCGGGAATGGTTGTGAGCCTCAGTGCGCATCATGAGCATGATGCAACATGCAGGGATAAACAGGTACAAAATTCATGATACATGATAAAATAACATTCTTAAAGTGACAGAGTTGGATTCAAACACTATTTACAAAATGTTTCTGGTGAGAGCAGCAGACACGTACATGAGTATGAGTGTGTGTGTGTGTGTGTGTGTGTGTTACAGGTGAGCATTCATGTTCATGTAAAATCCTGATGTATCTAACTGTATGTTATCTTTGTGTTCAGGTGAAGCCCCCACTTCTTCATTCCACAGACATAGGTGGGTGTGCCAGAAACCCATGTCAACAAAGTGTGTTCTGTGTGAACAAAGATGGCGGATACACCTGCATCTGTTCGACTGGATGGACTGGACAGAACTGTGACCAACGTGAGTTCTCTTGTGTAGTGACCATTCTCTTAGCATTGGACATCATAGTATATCATATTACATGAATGTTCGTATCTCTCTTTACTTTTTGTTATACATTTCAATAGCGTGCACGTTTGAGAGAATGTTAGGCTCTGAACCAAGAGGTCCCGAGTTCGAATCCTGCTATATCGCCGATCTTGTGCCTTTGGACACTTCACTCAGGTGGAAATAAGCAACTGAGCTTCTGTTAGGGACTTCCCTTGAATAGGACGTTAAATGGAGGTCCCGCGTTTGGGGAGAGCCACACCCCACGCACGATAAAGGTGTGTGTGTGCGATGGTTGAAATCTAGTCTGGCCGGGGGAGTTGGCCGGCCATCATTATTAAGGGTCCGTGCAAGCAAATTGGACCCTTTATGGCCGGCCAACTCGCATGTGAATGGCCAATTACATTCTTTTTAGGCCAATTTCTACATTCAGCCTGCATCAAGTCTGGTGGAGACTAGTCCAACTCCTACTGTAAGGAGTTGGTGATTTACTTCAACTGATCACCCAGCAGAGGCCTGGCGAACCCTTGTCTCATGTCCGTAGGCCTGGCGTCTTGTATCAGTTAATTACCCCGTAAGGGCGATAACCTTGACCAACACGGTCGACCGATATACGTACACGCACACACACACACACACACACACGCGCGCGCGCACGCACAAACACACACACACGCGCGCGAGCGCGATATATATAATACGATGTTTTGTTCTTTATACCACAGGCTTCAATGGGTGTACCATTAAGCCTTGCCATCATGGAACCTGTAAGATAACAGATGACGGATACAACTGTACCTGCTCACCTGGATGGACTGGACTGAACTGTCATCGAGGTTTGAATTTCTTGTGTAGTAACCATTGTATTACCACGTTATATTATATTACACATACATGAATTTTTATACTTAAAATCCTTCTTTAGTTAGTGTCTCTGTCCTAATAATGAAATTTTACAATTTGTTTTTAATATAGGTGATATTTTTTATCCCACAGACATAGATGAGTGTGCCACAAACCCATGCCCAAATGGACGCTGTGAGAACATAGATGGCGGATACATGTGTATGTGCCATCCTGGATGGACTGGACAGAACTGTCAGCAAGGTTGGTTCTTATTTTTGTGTGTGTGTAAACTATGGCATAATATTTTGTGTCGCATCTATAAATACTTGTTGGAGGCTTTAGATATTTTTTGGTACATATATCCCAATTGCCAACAGTCAGTGTTATTTCTGTAAGCACACAAACAATACATGTCAATGATTGTACCAGAAAAACCATGCCAACATTGTATTTAAAGTCCGTCTTTTTCATGCCATTGATCATGACCTTTTCATCTTCTTGGTTGACTGCCCAACATGATTTCGTCTTAATCATCACACAGACATTAATGAGTGCACTAGTAACCGTCGGCCCTGGCCGCCTTGCCAACATGGAATCTGTGTGAACATAGAGGGTGGATACAAATGTATCACCTGCTCACCTGGATGGACTGGACAGAACTGTCAGCAAGGTGAGTTTGCTGTGTAGTAACCAATCACGTGGTAATGCATATTGTATAAATTTGCATTTTGTACTTAAAATCTTAATTTTTTGCTGCCTCTGTGTCACTTTATAAATGAAATCATTTCTTTTCAATATGGGTGATATTACTTTATCCCGCAGCCATAGATGAGTGCGCCACAAAACCATGCGAACACGGAACCTGTGAGAACAAAGATGGCGGATACAAATGTACCTGCTCACCTGGATGGACTGGACAGAACTGTCAGCAAAGTGAGTTCTGCTGTGTAGTAACACGTGACATAGTTTATGACTTTCTGACTCCTTGAAATTAAAATCATGGGTTTTATATTTGGGTGACATTTCGTTCTTTATCCCACAGAAAGTGACGTGTGTGTGACGACACCTTGCCAAAATGGAACCTGTGTGAACCAAGCTGGTAGGCACAGGTGTAGGTCCACGCCTGGACTGTCTGGAAGAAACTGTCAGCAAGGTACGTTAACCCAATTTAAAAAAATCCATCTCAAACTTTGGCATTATTTAACAGTTACTAATTCAAACCTTGTCACTAGTTACTGATCAAAAGCTCATGTTACAGCCTGGCAATGCCCAAGTGGATGGAGCGAATACAACAACCACTGCTACAAGTACGTGAGAAGCAGAGTCGACTGGTTCACAGCGGACGCACGATGTAAAGCCTGTGGCGCAAATCTTGTCTCTATTCACAGCCGTGAGGAGAACGAGTTTGTCAGCGGTCTCATCCCTAACGGTAGGTAAGGCCACAGCAAGTAAATGTTATGGATGACATCCTCCGCAGACTCCAAATCTAATGCGAGCGGGCGAAAAGAACAAGGCGGGCCGAAAAAAACAAGGTTCCTACATTTTAAAATTTTAACTCAATCATTGTACAAATGGTTTTGATTCAGTGGGAACATCACATATACACAGCCAGCATCACATGTCACTGCATCAAAGTAAGAAACAAAACATTAAATCTTTTATTGTCTCCTCTCGTCATAGTTATCTGCCATCTACCTTCCGGCATGGCAACAGGCATCTTTGCCCATTTTCGGCATGTTGACCGCTGTTAGAGGGTAACAAAATTTCTAGTTTTTTTCCCTCCAAAGTCAGGCGAAAATAAATGCGCGCGTGATGTCATCCATAATTACTTGCTGTGGCCTAATTAACAACTCCCGGATGGTATCGAAGGCACCGATTTATTTTCTTGGCTCTAGGACACTTCTCACGACGTCATACCTTGGCTAAATAAAATTAAAACATGATCGAAGAATTATAAATGTTTCTCGTTGATTATGCAAATAAGATTCTCATTTGCATAGATTGTATCAGCTGACCGTATACTCTGCGAACTGTCAGTCTTATCTTTAGCAAAGAAAGCTATCCTAGCATTTCCTCATATATTATGCAAATAAGATCCTGATTTAGATAAGAGAGTTTGACGCAATTATTAAATTCCTGGCGGTTACCACTTTTGAATTACTGTATTTCGTTATTAATCATGCATATAAATTCAATGTCTCATTTACATAATTCACATGTGCGGATGTTTCTCATTCTGTCCCCATATTGTCATTGAGCTTATTTGTTGAAAACGGAAGAAAATTAAAAGAGACCGACCTAAAACGATGCTTTCCATTTTGAGGTACATGTACCAACATATCACAGGAGGTCATGTCAGTTTTCCTTTGATTTCAGGCCCTCAGAGGAGGACTCACTGGCCATGGCACCCGTACTTCATCAGGCTATCAGCTGTTTACATTGGACTACGCAAGTGGAAGGCTGGAAGTTGGATGTGGTCTGACGGATCTCAAGTGCAGGGCTACACGGACTGGGTTGATGGACCCAACGACAGAGCCAGGTGGGATCGGCAAAAGGGTGCTAGGTGTTCTGTTATGTACCCCAAGGTATGTGCTGCTATTTTTTTTCTTTATTAAAGTAAGGCTATACGTATACGCACTTGATTATATTGGACATCCCCTGGGTACCCAAAACTGCCCAAACTGATTTATGAGGAATTGCTAGAAAAGGCTGTCATTGGGTGCAGAATATGACCAGCTGATAAAATCCATGATGGAAAAGAAATGAGTATCTCATGTTTATAATCAATGAGAAAATGTCAGTCAGAGTTTTGTCAGTCAGAATAATTAACGTCATTTGGCGAAGGTAGGAGGTCGTGGAACTCTTGTCATTAACTGTTTGGTTCATAGTTTCTGAATAATTATCAGTTCAACCAGTGATTCCGTTAGTCACTGACGAAATGTAGCGGGTGCTACTTGAAACAGCTGACAGCTTTCAAAACTTATCCCGTTACATAAGTAACATTTCCTTGTGTGATACAAGCGTGGAAAAATTACCTTCATTAAAAAGGTAAGGCAAGGTATGATTTCACCAAGTCATAATAAAAACTTTCAAATTGTCGTATGTTGCTTTTTGTTCTCTTTTCAGCACTCATCACCTGGCCTGTGGAAAAGAGAATGGAACTTAATCACCAGACGACTGTTCCTATAGTATTCACAGCTAACGGTGTGGCCAAATCGGTAGAGAAATGGAGATGGGTGCTGTTATGTTGACTAGATATGATAAGGGTGGACTTTCACTGATAAATTGTATGTATTGTTTCCAACAGACCGACAGTCGCTACAGCCGCGGGTTCTTGCCACGTCGCCGCTACTGGCGTACCAAGGGACACATGGGACTGTGGTCGGATGAACACGACTGTTCCCATGGGCATGGCTTTTCGTACATTTGCAAAGCTCCAAAATAAGTAACATGTAATCGATCTCCCTGCCAAATCCAGCCTTGTACCCCGAAATATGAAGAAAAGAAACGTTTTGTAGTCCCATAAGTATTCTTTTTCACCTTTTATCCTCAGTAAATGAGTGAAAGAAAGTGAAACGAAAGGAAGGAAAAGATATGGAACGAAGAAAGAAAAGATCTGGAAGTAAAAGAAAAGAGAATTGGTTAGAAGTCACCAAAGAGCACTATGAAGTTTAAGTTTTGAGATTTAGTATCACTTTGACCATGGTCAATATTGTTTTCACAATAAAGCATCTTTAAATGGAACAATGCTTCGGTTTGTTGCCTGAAAACTAGTACATGTACTAAGTAGGTAAATTAATAGGAAAAGAGAGGCCACACAAATTCAATTTATTGGTTCTCGGATAGAAAAAATAATGGTGAACTGGAAGATCACTCTGAAGCACAATTAAGATCTTATGTATCATTTGAGATTCTTCGTGTGTGTGTGTGTGTGTGTGTGTGTGTGTGTGTGTGTGTGTGTGTGTGTGTGTGTGTATCTGTAAACACGATAACTTAAGAAGGCATATAATAAATGGATTGGCTTGATATTTTGGTATGATGGTAGGTCTTGTTGAGACCTCGAAATGATTAGATTTTGGGTTTCTTATAATACTGCAGCTGGACTTCCGGTCTTGACATAGACATGCTAAAGTCAAAACATTTGGATAACATGTAGCTCTTGTTCTGGGGAAGAAGTGACGTGAGTTTGGGCCCCAAAGACTGGGTGGAGAATGATCAACTGATAAAATCATGCAAGTGATGATCATATTGCAAAATCTGGGGGAATAATCTATCATTTGTCAGTGATAAAGATTAACATCATTTGGCGAAGGTATGAGATCGTGGAACTCTAGTTACCGTTTGCTCTGGTTTGTACGTTTGAATCACTTGGTTACGTGTATGTTGAGTCCGTAACTTTAATGTACCGGTATGTATATAAGACTAGGATCATATCTTACTACATAAAGCATTTATTTAATTTGTGGTCCAACAAACATATCAGGAAACATTGCATAATTGCATTTTTTTTGTTACAGAATCTCCACAGTTCGCTTCTTTTCCTACAAACGCCCTACACTGTACAACCTATATACGGTCTCCCTCGTTCTCACTACACCTGCTATCCTATACAAACGCACGGAACTTTTCTCATGAAATAGAATCAAAGTTAGCATTCTATAGAAAGTTCTCACATTGATTAAGATATAGAAAGTAACAACAACATTGGTATAACTTAGCTTCACATAAATTCCACTATACTAGAAAATACATTTGTTCATACAAAGCGAATGGACATAACATGAGAATATCTGGCCATTTTGCGGAAAGCTGGCATACAATAAAAACAAATTTTGAATGTTTCTTTTTTACTTTCATCAGCTATGTGTGTCCTTGCCCCTTTATTTACATTGGTAGAAACACCCATAGCAAAGTTCGGCTGGCAGACGATAGCCGAGTAGCTGAATTCTCAAACATTTCACAAATGAAGGATGGGGCATGTTATCATATTTGACAGTGCAAACCCTCGGAAGAGCGGAATCGGTCATGCATTTTATGTCGGCTTCCCAGTGCCAAGGCGGGTCAAATGGTAACGGTACGGTACACGGTGAAATACGTGCTTAATTTCCCCTAATCTATCCCATATGCTGTCTCGTCTGCCTTGGTCGTCAGGCGGTACTCCCCCGACAGTATCGTTTGCATCAAGGTGGATTGGAGGTCAGGGGTCACAAGGATATATTGAGAACACTTTGTTTCTCTAAACTATGCAGGAATGCGAGAAATTCACCCCTGAACGACTGCATTTCAGAACGCAAATAAACGTTTGGCCGACGGTTTGTCCTATTTACGGTACCGTTCGGATCAAAAGGATTACCTGTTCCCCCGCCTCCGGGCCCCGGCAGATGTCACTGTCGGACAGGGCACGTAGTCGGTCTGGGATCTGTACATTAGCCATATTACATCCTTCACGCCAACATAGCTGACAATGTGTATACGGGGGTAGGACCATAGATGGCACCTTTTGGACTGCTGGCACGACGAAGGAGTGACTATGGTGTCACGGGAGATGACATAGATCGACGGCACCTGTCTGGAACTACACAACTAACTCTCACTGATCGTACATCATGTCAAAAGCAACACTCAACTTAGGGCCCGGTCACATCACATCGTGCGATTGTCGTACGACATTCTTAGTCGTAATTGCTTCCGTCCTGTTAGTTTCTACAGCTGTCGTAGATGGTTGTCGGCAGGTTGATTCTGTCTCAGCCTGCCGTGAAAAATATTCTACTGCTTCAAAATCGTACGACGACCTACGGCGAATGTGACCGCACTGTTACAATCATCATATGAGTTGAGTTGAGATATTGATGATCTAATTTTCCACAAACCACTGATCATATAATTTCAATATTTGTAATGTTAAACCAAGGGTGCCTCTTCTGTTTTGTCTACAAGCTTTGGCAGACGACCATAAAAATTTTCCTTCATGCCCAACGCTAGGTTATGTAGAGAAAGATCGGTTGCGAAGAAAAAATAAACTATGCGAGCTCTACAATCTGTACACTATACAACATAAAACACCTGGGATGTACCCTCTGCGTTCTTGTACAACAAGTAGTCTTTCTTTACACGAATGTCAGTTCGACGTTTTTCTGTGAAACAATTCCTGTCAGAAATGACTCAAGAGACAGTTCTGAGATTTAAAATAATGTATGCAAAAACGGTAAAATAATGTTTGGTAACGCAGAGAAAACATCTTCAAACACTAACCACCAAACCGTCCTCAATATTAATAGTCATAACAATTCCATCTTTTATTATTATCCCTCTCGGAAAAGTTCTCACGTGAGGCCATATATAAAACCAGCGACTTGACATAAGAACGCACAACGACGTATCTTTCTTTTAAAAAAAGAAGAACATTGGCACAGCTTGAACAAATGTTTGATAGCTGCTTCTCTAGATCTATTCCTCAGCAATTCATGTCTCGCATGGACCGCAGGAGTTTTTTGAACGCCTTGTCGCCCTTCTGCCACTTCCGTACTGACGTGACGAAGAATTTGGAGCCGTCCCTCCTAGCTGAGAGGAGTAGCTGGCCGGGCTTTCTCCTGGCCAGGGCGCTACACGCGCACTTTTCGCCTCCTATGACTCGGAACTCCATGTCCGCTACCGGGATGTTCAGGCGTCTGCGGCCGCCGCCCAACGCCTCGGACGCGTGGAACACTCGCACCTTCTTCTTAGTGGTGAAGACCAGGTCGCCGTCGTCGAAGTGTTTTTCTTCAACACGGACTCGTAAAACTAAAGGGGGAAGAAACAAGGAAAACGTGTGTTCGTTAGATTGTGATATGGATGACTAACCAAAAGGAGCAAGGTTGCAACAAGGAGTGTAAATAGTATAAAAGCATTCAGAATGAATACAGCTTCTCCGCGCTTATGCCCCCTTTCTACTAGAAGGGGGCCTTCTCTGAGTGACCATAAAATTGCATTTGTGTAGCCTTTGATTTTATATTGAACATGATGCACACTACAGAAGTGTGAAATAGAAGACAGCAATATTCACAAAACGTAAAAAAGATCGTTATATTATCAATGAAATTTGTTGTGAATTTTTCGGTCTCTAGTTGGAAAGGGGGTGTTATGGATAATTGTATAAGACTGAGTATGTGTATATACTGTGTATACGGTTGAAAACAGAGTATATACATCTTAAATCCACCCTGTAGCCTAGGAGTGACTGCATCAGACTACGTGCCCATACGCCCCTTCTCAACACGGCCACACACACAGAAACCGTACGTCATCAAAAGACACGTGACGTCACTCGGAGAAACTTGATCAAACCCTGTTAGTATTATAGCCTGCGTATATTACGCCATTGTCATAATACTGTGCTCGCCGCATTATATATCATCTTGCCTGGATGTCACCTTAGATATTTTTGTCGTTATGACGGGGAATAATTATATGATATTGATAACTTTGAAGGGATCCGGAAGAAGTGCTCCAGGCCTTACCCAGAGAAAACTTCTCACTCTACTTGGACTTAGTCTTCATTTGGACTAGTCTTGGCTATATGTTTGGAAATCATGCAAGCAATCATCCAATTAAAGAATAACAAAGCCTCAGGCAATGATCTTATCCTTAATGAGATGCTAAAATGCGCATCTCCTATCCTTGTCAAACCCCTCACCAAATTATTCAATTTGTTTCTTTTATCCGGACACTTTCCCCAACAATGGCGCGTAAGCCACATCGTTCCACTGCATAAAGGTGGACCTAAAGAAGATCCCAACAATTATCGGGGTATATCAGTTATCAGTTGCCTCGCTAAGTTATTTACAGCTGTAATAAACACACGTCTTACTAATTACCTAGATGAACATAACCTCATTTCCCCTAACCAGGCCGGCTTTAGAAAAAACTTTGGAACTAACGACAACCTCTTCGTCATTGATACATTAATATCTAAATACACTAACGCCAATAAACGTCTTTATGCATGCTTTGTCGATTTCCGTAAAGCTTTCGATAGCGTTTGGCGCGAAGGACTGCGGTATAAACTACTCAGCTCAGGAATAGGTGGTAAATTCTACAGTTTAATCAAATCTATGTACACCAACCAACAAACTTGTGTCAAAACGTCAGCCGGCCTCACACCATTGTTTGTTACTGACAAAGGAGTCAGACAAGGATGCAACCTCAGTCCAACCCTCTTTAATATATTCATAAACGACCTAGTTAATGACTTAGATAATATTGATTGCGCCCCACCAACCTTACACAATTTACTAGTATCTTGTCTGCTTTATGCAGATGACGTTGTGATGTTTTCGGAATCGGAAACAGGGTTACAATGTGCGCTAAACAAGCTGAACGCATTTTGTGAGAAATGGAACATTCAGGTAAACCTGAAGAAAACCAAAGTGATGATTTTCAACAAAACAGGAAGAACATTCAAGAACACCAAATTTTCCTTTGGCGCAGAAAATATCCAAATCACAAGCTCATATACCTACCTAGGTATAATTATGTCTTCGTCTGGCAGTTATTCTTTGGCCAAAAAACAATTATCTTTAAAAGCTTGTAAAGCAATATTTAGTCTTAAACCCCTCATCCGCACCTCTTTGTCCCCCAGGGCCTTACTCAAACTCTTTGATGCGTGCATCAAATCTATAATGTTATACGCCTGTGAGATCTGGGGTAAAGATTATTCAAATGACAATTGTCCTGTAGAGATAACTCAGAACCGCTTCTGTAAAAATATTCTTGGTGTGCACAGGAATTCTAGTAACCTAGCAAGTAGGGCAGAACTTGGGTTGTTCCCAACAGATATAGATGTATCCGTCCGTGTAGTTAAATACTGGTTAAGACTCAAACAACTGGACACTTTCACACACCCCTTACAAGTAGATGCATTACTCTGTCAGCAACACAATATGGGAAATAGTGGTAAGAAAAGTTGGCTACACCATGTCAAAGAAATAATTAACAATGCAGGCTATTCTTTTTATGGAACACCAACCACTGTACTTTAGACAACAAGAGTATATGTACATTGTTGAAGAGAAGACTAACTGATATGTATGTTCAAACGTTCTTTCACCAATTGTCTGTAGATAACGGCAAGCTAAGATTTTACAAGACCGTCAAATCCGAATACTCCATGGAAAAATATCTATACCACAATGAATTCGACGAACGAGCTGCCATGTGTAAGATTAGAATAAGTGCGCATCCACTAGAGATAGAAAAAGGTCGCTATAGAAAACTACCTGTGCATGAGAGATTATGTAAATATTGTACAATGAATGCAGTGGAAAATGAAACACATTTTGTTAGCCAGTGTCCTCACTATGAGACCGAAAGAAACAGATTATTTCAGACAGTTACAACAATCTCTCCATCATTTCGTCATTTAGAAGATCACCAAAAGACTACATTTCTACTAAGATCACAAAACCCACTAATTATGCAGAATGTGGGACTATTCATTATCCACTGCCTTCAAAGAAGAAGTCGAACCCCTTAATAGCTAGAGTAGTAGTAGAAGTAGAGGTTTTTCCAGACAGATTGTTACCTGTCTCCTGTTTCTGTATAATTGACTGTACACGCAATTAGCCTTCGGGCATGATTTTGCAAATAAACAACAAATTATTAT